CCCCCCCCCCCCCCCCCCCCGTCCCCCGCCAAATGAGCGTGACTCAAATATACATGCCAGGGGTATGATACAAGGGTATTTTACAATGATATTGTTGAAAATTGCAGGTAGGAGAGGATAGATCATTTACCCGCAAGATGTACCGTTAATCAAGCTGCCAGAGAGAATGGAGACCATTTTGCGGGTGGATTCAAGACCATGGTTATTTACACTTGGGATAATGTTTGCAGGTGATAAAAACTTAACAAACTTCTTAAGTTCAGAAAAGCTGCTATGCTCACTGTATGGCACTTCATACCTGAAGAAGATTAAACAAAGAGATAATTCAATGGAGAAAACACAGCAAAATAACACTAATTACAAACCAAGGGCACCCTTTATTGCAGTGAGCAACAGTTTAGCCCACAACAAAGAGGATATCCAACTTTCAAGGAGATTCTCATTTCTCTATTCTCAAGGAAACAGCAAAGGAGAGGGCAAAAAGGGTACATAAAAATGAGATTTTCACCTTATGATGGTACCCTGCTGCGATCTTTTTCCAGGATTCGTTTTCTTTCCTTTACCGAAAGACCAACCAGTTGGAGAGAATGCAACGATAAGATTAAAACGGCCCTACCAAATGGGGGGATATATTGCAGCATCAGTAAAAGAGAACTCGTTGCAGGAGCATAACTAGAATGTATTACAACTTACAAGGTAATATAGCTATTCAAGGAAATTTTGATAGAAAACTGAGAAAAGAATCATACATGCAAATGGATTCATCTTAGCCGTATCAACTCCAAGCACTACTAAATTATTACTACTGTAAAAAAAAAATCTATGGTTCACCAAGGTATGAGTTTTAAGTTTTGGCAAGGCACAGCTCATATTTTACTAATCCTCTTAAATTACACCTTATTAACTTTGATTGGTTGTTTGAGTCACCTTGTTGGAAAAAAAAGAGGGTGTTTGGTTCATGGAGTCTCGCAAAGTGAGTGATGCAGGAGACTGAGCAAAAATGAACTAAAAGTCATCTCCCAGAATCTCACATTACATCATGGAATATTACATTCATTTGAACTTTAAAGCAAATAGCAACATTTATAGTTGATGTGAGATATGTGAGCTCATAAAGTGAACCAACCACTCACAGACATAGGTTTCACACAAATAAGTGACGCGTTACAATCAGCCTAAAAGCAAAGAATTATCCATGTGTTTAAATAGTTGAAAGATGTAATCAAAATATAGTGTGACAAAAGTTGGTTAAAGTAAAAACAACAACCGAGTATGATCCCGACTCCTTTGGGGTGGGGAGTCAGAATATATGCAATCTTACTTTTGAAAAACAGAAAGAATGTTTCTGTTAGACCCTAGATGCATTGCTGCATTTACTTCTCATAGAAAGTAAGAAGCAAGGAAAGTTTAATATGTTATTTTCATTTAGTCCATTATGTGCCCAAAACAAAAACAGTGTCAATACAAAATTGTAAACACACACAAAAACACTTTTTAAAGACCTGACGCAGAAGTAAGACCTTATTAATTAATTACCCACTCCAATGGCTTTTATAAATCCATCCAAAGGCTCTAAATAAGGTTATATCAAATTTTGACAGTTCACAAAATATGAGGAATTAATCTCTAAGCTTACCATGTATTGGTTAGATATAAGTTTCAACCGCTTGAAGCTAGAAAGTGACCACAAAGGTACAACATGGATATGGCTCTCATGTTCATTCAATGTGAAAAATTGCATATCTTCGTCAGGGAACCCCAAACATTGCAAAATACGTAGCTTTGGTGCCGTGACATATATTTTCTTACGCAAAGCACGCGCAATCTCGACGTAAAGTCTTTCTTTTCCTGTCAACCATCAAATTTATAAGTTTTTCGTTTTATGAGAGAATGCAATTATAGATCCTTCCATACCATAAAAAGATATTGAAATTCATTTATGTGAGACATACAGAGTAACTTTCTACGTTTTTAAATCATGACATGAATGGAAATCCTTTCCTGATGATATTTTGGCATTCTGTAATCGTGTTGAGCATCTTATAGAAACATCGCAAATGGTGGGGGGAAAAATGCAAACGGATGGAAATGTGGAATTTACCTATAGTATAACTACCAATCAAGAATAATGTTTTTGGGTTGAAAGTTTCAGCTTGTATGGCTTCAATGACAAATTGTATTACAGCTTCCTGTTTAGGAAAATCATACTGCAACAATAAAGACAATTAAGCTTTCATCAGATGTAAGCATAGTTTAACAAAGAAGAGTGATAAAATAGATAGAACAGAAATAGTGTGTCAACATGTAGCTCTAATTTTTTTTGCTCCCAAGAGCAACAACAACCGCTGGCCTACCCACTAAATCCCACAAGCAGGATCAGAGTAATGGGTGTACAAAGACCTTACTCTACCTAGAAAAAGTAAAGAGGATGTTTCTGAAAGACACCAAGAACATTAAGAGATCAGAGATTGTGGAGGTTCTCGTTTACACTTTATGCCATTCAATCATATCTGGTCAATGATATTTTGTTGGTGTACCTGAGGGTCACAATATGTTGTGTCGAGGATGAGAGAATGGATTTTACAGGATCGGAAAACAGGAATGTTCATCATTTCATCACAAAAACGAAAATCTCCTGTATGCAAGACAGCCTGGTTCATGAAGAAACATAAACTTAAAATGCCAGGCAAAAATTCAAAAGTAAAAAAAAAAGTATAGCTGTGAAAATAGTAGAGTGCCAAAGATGGGAGTATGGACTACAGTACCACACCTTACCACTCGGTGGCTCAAAGAGGATTATGATGGCACCTGGGCAGTGATTTGCATCAAAACAGGTGACATCAATTCCTGCAATGTTGATCTTCTTGTTAAGGGGCAAAATATCTATATTATCCCATGGAATTCCCATCTTCATATTCACAAGCTTTGCAGTCACCATTGAGCAATATATCTTCCCATGACAAAAGGACTTCGTTAAACCTTGATAATCTGCAGAAGCATGGAACAGCCATGTCATGTAACTAGGCAAAAAAGAAAACAAAACAAATGTTGAAGTCCAAAATCTACAACAAAAAAGAAGACTGACATTAAGAATCTATATCGTCACTGAATGTCACATTACTAAATACTAACAGATTAACTAAAGCAGCTACATTTCTAACTCGATCTAAATAACAAGAGGTAATTGATAACCAAATGAAAGCTAAAGCTTCATTATGGATATATGTCAGGCTATTTTAGAATTCTAAACTTCTCCACTTGTTTGAAGGCGCAGTGCAGCCCCAGGAGCTGGCAGTTTATACACATGATTTCTCCTCTTAAATTTTTTTGGAGTTGAAACTAACTGGTTTACCTGGAAAAGGATACATGGATCTTTCTTAACTTACAGTTCAGAAAATTTTCATAAGAAAATTAGTAGTATGGAGAGTTAATACCCATGCATATTATAAATCAATCAGTCTATGAAATGCATACATATGTCAATAGTGGTATACAAAGCGTAAAAATATTACTCTCGATTCCATAATATATGATACAACAAAGCTTCACTCAAACTATCATGGCAACAAGACCCATCACATATTTAAGAAACTAAGTTGTCTTCAAATGATTACTAATGTAAACAGATTACTTTTCAATTAGCAACAAGACCCATCACATATTTCCATCATCTCCGATGGAGCCAAAATTTCACCATTTTTTGGCTTTGGGGTGTGATGGAATAAATCAAAATGGATCTCTAAACTGTCTGCGCTTCTTTAATTAATGAAGTAGCAGTTAGTCAAGCAATGCAACTTTCGACGTTGAGCTGGGGGTCTCTTTGGAAACAGCCTCTCTACTTTCGAGTAGGGGCAAGGTCTGCATACACACACCCTCCCCAGACCCTACTCTTGTGGGATTTAACNAACAGATTACTTTTCAATTAGCAACAAGACCCATCACATATTTCCATCATCTCCGATGGAGCCAAAATTTCACCATTTTTTGGCTTTGGGGTGTGATGGAATAAATCAAAATGGATCTCTAAACTGTCTGCGCTTCTTTAATTAATGAAGTAGCAGTTAGTCAAGCAATGCAACTTTCGACGTTGAGCTGGGGGTCTCTTTGGAAACAGCCTCTCTACTTTCGAGTAGGGGCAAGGTCTGCATACACACACCCTCCCCAGACCCTACTCTTGTGGGATTTAACTGGGTTGTTGTTGTTGTTGTTGTAGCATCATCAGCCATTTAACTCCACTAAGCATTAATTTTGTCTAGCTGTATTCTTACTTCCATAAAAAATTAAGGAGCATTATTTTGATTATGTACCATTATGTACAAAAACCAACTTTGCAGACTGGAGCTACATATCATTTAGAAACATACACCCATGCCTTCATGTCAAATCATTAGGATCAGCAATCATTTAGAAAATTAGTAAAATTTAAAGCGAATGTGTCTTACGATCAGCGTGAAAATGAGTAAGAAACCAGTGTGAGCAATCTCTTCTAAGGTACTTAAAAGCATCCTGCAACAACAATGAGAAGAGATGCTTAGACTTTAATCCTTATAATCGTATTCATTTAATGAAATAAAGGTATAAAACTAACTAAAGTGTGACATTTTCAAAGAGGTTCAAATCCACCAAGAACAAGCTGATAGCATAAGCTACCAATCATACAAAGTGCCTGTTAGCAAAAATTAATACTGTCAATTTTGGGGCAAGTGTCATAAGACTTCATAATAATTGGCTACCCATAGGTCGAATAACCCTGCCACAATGTGACCGCAACTCTTTCCCACTTTTTAATTGGTCTCATCAAAATACAGAAATTTTATATTAATATTTCTTTGGAAACTATTGATACGGATTTTTTGGTATAACATATTTTTGCATAAGTAAGCCAATAATCTATCAAAATGACTAAAAGAGTGTGGTTCGGATAGCATAAAAGTAGATTATTTCAATAATCAAGTACTTCAAATATGATTACTGATCATTGTTATAGTTAATTATAACCAAATCAATTTTTGTTTGGATAAATTTGGTTCAAAGTGGTTTGGAAATAACTATTTCTGTTTGGATGCAACAACAAAGTTTGCTTTTACATCGTAAAGAAAACATCTAGAAGAAAAGATAAGTGTTTGAAAAAATAGTCATAATCAAATTTTTACTGTACAAAAGAAAACTATATAATCACATTCTTAGATTAATCACGATGATGATGCAAAAAGTCACAAAACGAAGAGCTTTCAGTTTTTATGGTTCGCCACGAACCAATATTAGAATTGTAACAAGTTGCAACAATGAAATTCTCAAATAGAGATAAGTTCCATTAAATAACAAAAAATGCTCAAAGACAATATCATATTTCATTCTATCAATTCAGGTTGAAATATCCTTCTTATCTCTTCCTACTTTCTTGCTAGCTCTCAAGCACATTTGAATAAAGATGGCGAAGTCTTTTTCAAGAATTGAATTTTGAACTTAACCCAAATGCAGAAAAATTAGATATAAACCTTAAGGTGTCTTTGTAGTAACGTGTCATACAATGGAAAGAAACATGTAAAATTGAATAGCATATTAATGGCAACACACATAAAGGTAAAGTGTTGGAATATTTACCACACGAAATGGTGTTCCTGGGATGGAGCACCACACAGGAACATCCCTATATTTTGGGTTCCTGGCAGGATCCTTCTTCTTAAAAGGTTTACATGAAGAATCCATGAGACTGCTCCCCACTTCCTTTTTTCGAGTAGAAGTAGCATGAACCTTTTTCATTCTGACAGCAGAAGATGGGAAATAATCCGTTATCAACTTGCTCAGCTTCACTTTACTTGTATCATCGACTATAGCCTGTTTGGCATCATTCTGAACACCTACTTCTTTGATATTTTCCTTCCTTAGTTCAGAAAGAGCATGAAGGATCTTTTTTCTTGGACCAAGTGCACTAACACCAATCTTACAAAGATCCTGCATGAAAGGAAAATGGAGGTGGTCAGACAGCTGAATCAGTAGTATATTAAAGTCACTATATGTGTTAGGGAATCCCTCCCCTCCACCCCAAAAAAAGGGCAGGTGCAGACCAATCTATGTTTGAATTGGGCATACTCACAAAATCATGAATGAACACAACAAATGCTCACAAAAAAAGATGGATATAATAGATTGACATCTATGATATCCATGTTTCATACGCGTACAAAAGACATTGTAACTAAAATAATGTTCATAGTTGAAAATCACTAATGAATGTATGGCTATGGCTGAATAGGCCAAACACGTCTAATTTCTATTTTCATTGTAAAAAGTAGTACAATACTTGACTTAGGCTCTGGAGGCAGATCTACTATAAGAAATGATAGGCAGACTCTCTATAAGCATCCTTAATTGCACAAAAATATCTTAAGACAATAAAAGCAAGGCTACAACAGTAAAAATGGGAAATGGTTATTAGATAAAACAAATTACAGCGCCCAACAGTTCAGACATATTAGATTTTACTATTCTGGGTTCTTCTTTTCATGTTCCTCGCATTCCCTAAGAATTAATACTGGGTGAGACAAAATACACAACATAGAGAACTCGGAGTTAGATATAATCTTTTTTGTTTAGTATAGATCCACAGACAGTCAAACAGTCAGACATAAAGCAAACCTCTTCTGTCAGCCATTTTAAGGTGTCCCAATCAATCTCCTGTTTGATAAATAATTCTTCATACTTAGCTAGTCCTAGCTCGTGTAGCCACTCAGCCACAGGAGACATAGAAACAAACTTTTGAGGAGATTGAGTAGGGAAAGCATCGAGAACTTGTCCAAGATGTTGATTAGATGTGTCACGATGGGAAACACCCACCTGCACAAATAAGAGCAGAACAGTGTTTTAGGAACTACTATCAGACTAAATACTTATAGGAGAATCAGCATCTTCAATGATGCAGGTTAAAGCAATAAGGTGAATATGCTTTAAGGAGTAAGACAAGTGCGTTTATAGTATTGAATTTAAAACAATGGATTGTTCAACACCGTGTATAAGGTACAATGGGATACATTATATAATATATTAAATTTATTCGTAGAGCTGTGAATTTTTGAATATTACTCAGTCTACTACATCCCTTTCAAAAGATAGAATACAACATAGAAGGAGACCCTAAGTGCTCCCTTCAAAGATACAAATAAGAGAGATTGTGTGTGAATAACACCTTATGTTTAACTGCTTCAAAAAAAACCTTATGTTTCACTTTTTCAGAATTTCTTCAGGACTTTCCAGTGTTTTTTAAATTAATATATTTGTTCTTACATATTACCCTTCCCACTTCAGATCTTTATCTTAATAAATTAAAACAAAAAGCATTATTTGCATGATAATTCTCTCCACAGTTATTAAGACCTCAACTTAAAGCTTACAATTTGAGAGGCTATTCTCTTGCCACTACATTTAAGATTATTCTTACAAACAAAATGAGAAAACAAAAGCACACATGGATGAAATTGAAATTTACAAATTTGCTACAGCATGTTATATTTACATGCTTTTTAGATTTCTTCCGGTGTTATAAACAAAACTCGGAAAAATCAGTTGACCACATGTTGCCTTGTTATAAATCACTTTTTTATTACTAATGCACATTTAATATGTTATTCAAAAATTGTACCTTTTGAAAACTATAACACATATTCCCCATTAAGATATAAAAATGTATATTACACAATAGGAAGGTGAAGATTATTTTAGATATTTTTACTTATTTACTTTGACTGAATGAATGCCTAACTTATGACTTATAAGAACCATAGTGAATATTCAACAAGAAGAGAGGAATTTTAATTTAAAAAATAACAACATTAAGAGAAGAAATCAAAGAAGTTTATACCTCAGTTGGAGCATCATCTTTATCAATGCACTCATTAGTGTGCACTTGCCTTTGCTCCTCACTTAAATCTGTGATGTCCTTATCACAAAGTGGACAATAAATCAGACTACAGTCGCCATTACCTCCTGAAGCACATCCATCTTCATCTACTGCATCCTCTTGATCTTCCAAATAATCTTCATCTCCTTCACTCCCCTCTCCACATAGTTTAAGCAGAACATCAAGATCTGAGCTCTCCCCCAATTCTTCACCCACCCCATCTTCCAATCCCACAGCAGATTTCAACAACCTCGACTCTATTGAATTCAAGTACCCTTTTTTACACTCTGAAACCCCCTTTTCAGGTGAACATGAAAGTGACCCATTCTTCCTATCAGAATCTGCATCTATATCTACTCCAACCTTTTCGTTTGGCACAACCTCATTGGAACATTGACTAGCATCGTCTTCATCAGTATTCAAACAGCCATCATAAGCAGAATCGACAGTTAACTGGATGGAATCCAACCCACAGTTCAAATCCACACTCTCCAAATCCGGCTCGGAATTTCGTCGAACAGGTAGCGAGCAAGGAATGACAAGGCCGTCTGCCTGAGGGGAAACATTTTCTTTGTATCGACTTTCATACCGATGCTTCTTTGCCTTCCCCCGATGTGGACGATCGGTACTGTAACGTCTCAGAGGCTTCCGAGAGACGGATGTGGAGGGGCCAATGCTGGAGCGGAACAGAGAAGGAGAGGGATCTTGAAAATCGTCGTCCTCGTCGACCAGAGACGAAGCCAATGTAAGATGAAACTGCGAAGGTTTAGCCTTGGAACTGGAGGTCATCGGAGTCACCAGCGACCACCGACCGGCGGAGAGATTTGGTTATGGAGAATTCAAATTCTCGCCTGAGATGAGAAATGGAGGGAAATCTGAGCGTGATCGGCATCGGGATTTGTACTTCGTTGGGATGACCCGATGAAACACCCATTGAGCTTCTAAAGAAAGCCCAAAACGTGTGGTGGCTTTTGGTGGGCTCTTGCTAATCACCCAATTACATTCCCCTCCACTCTCCACTAATTAAGGATCCGTTTAGAAATTTGGAAAATAATTTTTAAAACATTAAAAAATACTCCCCTTGTCCTATTGTTTTTGTTCAATATTTTTTTAGTTGAAAATTTTTAAAATGAAAAAAAAAGTTCCCTACGTCCAAATTAAATTGCATATTTACTATTCACAAGGTAAAATTTCATTAATTTTTTTCTCTATTTCTCTTAGTCGTTTAATAAAATAATAGTCTTTTCACCAATAATTTTGTTGATATCTTGATATAGTTTTTAAATATGTAGTTTTATTTTTTAATTTTATATCATTTTTCATATAAAATGATTTAAAAATAATTTCAGTCAAACATCATAAAACGAAACATGCGATTTAAATTAGGACGGATAGTAGTTTAGTTTCACATATTGATGGGTTTTTTTGCACACTTTGTGTGTCTGTTTGTTGATAGCTTTTTAACTTTGATGTTTTGAAAATTAATCCATGCTATTAAAAAATTATCTAATGACTCGTTTACAATAGGTTGAAAAAGTATGTATGAACAGATGCTACAATTATAATAGAGTTATTAGAGATCACTAAAATGACTCCTACCCTATACTATTATTTGCATTAACATAATTACCTCTTTTTTTTAATATTATTAACTTTATTCTTAAAATATTTTTTTAATTTACTCATAATAAAGATTCAACGTCTCCCACTTGCTAGGGTTCAAAGTTTCAAACATTAACATTTGACCTCCCATTTGGGAGAACTATAAGTTTTAATAATAATAATAATATAATCATACGGGGTAATAATAACAATAACAATAATAACACCTGGGATGACCCGGGGGCCGTACGATGTTCTGTTCGTAAAATTAACGGTCCGTATCGCTCATAACCCTTTTACCCCCTCCCACCCCCAAACCCACCGCGCAACTCCCAAGTTTAATTGACTTTGGAGTCAAAATGTTAACTCCAAAGTCAATTAAATTTGGGAGATGCAATTGAAAGAGGTGAGGCGGTGTGAGGGGATTTACCGAGAGGTTTAGAAGAGATATGAACCGTCAATTTTACGAAGGGGGCATTGTATGCATGGCATTGCTAAGCAATATCATAGGAACATGCCCCCAATAATAATATGGGAGTAGTAATAATAATAATAATAATAACAATAATAATAATGAGTAATGATAATAATCAATATACTCACACAAGCACCACACTACACTCATAAATAATAATGAAAAATCTTCCAAATTAAAGTCTCTCTCAGATCATCATCATCATCGATCAGTTGGAATGACAACAAAAAAAAGTGATTGAGTAAACTTATTTTTTTAAAAAAAAAAGAAGAAAAGAAAGTGAAAGAGTAATTAAAGATGAATAAAAACGGTGCATGGATGGATGATTAATTAATTATGAAGAATGGTGGATGGGTGGTGGTCATGCAGATTGGGCTGCATGGGTTGCACACAGAAGGTGAATGGCAGCATCTGATGATGATCGCCGCCCCCGCCGCCGCCTTGATGATCTCTCTCCTGGTGGTGGTTGAACACTTCTCCACCCCCGCCACTGCCGCCGCCGCCGCCTATCTCTCCCATGTTCCGGTTCATCTCCGCAATCTCCAGTTGTCTCTGCATTTTTTTTTCGTTGAAGATATTAAAGTATTATTGCGCACTAATGGAAATATCATTTTCTTTTAAATACTCCTACAAAATATGATATTGTCAAGGAATCACCAATTCAGACTTTTGGTTTGGTTGTATGCCAAAGAATGTTCAAACTTATAGGTGAAATTTTGTTTTTGTTCAAACATTGCACATCAATTTTAGTTTTTTTAAAAAATTAAGTGACAGTGAAATTTGAACTCATGATACCTAACTCAATAAGACTCTAATATAACCTAAAAAACAATTCAATCATAAGTTTAAGTTTTTGTAATCTAATATTGTACTTCATATGAAGTAAATACGTAGATTTATGCAAATATATACTCCCCCTGTCCCATAAAGTCTTTCACGTTTCAAAAAAATTCATGTCTCTAAAAGTCCTTCCCATTTCTATAAAAAAGACTACTTTTACCCCTTACTTTTTCATATCATATTTATCACATCATACTTTTTTCCTAATAATCTACATATCACATCTAACTTTTACTCATCACATCAAGAATTTTTTTTGAAAGTGAACACAAAATTATCCCTCCTTATTTTACCACTTTAGTCAACCCGTCCATATCTTTATGGGACGGGGGGAGTATAAGACGCTATGGGGAAAGTTGGCAATCTCAGTTCAATTTCTAGCCAAATTAACGTACTCCCTTCATCTAATAGAACATTTCTATTATGAAAAAATGTTAGATTTAAGGAACATAGGATCCGTTTGATATAAGGAATTGGTGGAATTGAAATTGGAATTGAAATTTCATGGGATTCAATTCCATATAATTGAATTCTGTCAATTTCAATTCATTTTTTGCACTATCAATTCCAAATCCACATAATTTTTGTGCTACCAAATACCAGAATTGGAATTGAAGTCTCTAATTCCTATTCCATAGTTTGAATTCCATGTACCAAACGGAACCTTATAGTATTCGTAATACTTTCCTTTTTTGTCTTTACTTTATAGTAAGGCAAGGTAGGATGAGACACTCCCTTCTCCAAAAGAAAGCCACAATTAGATTTTTTTGTTAAAGTTTTGAAAGTTTGATTATGATTAACATAAAAGAACATTATTAATTTTTAATTCGACTTTAATATTTTTAGACTCGTTTCTAAAAGTAGTTTTAGAAAAAAATACTCGGTAACAAAATGCTAGAGGTATACTGAAAGCTGTTTCTCATAGCGTCTCGTAAAACCTTTCAACATGAGTAGATAACAACAATTACTACTTCCGTCTCGTAAAACCTTTCAACTTTCACTTCTTGCTTGTCCCAAAAAACATTTTAATTTGGTCTAAGGGAGCACAATTGCCTTTATTTTTCTTAAATCTAACCGAACATACCTAAACCAACTTCTACGCCTGTTCCATTTTGATATATTTCGAGCCCTACTAGATTCAATTGTCGTTGTTTCACCTTGGTCAAACTTCTACGATTTTTCCTCCCAAGAGTCAAAACCGAAAATATTTTGCGGGACGAATGAAATATTTGATAGAGATATTAATTGATTTACCGTACCCATGGCATTACCTTTTTTTTAGAAAAAAAAACTGAGTATCACAGCAAAGATCAGAAAACGAAAGTTAAAGTCAAAGTGTACATATGATTTTGTTTGATGGAGGGAGACAAGGACTATATGACCCTAATTAATCGTTCGAATAATAATCCTAGGATTTAAAATTTTGAAGTGCATCCGTATGTCTTGCGGTCAAATGATTAAACTAATTAATTAAGAGAAGGCGCATGTGAATTTGGGGCTAGTTAATTAGGGTTTAGGGTACAGCTTTTCAGATTTTAGGTCAAGCTTGGAATCCCTACCCCTTCCTTTCTATCCTATCAAATACCCCAATCGAATTATTTGACAAATTCCTAGCAACCCATGGTAAAAGTATATACTCTCACCGTTCTACAAAACATTTCCGATTTTGACTTTGGAAAAAATAAGGAAAGTGTAATTTTGGTTGACTTTCCAATTTTGCCCTTGATATGATGAGAAAAAGTAATACTCTGTATGTAATAGTTTGATTATTAGTGAAAAAGTATGATGTGATAAGTAGGGTATGAAAAAGTAGAGGTAAAACTGGTTTTTTTAATAGAAAGTGGAAGTGTTTTGTGGAAAGCAAAAAAAACGAAAGAGGAAGAGTTTTGTGGAACGGAGGGAGTAATATTTTGATAATTTATACTGATACAAAATATTTGTATAATAAAAAAGTATACTAATATTTAATTTTTTGTGAACAATTACACTGACACAAAATAAAAGTACAGATATGTGTATGTGATGTACAATTTAGAGTATAACTTTTGATGTACAACTAGCTTAGTTCTATTCATAATCATATACTCCATAGCTACTTCCCTTTAGAAAATTTTTGTGTCCATAATTTTTTTCCCAGTTTGACTTTACGTGCTTATTAAGACAAGTTAAAAAATATTTTAAAAAAATTATTGTTTGCTCTTCCGGTGGTGGGTAGGGATAAATAAGTGAATACACTAATGGGTGTAATGGAAGATTCGTTAAAAAAAATTGTCAAAATAGGAAATGGAAAAAAAATTTATGAACAACCCGAGAAAAAAGAAAGGGAAGAATAAAATTGTGGAGGGAGGGAGTAACATTATTAAGACCTTATTAGAAAGCAGCAATTTTTTCTGACAAATGTTAGCATTTTTTAGTGTTTTTAATTGTGTATTTTGATTTTCAAAACACTAAACTAAATAATATCGTTAAAACATATTTCAAAACACTAAAGCTAAACCATAAGGGTTGACCTTTAGCTTGACTATCATGATAAATAAACCATAAGGAGAAATTTAATCTTTTTTAGATGTCACGGTGAATATATAAAATTTCTAATTAAATACTCCCTTCGTCCCATAAAACATGAGACTTTTGCTTTTTAGGAGGGATTTAAGGGGAGTGTATTTTGGTATTAAATTTTCAAAAATGTCCTTTGATTTGATGGGTAAAAGTATGATTTGATGGATAGATTATTAGTAAAAAGGTATGATGTGATAGTTAGGGTATGAAAAAGTAAGAGGTAAAAGTGACTTTTTAATAGAAATGAGAAGTGTTTTGTGGGACGGATAAAAAAAGAAAGGAGAAATGTTTCATGGGACGGAGGGAGTATTAACTACTCACCCGTTCTAAAAAACACTTTCTCTTTAATTTTTTCTACTTCCAACATCAGGTTTTGGAAACCCACGTTCTATAAAACACGTATACCCTTATTTTTCATACTCTACCTATAACATATTTCTCAAACCCACTTTTACCCTTATTTTTCATACTCTACCTATCACATATTCACATCAAATTTTTTCTATAATAATCTATCAATCACATCTTATTTTTACCCATTACATCAATGGCAAAATTGGAAGTCAACTCCAATTTTACACTTTCTTATTTTTACACTAGGTCAAACTAAGAACTCTTTTTTAGAACGGAGAGAGTACTAAAAATACCATTAGAAAATTCGAGTTATATATAACAAAAAATCCCCTTAAGGAGAATATCAATATGATTTACAAATTTATCTATTCAAATTAAAGAGCGTTAAATAGAAGTAGAAAATACTCTTTGATTAATTTTCACATCATGCTTGTACTCGATTAAGACAAAAATTGCACACAAACAACTTTCATCTATCTTAAGGACAAACATTATTGTATGTGCAATTTAAAATTTAATTTACATATGATGACAAAATTAATTTTGTCCATGATGACATAATTAAATATGCAAAAGGAACAAAGATCAAAAATAAAATACTAAATTATTATTTCATGAAATGTGTGAAGGGAAGGATTAGAATTAAGAAAGCTTACCATCCGGTATCTAAGATGTTCATTCTCTTCTCCAGCACCTTGAATCTGATTAATTATTTTGTTGTTATTATTATTACTACTTCATAAAATTTATTTCCAACACTAATAAAGAAAATAGGCAAATGGATACATATATACACAAGCATTAAATTTTGAAATTGGACAATAGTTACTAAATTTCATAACTTAATATAGTAACACTATGTAAATGAAGTGAGATTTTAATGTTGATAGAGAATTATTAATAACTAAAATTTCACACAAATCTATTTTGTATTGATACTAAAAAATAACTTTTGGAATTATTTTTTCATTACTTATAAATCTAATATACATATATATAAATGGATAATTGAATTAATTTTCTATTAAATTTATTTAAGTAATTTTATAGATTTCAAAATAAAATGTATGTGTATACTACATTAAAGTCTTTAGAAAATAAGAGGTGATACGAGTATGATTAACGAAAATAAATAAATTAAAAGAAGGAAAATTTTTTGACTTTGAATAATGATGTGAGGCGATTAATTTGGGATGGGCGAGATAATCATAATCTTGTTTTCCAAAAAGAAATAATATCCGTATATATTCAAACAAACAAAATATTTTAGTATTCCCTTACTCGTTTTGTAATGCTCCTCCAAACCTCCATCTGTTACGAACAGCAAACGAGAAATTAAATAAATTCTTGTTAAACATCGTAAATCATATCGTAAATACAACTTTTTTTGGGACCAAGAGAGCGCATATATATATAGTACTCCGCGGTATAAATTAGGAACCTGTTTCTCAGAGATGATCCTTTGGCCATTTTGAAGGGAATCCTCCAAGTACATAAGCTCTCTGTAGCTCAGAGATGAAATGTCTTCTCCCTTCAGGTGCCTGCAGATGGTTAAAATAATATAATTAGGTCAAATAAAATTTTAAAGAGGGCAATATTGGAAGAATTCATGTATTATCAATTAATTATAGTTTTACTGTTTTACCTTAGCTCAACTTGCATGTTGTCATTCTCTTTCTTGACTCTATTGATTTCATTCTCCAGATCCTATTGCATATATATGTTCCCCCAAAAGATCAGAGGATTATTTACTAGCAAAAGATTATAGATTGATTATATATAACTCCTTTTAATGAGATTTTAAAAATACCCTAAAAACTTTCTTTTTTCACTATTTATCCATACCAAAAAACATTTCCAGTTATTATTAAAAATACCTTAAAAACTTTCTTATTTCAGTTTTAATCTACTCATCATATCGAATATTCCTTCCGTCCCACAAAAAAACATTCTTTCTTTTTTCATAAGTCCTAAAAAACTTTTCTAATTTCTATTCAAAAGTCACTTTTACTCCTACTAATTCTTAACCTACCTATCATATCACACTTTTTCACTATTAAATATTAATCTACACATCACATCTACTTTTATCCATCACATCCAAGGGTATTTTTGGAAACTCAACACCAAAATACACTCGTTTTAAATCTTTTAAAAGTCAAAATCAGAAAGATTTTGTGAGACGCAAGGAGTAATATTTTTGGAAACTCAATACTCCATATATAGTCAATTTAAATCCCTTAAAAATCAATAGAGAAATACTCCCTCCGTCCCCCTGTATTTGTCCACATTTGACTTTTGGAACTGTTCATCTAAGCACTTTGACTCATCAAATTCTTTCAATGTGTAAGCCTAAATATAGTCATGTGTGATCTTGTTTGATTTGTCTTAACATATAGATTATTAATATATAATTTATATAATTTTTTAATATACAAATTACAAGATAAAATGGATTAAAGAAGTGCATTGGATGATGTGCAAAAATGAAAGTGGACAAATACAGGGGAACGGAGGGAGTAGTTTTTGGGAGTAAGGAATATGCAATAATACAAGTTTGTGCCTTTAGGTCAAACAAGGATTACAAAGTTAGGACCAGGCAAAAAGGGACTTCAATTCCATCAAAGGATTTCCATCTTGTCATTCACACATCAGTTCATCAAACACTGAAATTATTATAATGGAAAAAACAAACAAATAAAGAAACCCCTCTTCTTAGCTTATTAGCCTCATGACCTAGCTTAGCTTAGCTGGATATACCTTTAGACTCTACTCAACCTTTCACTAAACAAGAACCAACTGATCCCTAGGCAAATTAAAATAAACAGAGAGGAATATTCACACACACACATACTCTCTCAGTCCCTTAAAAAAGTTTCCGTTTTGACTTTTTGAGGATTTAAGGTGAATGTATTTTAATATTGACTTTCCAAAAATGTCTTTTGTTGTGATGGATAAAGTAGAATGTAGACAAAAGTGTGATGTGATAGGTAGGTTAAGAATTAGTAGGGGTAAAAGCGACTCTTTAAAAGGAAATGAAAAGTATCTTTTGGAACGGATGAAAAAAGAAAGGGAAACTTTTTTACGGGACGGAGGGAGTATTATTCTTCCATCCTGACTTAGTTAATTCTTTACTTTTCAAAAAATATGATATAATTAATGAAGAAAAAAAATGAATCCTCGAAAGAAATTATCTTTGTTGATGGAAAAAATGCAAATTAATGTGCACATTATTAGAGGGTATTTTTTGATATGTTATGCTTCCAGCTCCCCGTATCCCATTAAATTTCATACAATTTCACTATCTCTCAAAGTATAATATACTTCATCCGTCCCAAAAAACTTTTTCAGTTTTGACTTTTGGGAGGATGTAGAAATTTGACCAAGACGAAACGACGACAATTGAAACAAGTTAGACTCGAAAAATGTCAAATTGGATAAACATAGAAGATAGTTGATGGGGTGAGTTCGGTTAGTTTAAGATAAATAAGGTCCCGTTTGGTACACGGAATTCAAACCATGGAATTGGAATTGAAGACTTCAATTCCAATTCTGGTGTTTGGTAGCACAAAAATTATGTGGATTTAGAATTGATAATGCAAAAAAAAGAATTGGAATTGGTGAATTCAATTCTACGGATTTGAATCCAATGAAATTTCAATTCTAATTCAAATCCAATTCCATTAATTCCGTATACCAAATGGACACTAAGAGTAATTATGTTCATTTAGGCAAAATTGAAATGTTTTATGAGGCGTGTAAAAATGAAAGTTGAAATTTAAATCTCAAAGCTATATACTCCCTCCGTCCTTGAAAACCTATCTCCTATCTTTTTACATCCGTCCCAAAAAAACACTTCTCATTTCTATTAAAAAGTCACTTTTACCCCTTACTTTTTCATACCCTACCTATCACATCATACCTTTTTACTAATAATCTATCCATTAAATCATACTTTAACCAATCACATCAAAGAGCATTTTTGGAAATTAAATACCAAAGTACATTCCCCTTAAATCCTTCTTCAAAATCAAAACTCTCATGTTTTCTAGGACGAAGGGAGTATTAAAGTGAACCTAATTTTATTAAATATACAATATAATGAAATATACTTTTTTTTATAGTTGGTTGTCAAAATTTTAAAATTTAATAATAGAAAAAAGGTCAAAAATGCAAAGAATGATGTGAAAAGGAGGGAGTACTTCTTTAGTTCTAAAATGTTTTTCTTAGATGATTTTTCACAGTTTTTAAAAGTTTTAATTCAATATTTACCATTAGCATGATATTTTGAAAGTAAATTTTAAAATGTAATATCTATAAATTATAATAAAAAATATAAATTGATATCTATACAATAGCTAATTATATTATTTCTATACATTATAATAAAAGATATAACTTTTGATCAAAATAAAATCAAAAGAGAAACATTTGAAACAATTTTTTTGTACACGCAGAATTGAAATTGGTATGCCTATATACTACCAGTATACATACTTCCTTCACCTAGATTTTTTTTTATCTTTGACTTTCTGAGTCACTATTTTTAAATATGATCACAATATATATGCAATTTTTATTGCATTATAATTTAAATTTAATACACACACACACACACACACACACACACATTAATAATCAAAGTTATATTTGCACTGCAATTGATCATGATTAAATAGAAAATCAGAATTTCCAAAGCAGGAGTATTAATAATGTAACAGATCAGATTTGCCTCTTTGATGTAACATCCCAAGAAGCATTCCAAGCTAGCTGTTCTTGATTTTGTAGATCAGAGAATAGATATATACATATACACAAATATAGGGACTAGCTAGATTTATGGAATTCACAGAAAAAAGTGCATCCTATTTGTAGATCTCTTCAAACAATTGTGGGCTATCATCTTTCTAGCTAAATAAATACCAGTTAATAATGAAAACTGCCAATTCAAAAACCCTATCTTTTATCCCACAGTTCTTCTAGCTCCCCCAGCCCATATATCTTTGACTAACAAAACACACATTAATTATTCTCACTACATTATTCCATTTCTAGATCTCACCTTAGATTTCTTTCTTCACACCCTTTTAGCAAAAACAAAACAAAACAAAACAAAAAAAAAACCCTTAGTCTAATTTCTTTTAAATTTATTATAATCAATTTTTAAAAAAAAAATAAAAAAAATTGTTGGATGATCAAACCTCATGCTTAGCATCCCACAATCTTTTTCCAGTCAGCTTGTGGTACTGATCCAGAATCTCCACAACCCTACATATATATATATATATATATATATATATATATAAATCAATCAAAAAAAAATCCCCCCAAAAAAGAAGAAAATATTATTTCATCTTCAAGAAATTAAAAAGAACCTAAATAAATAAATAAATAAATAAATAAATTACGGGGAGCTGGAGAACTCGTGCATCTTGCCGGAGTTGCCGAAGATGACGACGGAGACGCGGGCGTCGCAGAGGACGCTGATCTCCTTGGCTTTCTTGAGCATCCCATTTCTCCTCTTGGAGAATGTCACCTGCCTGTTGCTTGAGTTCTCTATCCTCTTTATCTCTATCCTCCCCCTCCCCATCTCTCTTTTTTCCCTTTTTTTCTTTTTTACTTTTTACTCCTATTTAATTAAATTAATTCTCTCAAGTATATATTATATTCTTCTTCTTCTTCTTCTTTAAGTTTCTTGGAGTGGTTAAATAATGGTTGTGATGAGAGGGGGGTATATATATATATATATATATATATATAATGTGTATATACAGGGAGGGAGCTATAGATGAGAGAGGAGAGGAGAGGGGGAATGGAATAGGGTTTGTTTGTTTGGTTGGAAAAGAAGCAAAGGATTGGAAAGGCATATACTCCCTTATTACCCCCAAGCAAGTAAATATCAACTACATTGTATAAAATGAACGGGGACCGATACACTGGGACGGATGTGGTATTGAATTTTAAAAAAAATTACTCTCTGCTTCCTAAAATTTTCTTCTCGATTGCTTTTCATCGCATGGTTAAACACTTTAATCACTTTCTTTACGTATTTACATGTCACTTCTTATTTTGTAGAACGTTAAATGTTGTTTTTTTAATGTATTTTTTATTTTAAAGTTTTACATCAACAACTAAATTTAATTCAATCGAAAATAACATGTGCCAGACCCCAGAAACTGAAACGGAAAGAATGTTTTAGGACGGAGAAATAATGCGACGACTCACATATTCATTACTTTCAAGGCAAATAAATAGTGAAAAGTGTTTTTTGAAACATTCAGCGATGAAAAATGAGAAGTATTTTTTTATTTTTTATTTTTTGGGGAAGGATGGATTGAATGGGAAGTATAAATATTAGGTAGAGCAGAACAAATGGATTTCTAAAATGGGTACTGGGGACAGGAAACTTTTATGGGTTTCAGCTAAGGATGTTCATTTCTAGGGTTTTGATTGAGACTATTCTTTATGTTTAATTTGCACCAGTATCAGATCTCATCTCCATCCATCCATTCATCAGCTGGCTTAATTAATTAATTAATTAGATTCTTTTAGATTAATAATTAATTACTCTTATTAATTGTAGATTATCTTTTCTACCCAGTACCATTTTTTCTTTCTTGGTTACGTTCTTGAATATCAATATTAATTACTCCGTATTATATAAGGGGTTCATATTCCGTCTCTTCTTCTTTTTTTCGATTATTAATTACCACGAACCCTAGTTTTAGAAATGAACTCCTGTCTTTGATTTTTTATTTGTTTTTTTTGGGGTGTGCAAGAGTTGATTCTAAGCTTCTCGAAACAGGACCTGTTTGAAAATGGCGTTAAACATTAGCGTTAGCATTTTGGAAAAAATTTTAATGGTGCAGATTACTTTGAAAACGCTAATGCTAAACGCTGCCCGACAATGGCTTTGTTTGGTAACAGCGTTTTCGATTAGCGTTAGCGTTTTGGATAAAATTTTAACGGTGCAGATTAATTCTGAAAACGCTAACGCTAAAGGCTACCGTCGAATAGCTTTTTCAAAACTCTAACGCTAATCTCTGACGCTGATGCCAAACAGAGCCAATAGCCTTTTTAAAACACTAATGCTAATCACTAATGCTATTTAATTAATTCAGTCATTGTAAAGGAGTGGTTATTTGACAAAAGATTCTACGTCTCCATAGTCAATGGGTAAAAGTGTGCATTTATAAAGTAGTTTTTTTTTGCCTTTTTACCCTCAAATTCTTGATAAGATGTATTCTTGTTCCACAAACTCTTTTCTTTCTTCTTTTTTTTTTGTGTCCCAAAATTTCTTTTTTCTTTTAAAAAATCACTTATAACCATATTAATCATTACCTTATCTACCAAATAATAATAACTATTCATTAATAATCTACCAATCACATTCTACTTTTATGCATCACATCAAAGATAATTTGGTAAAGTCATCACAAAAATATTTCTTCCGTAAATCTCTTAAGAATCTAAACAAGGAGTACTTCGTATGTACGTTTTCTCCCTGAACTTTTAAAAGTACACATTAGTCCATATACACTTTTCATAAAAGTATGTAATTTTCGAATTGCTCATAACGTGTATTTTTCTTCCGAATTTTAAAAAATTTATCCTTTTTTTGAAATCTGCTTATCATTAGTCCATATATTTTTATAAAGTGCGTGCGTTTATCCCAAATTTTAAAAGTACACAAATATTCTACTCGTATTAGTCCTATATTTTTAAAGACGAGGCATAGTTGAAAATGTGACAATTTCTCTTGGTTGAACAATAGTGTTTTTAACCAAAACTTGGAGGATATAACTGCTACATGTATGCTTGCCAAAGTCTTCTCACGCCTCAATTGACATGATGGTTTTTACTTAATGAAGATACATTGATGAGTTTGTTTTTTTACTTTGGTTAAATATGTAACTCACTAAAGATAAATTCTTAAAATCCTAATGTGCCAATTTCTTGGAAAAACCATTAATGTGTATCATTTATTGAAAAAAAAAAAAGAAAAACAAGTTCATCAATGTAATGGCATTTTAGTTTGCCGTTGTGTCAATTGATCAGGCGTGAGAAGAAGATTTTGACTAGCAAATAGTTATTAGTAGTTATATCCTTCAAGTTGACTAGATGTTGTTCAATGAATTTTTAACTTATCAATCATGTTCCGGAGTACCATTTTTTAAAAGATAGGACAAATGACGCACTTTTGAAAGTTTGAATGGAAAACACACACTTTATAAAAAATATAAAAACAAATGGTACACTTTTAAATCTTTGAAGGAAAAAAACATACACTTTATAAAGAGTTTGTAGATAGAGGAGACACGTTATGAAGAATATTGGGACTAATGGTGAACGTTCATGGAGATAAATATATACTTTATGAAAAGCGTAAGTAATTGTAAACTTTTAAAAATTCAAGTGTAATGATGCAAAAAACTTGATTTTAAGAGTGAATTCTCAAAATAGTCTTTTCTAATAAGTTGTTTTTTAAATTATTGCTTAATAAGCAATAATTGCCAACATGGTCATTTGTAATTGAGATGCATTCCTTAAATAATCCTCTACCGAAAATATCTATTAAATGTCGGTCGGTCAAATAGAAAGTATTTTGGTATTTTCATTGATTATTTGATAAAATAAAATATTTTTATCACATTTTGTTCTGTAGAACTTTTGAAGTGTTTTTAAATATTTAAATTTTGTTTTTAGTTATAAATCAATTTTTAATAAAATCAATTAAAAAGTTTTAAATTTCACATTATTTTACGGAATGTGGTAATCATTATTTTAGGGAGGGATGAAGTATTTATTTAGAGTAATTTACCTAAATAGGACTAAAACATAATGACTTTCTCCAAATAGGACCATATGTTTTTATTTCTCAATGTAGGACCTTTGGTCATTGTTAATTAGTCATTATTCAAGTAAATGTCCATCATTGTTGGGCATTATTCCTTCCATGAAGACATTATTAAATCCTATTTAGGGAATAGAAAAGTTTAAGTCCTAGATTAGGAAAGTCATTATGTTTTAGTCCTATTTAGTGCAAATTTCACATTTATTTAACAAAGATCAATTTGTGGTCAAGTCATTGACCAAAGGCCCATTGGGTAACCCGATTGGTCTACACTGACCCAAATGCTTCTTGCGAAACTTTGATCCAGCAACCAGCACCCATTTTCATGGCTGCCGATGGACGTTCTGGAGAAGAAGACGAAAATTCCAAGCGAAAGAGGTTTGTATAAACCCTGAATAGGAAACCGCTAAGATTTCACGGCCCTCTATCTCCAGATTTAATGAATTACAAATGGCCCTTTCTCTGAGAAAGCTTCAGCAGCCGCTCAAAGCTGTACGCATCTGTTTCTCGCAAGCTGACGGCGGTTATAAACTTCTCGCCGTCGTCTCCGGTGAATCTGCCTGTGTAGGAAGACGTGGATCTAACGCACTGGATGTCCGGCTTCTTAATCGTCTGATTCATGCCGGTAATCGCAGTTGTCTGTATTACAATCGTTACGAAGTTTCGTTTGTTAGTGGAAGTGCTTTAGAATTGTATGATTCCTTCAATTTTAATGCGAAAGGGAGAACTGGGGACTTGAATTGTAGGGGATTTTGCAGTAGTGTAGATTCTGAAACTGAGTCTGACAGTTGTGATGAGGATGGAGGCGAAGGGGAGAACCGAGGAATCGAATCGAAAGCGGAGTCGGGGGAGGTGGATAGGGTTTGTAAGGTGATCGATGAATTGTTCGCTCTGGACCGAAACATGGAGGCAGTTTTGGATGAATGCGGGATCAATTTGACCAGTGATTTGGTGATGGATGTGCTGGAGAGGTTCAAGCATGCCAGAAAACCGGCATTTCGGTTCTTCTGCTGGGCTGCACAGAGGCCGGGATATGCTCATGATTCGAAAACATACAATTCTATGATGTCAATACTTGGGAAAACTAGGCAGTTTGAGACTATGGTTTCGGTCCTTGAAGAAATGGGCGAGAAGGGCTTACTTACTATCGACACCTTTGCGATTGCAATGAGGGCTTTTTCCGCTGCAAAAGAGAGGAAGAAAGCCATTGGGGTTTTTGAACTGATGAAGAAGTACAAGTTCAAAGCGGGAGTGGAGACCATCAATTGCTTACTTGATGCATTGGGAAGGGCAAAGCTTGGTAAGGAAGCACAAGTTTTGTTTGAGAAATTGGAGCCTAGGTTTGAGCCAAACTTGCAAACGTACACCGTTTTGCTCAACGGTTGGTGCAAGGTTAAGAACTTGTTGGAGGCTGGGAAGACGTGGAATGAGATGATCGACAAGGGTTTCAAGCCTGATTTAGTCGCACATAGTATAATGCTAGAAGGGTTATTGAGGGGTAACAAACAGTCCGATGCAATCAAACTCTTTGAGGTCATGAAAGCAAAGGGCCCTCCTCCTAACGCAAAAACCTACACGGTTTTGATAAGATACTTGTGCAAACACAAGAAGATGGGCGAGGCGATCACTTTCTTTGATGAAATGCTAGGTAGGGGATGTAAGCCTGACGTTGCAATTTATACGTGTTTGATCACAGGGTATGGCAATCTAAAGAGGATGGACCAAGTCTATGGGCTGTTGAATGAGATGAGGGAGAAAGGGTGTGTGCAAGATGCACAACTATATAATGCGTTGATCAAATTGATGACTAACCGGCGAATGCCACATGATGCGGTGAGAGTATACAAGAAGATGGTCCAAAACGGGCTTCAACCTACCATCCACACATATAACATGTTGATGAAGTGTTTCTTTATGACAAATAATCACGACCTTGGATTTGCAGTCTGGGAGGAAATGAGGTTGAATGGATGTTGTCCTGATGAGAACACTTATACGATCTTCATTGGTGGGCTTATAAGGGAGGGACGGTCAGCCGAGGCTTGTAAATACTTGGAGGAAATGATAGGGAAAGGAATGAGGGCTCCACAACTTGACTACAATAAATTCGTGGCTGATTTTAGCCGGGCTGGTAATCCGGACATATTAATGGAGTTGTCTCAGCGTATGAAAATCCATGGCAAGTTTGAGATCTCAGACCTCTTTTCAAGATGGGCTGAGATGATGAAGAAAAGTGTAAAGAGAAGAAACCCAGTTCATTGACAAAATGCCATAATGTGTTTTTGGGTGCATCAATACTCAAAGAGTAAATAATCTTTCTTCTTCTTCTTGAGCTACAACCCATGATTTGAAAATCTTACTTCAGGTTGTGGGGTTCATCACCATTTAACTTAAAATCAAGGGTTTGTTTGGATAGAGCATTTTGATGGGAACGTTTTGAACGGGATGTATATCTATATCTCCCGCGCGGGACAAAAGGATTACGCTTTCGTGAGTTACCATTTTTCCCTCAAATTTCTGCACAAGAAAGGTTCGTGTTGTGATCTCGAAAGTAATTGTTGACACCATTGAAGGATTTGAAGCCAGATATAACCCAGGGTATGATTATTAAGTTATACTCCGTAGATTTAGTTCGACCGTGAAATATTTTTTGGGTACCCTTACACTGACCAGAGATGAGCACAAGGACAGGTCTAGTCGGATAACCATTTTTTCCTATTTGATACTGTGTTCTTTATAGCTGGTTAACCCAAAGTCCATCTGAAAACTCTGATCACCATTTTTTTTATTCAGTTCGAGATCATTTTTGTGCTAGCCAGGGGTCATGGGAGCAGTGCAATTGATTTCTTGCAGGTTTTTGCCAGATTTGGTGTGGCCAAAATTTGTGGTAGCTGGCAAGTGTTCATATAATTTACCCGTTTGGCAACAATTTCAGAAAGGAAAAGAAAGTATAGGGAATTGAAAGGAAATGAAAAGGTATACTTGGAAAACATTTTCTATTTAATTTCCTTGGAAATTATTACAGTACATGGCTAAGTATAAGTTATAACACACCTAATATGGTCCAAAAGTCTTAGAACATTGAAGGAAGGATTGCTTGGCTTTTTAGCCTCTGCTTGTAATATTTTTTTATATTGTGGTGAATAAAAATGTGCGCTTTCGGTTAAAAAAAATTGTTCAATTGTTATACCTTTGGGCAGCGGTTAGCATGATATGGTATGAGACGGTATTTAGTTTGTACCGTTACCATACAGAATGCTCTGGATTTTGGTTCGGTATTTGATTTTATGCCGTAGTGATCCCGGTCCTAAAATTAGGATAAATAAATATGTATCTAATTTACATATGAGAAAAGTGTACCGATTGTCCCAAATTCTTTGATTATATATGGTTTAACCTTGAACATTAAAAAGTGCACCGTTTATCCTCGAACTTTTCAAAAACTGCAAGATTTACTCCTGAACATTAAAAAATGCATCAAATATTCCTGAACAATTTAAAACGTTGCACAGTTGGTCCAAAAAAATACTAAATAGAGAGTGCATTGCACTTTTTTCATTTATATTTTTCTTGTATCAGTTTCGGTACAAATCGTTATGAATACATACATATCAACTTTATATTTAAAAATGTAACAAAATCCTTTTATTGATTTTAAAAAATAAAAAATTCATTTAAATAAAGAAACATAAGAAACCAAAATTCTAATAATTAAAATGGAAGAAATACTTCTGAAATCTAGTCTATATTTTCAAGAATTAAAGAAAACGAATATTCTCTTGGAAACATTCTCTCCACTCTTAGGTAGGAGTGATGTTTACGTACACACGTTTTCCAAATCTTAGGTTTTATTGGATTATTTTGATTTAAATTAGAGAGAATGAATAAAAACAAAACAATGTTTCAACCCCTTGGTTCTCATGACATTGGAAACCAATGTCATGGGATGACTCGGGGACGCTCCGGTGCTCCGTTCGTAAAATTGACGGTTCCTACCCCTCCTAACCCCCCTGTAAACCTCCTCACTCCGCCCCGACCCGAACAAACCCCCCACCCCCTTCAATTGCACCCCACAAGTCAATTTTGACTTTGAAGTTCCTATTTAGAAATAGAGGGAGTAATTGGTAATTGAATTGTACAATTGTGAAATCTTAATTGTCATCTTTTGTTAGAATTTGATGTTAGTGCCAACACGATAAATATATCTTTATCACATCAAAAAAAGAAAAAATTATAATTTACATAAAAATATTAAATAAACCTACTTTTTGTAGGTTCAATAAATTGAACTTGAATGCACGTACTATTTTGTAATGCAGACACCTTAAATTTTTTTCAATAATTTTTTTTCCCAGATTTTATCTTCTTTTACAGATTGAAATGCTATTAGCAATTTAAAAAACAAACTTTAACAAGTGAATATTTTGTACTCTGCAATTGTTAGGTGTGCATGTACTATTTATATACTCCGTAATGCATACATGCTCAGGGTAGATATTAAAATAAATAAATAAATGTAAACTTACAATAACTTTATTTTCAAATTTTTATTTTTAATCTCTCGCCAAAATGGAAAAAAAATGACGACAAAATGAACACTGTTTAAGAGTATAAAATACTGTATGCATATATCAATTTCAAAATGTGCAAATTCTGAATATATACAAAGAAATAAATAAATATGTATATCTCAAGTGTTCGATAAACAACATACGTCCGGTTATACGGAGTATAAAAGAATTACAACACAAAAGGTGATGAGGGGGCAAACACCAAAACCTTAAACTAAACTAAACATGTGTTAAAAAGAAACCATGTCCAGGAACTTAAGTGCCAAAGTTTACTTTGAGGGTACACTCAACTTTGGAAAAACATATAGAGAAGTGCCAAAATTTACATGCCAACTTTACCATACAATGGTAAACTGAACTTAGGAAAAGAAACATATGTAGGCTAGGCATTCATTTAGTATTCATTCTCAGCCAAAGGTACATTGTTCCCACCAATCTTCACTAATAGCATCAATGCCACAATAATACACCACATCTAGCAACTACTATCTATGAATGATAACTACATGTTGAATATATATATATATATAATATGGGAAGTGATTGATGCAGTGTGTAGGAAATAGCAACCATTTGAGAAAACAATACACTTCTGCTACTAACCAACAAGATGACCCTCCATTTTTGAGCATTCACTTTGTTGGTGAGTATTACAAGAGAGTCCTGGGTATCAAGATTCTCTTGTCCTTATCGAACACATGCCGGCTTACAAACTGCGCCTTGGCTTCTAGTACAAACTACACAAAATCCATTCAAACATAAAATCAACTTCAAGGGTGGGAAAAAAACAAAGCAATGGCCTCACAACGATTTCAAAAAAAAGGAAATGAGAACATAACTTTGGAACGTCCCGAATAGGAAAGTGCAAACTCCACACCAAACCTCAAAGAATGACACTTAACTCGCTCACATATTGAGAAAAGTAGATTTGTGTTGGTAATATTGAAATTAAATAGTAAGAAAAAATCGGAATGAATGTGAGCCACACAAATACCACCAAATATGGTATGAGACAAAAAGGGATTCACAAAAAAAAGGTAAAATGAGAGGAGAATAGTGGGATCAAGGAAGGACTGTTTTATCAATTTGACCATAGTTATAACTAAAGCATCGTCTAAACTAAGATTACGCACCTTTTTTCAGCTTTTATCATTTGATGTTGCTAAGTTTCTGATGATCATTTGGATTCTGAGTGAAACTGCTCCCTTTGGAATTAAAGCATGGAGTGAGAGGTGGGAATGATGGGACAGATCCTAACTTATATTTCCGGCCAGCTTTCAAGCGTCGGGCTGATGAACTACAATCAGAATCCTTCTGGTTACCATGAGGGGGAGAAACCCGCTTCTTGTTTGGGGAGCTTACTTTCACCCTATTGGATGGAGTAGAAGAATCCTTAAGTATGTCCGGTGTGTCGTCTGAGTTGACTGAGTCAACAAGTCCTTTTTTCCTGTAATTAATCAGAGGGGTAATTGGAGAACTATTCCACCTGAAAGAACCTGTGGATGACAAATGGCAAATTCCAGTATACATGTGTTCCCTAGCCCGAATAACGGCTGCTACTGTATCACCTCGTGAGGATTCATCTACTACTAATGGATTGCCATTTTCTATCTCTTCATCAAAAGAGACTAGATCTAAAATATCAGTAGTTTCATGGATCAACTCATGATTATCAGAGCTTGTGATGAATCTCTTAGATATTTCGACGCGTGATAACATAGTGTGGTCTGATTGTGGTGACTTAGATGGAAACAAAGACTTTGATTCATCATTCCAGTGGCTAATAAAGCACCAAACATATAAAAATATATTAGAGTAGTGCTTATATCAATTGCAAACAGAAAAATTATAAGAGTGAGACTTACTCTGAGCACTGAAGTGATGGTGTCATCGGAGTCATATTGTGTGGATGGCTAAGTTCAGTGTGTTCATGTGTGCCCCTACATGATACTAGTTCTAACTTTTCATTAGATGAGCCATGAACTCTGCCACTTATTACAAGCGTCTTCACCAGGCCCTTAAAACTATCATAATCTGCAAAAAGATTAAGAACCAAGAAAGATTAAGAAGATTCAAAATACGTCTAAAATAAGAAGTGATCTCACATAGATCCAAGAAATCAAGCAGTTTTTAACCGCTCAAAAAACAACCACGAAACAATCATAAGTTCTCATATGCCTGAATGACTAAATAAGCCATGAAATTTACTATAGGTTCCATGATATTGCGGGAAAAAAAGAGTGACACTACTCACATACTCTATCTGCATATCTAAAAGGGACACGCTTCCTATTTTGTGAAGTCTCATAAAATACTCTGCTACGAAATACTTGTCACTGTTTGATGTATCGTGTATTAATTCTTGTGATCAGTTTTAGACATGCGAGCTCCTATTGTCAACATCTAAAAATTCTTAGTAAGAGGTAGTGAAGTAGATTCAGTTGACTGTACCTTCCTTCTGTCCATATGTGTTCATACATCCTTCACAACGACATGCACTAGAGCATCCAACATTGGCCTTTTAAGATGGAGCAAAAAAAATGTGACTTATTAGATGATGAATTAAAAATGTCCAATAGGGTAATGGTTAAGAGACAGAGCAGTGAATCAACAACTTATACCTGATACATCATAGGGTTTAGCAAATGAGTTTAGAAATAAAGGCTGCACATCTAAGACAAATATAGGCTGTTTATTATTTCAAGAAACAATACCTGGTAGCAGTCACAATACTTTTTCATGCACATTGATCTCTTGCAATTGCAACCCTTTTTGTGCCTTGCAGATGCTGGAGTGACACTGACGCCATTATCCTGCAATAAGTTTGATGATATTTACTAGTCATGACATGATGACACACCATTGCAAAATGATATTAATAAATAATGGTAATATAATGAATCCATGAATGGCCCAATACTTGAAGGACGTTAGAATGAGAATCTGCTGTGTTCTGTACGACTTTTGGGGCAAAGGCAAGTGGATTTTTTGCTTCGATTTGTTGCCGAGTATCCATGACTGTATCTTCATATTCAGGTTTATTGAAGCACCCTTGGCAAGCGCAAAGATCAGCACAATAGATTCCAGCAGCAAAGCAATCGCAGTAACTGGATGGAAATGAGATTCAAAGGTAACAAGTTGTAGCACTACAACCTCATACTCAAGTAGGCAAACAAATTACACTTACAGTTTCAAGCATTTACTCTTTTTACAATTGCATCGTTTGCAGCCATCATCGTCACTGGCATCTGATGTTTTTTTCCTGAATAGAGCATCAACTTTGGATCAGATAATGAAAAAAGAGTGATAAATAAAGAAACTTGCAAAAACCACAAATACCCTTGCCTTTTCTTTTTGAGACTTGATTGATTAGATGTCGAAGTTCCATCAACATTTTCAGAACTAGATGTCCTTTTATGATCAGGAGTTGACTGAGATTCCAATAGCTTCAATGGCACAACATTATCCATAGGTTTCACATTATGCAGGGCTAAGTGTGCAGAACTTTCTCCCTGCAAGGTGCTCTCTTCAATGCTTTCCAGTATGTCTTCCCCAACATTTGATGAAATCGACCCTTTCATAAAATTGTCAAAAACACGATACTTTATCCTACCCATTGTTTTACTCCCTTCACCACTGCAGTTTCTAATCTCTGCAGACTTCATGCTTATTTTGGAACCTCTGGCACCGCAACCCCCTTGCACAGTATTCACAATGCTATTTAAGTGTAATCCTATACCCAAAGGCTTGGGGGGTTTCAAGGTAGAATTTTCAGTATTTTGAGAGTCATGCAACTGACTGCAGCCTTGGGTTTGTGTATTTAATGAAATTGGCTCTAGAGCTTCCGAAGCAATAGGACTAGCAGCAGAGTTTAAGCAGTCAACACTCTCAGGAAAACTACACGGATCTGAATTTTTTACTGTTTTCTGTGGTAAATTGTCAAATTGTAGACAACGCCTGAAAATGCCACGTTGATGTTCACCAGCCTACATTAATTGTTCAACTATTCTAGTGAAAACCCAAGACAGAAAGATGAGAGAATCCAAGAAAAAGAGAACAGCAGAGTATTTAATTAGAAAAATAAAATAGAATTAAACAGAACTAACACCACAAAGAAAAAGGGATGCTTTGATATAAAATACTACCTCCGTCCCAGAGTATTTGTCCACTTTCATTTTTACACACCATCCAATACACTTCTTTAATCCATTTTATCTTGTAATTTGTATATTAAAAAATTATAGAAATTATATATTAATAATCTATATGTTAAGACAAATCAAACAAAATCACACATGACTATATTTAGGCTTACACATTGAGAAAATTTGATGAGTCAAAGTGCTTAGATGAACAGTTCCAAAAGTCAAAACTGGACGAATACTCCGAGACGGAGGGAGTATATATCATGCAAACTATTAAATTCTATCTGTTATTTGTTGAGACATTTGCCAATATGAATCCGGTACAAGAAAGCAACTGGAATTAATGAAGTTCAAGGACGTTTTAGAGCAAACTTTAAGAATTGATATCATATTATCATAAATACAAGGATATGAGGTCATACTAAAGACACATGTTAAATTACTGTTTTAGAGTTCATCTGTAAATACATTTCCTCTTTAGATGGACAAATAATTGCTTTCAAAAGGTCAATGTTCATGAGAAAATACATTGTGTTCATAATAATTGCATATAAATTGAAAGCATAAATTGGCAAATGGCATAAAGTAATAAATAAGATGTCTACACATCTAAGTGATTTTCAGCAGAACATTCTACTGTTCTAGAATAAGTTAAATTATAGAATAATGTTAGTTGTTCTGAACTAGCTTAGTCCAGGATAAACAGGCATGCTAACTAATTTTTTTATGTCCGGTAAAACATGCACAGCTTAGGAATTACATGTGAGTTAATCAGCTCCAAATTATGCCTAGCCTATTTGAATGTGTATTTTGAACTTGTTAACATTAACATGACAACTAAATGACCTGAAACATTATTAACATAATTTATAAAGATGTGATGACAAAGAAATACTTACCTCAATCATTATACGGTGAGCATATTGGCTATCAAGAGCAATTTCAGCAGATGAATCAGGTTGCGCCTTTAAATATTGATCATATCCAACATTGTCATCGCTTGTATTCACATCAGTTTCAAAAGTCTTGTTAATATCAATTGATGTCTTTCCTTTATGACCCTCTTCAACTTTCTCTGCACCCATTGCAATCCCATTTTCTATTTTACTTTCACCATCAATATGATTAACAGATTCATGTGAACCTATATAATCATCAGCATGTGGAGGACTATTAGTTCTTGAATCAGCAGACCCCATTTTAGCAGCATCAACCAAGAAATCATCAACACATATAGGCTGACTTTCGGGCTGTTCCTGCACATAGGTGTTGATATCAAACGCTTTATCAGTGCAAGGTACCAATCCACCGAGTAACCGAGAATTTGATGATCCGGCTTCATCAGTCAATGCAGAAATATCGTTCTGATTGCCATCCTTTAAGGAAAACTCTTCGTTGGACAGTTGAGGGAACCGAGTCCTAACAAGTATGAGATATTATGAGTTATAATACAATTAGTTGTTCAGTTGTTTATTTTTTTAGCTACTACCAAAATTTTGATGCTATAATGCCATGAGTTTTTCATTGACTGCCTCCTTTATCTCACGTGCTTTTACAAAATTCACATTTGGTGGTCATTCTACTAGAATTTGCATATTCATACCCTAAATTCTAAATCTTGATTCTTTGGGGTCCATGGTATTTTGACAATACTACTTGAAACTAATGTCATCAAGCTAAAGTATGTAGAGAGATGGCTGATGTTGTATTAGCAATACATTTGGCAGTATGAGTTTGAAGTTTGCTTGAACTTCCAGGTTAAACAAGTCACAGTGGTTGGTGCACATGTGAGACTCTGATTGAATTCATTCTTTTTTTATTTTTACATATGGAATCCTACATGTGAAGTCATTAACCTTTCCAGAAAGCTTGACCGTATGCGTGGATTGATTCGAGGTGATGTAAACACAAGAGGAGGTGAATTGATCCCCGGGAAACCTTGCACAGCTAATGATGTCTTCACAGGTCCTATCGGAGAAAGATTGTTGATGTAGTTAAAGACGGGTGATTCCTGAAACAAGAGGAACAAGTCAGACAACATGAACATTCCATTTCCTGATCATATCCTTCAAACAGAACAAGAAGACAAACTAAAACAAATCAAACTTCATCGTATCAAAATATCTTTTCAGATAACCCAAATTTCTCCAGCACATTCGTGCATCTATACCCTAGTTAAGCAAATCAATTCATAACCGTCTTCCATTCCAACCACACTAAAAAAACTGTAATAGATTCCCAGATTCACATGGAAAGAGTGGAGAACCCCAGAGTTCCAGAACACATACCACATTGATTAACCCTAACAAAAAAATCATCTTTTTTTACAAAATACTCCGTAATACAGTGCACATTACTTCCACAGCCACGCCAGTGAACGAACATGTATGCATCACAGTTCAAATGAAATAAGAGATGTACTTGGACTGCAGCCGATTCCGCCAATGAAAATGAAGCGGCGGTTGAGGTGGCGGTTGCGGCGGCGGCGGCGGCTGTTTTCGAAGGCTCAGGAGAGTCCATTGGGCGGGGGCGTAACCCTAGTTCTAGTTCTGAAGCAATCCTTCTGCATCCGTGTCGTCTCTAACCCTCGTCTTCTCGCTTCTTGATCTCCCTCAGCGGCCTAAACTGGAATGCTAAATGGGATGATGATGTCCCAGTAAAAATGTTTTTTTCCCACAGAAATTATCAGAATTTACCGCAAAAAATAAAAACAGTGCTCCGTCTTCCATGGTGCCGGTTCCGAACCTTTGCTTCAAATTTCTCATTTTTTGCTCTAAAGAAATTAATGAAATATTCCTACAATTTGCATTAAAGAAATAATTGCTCCCACAATTAAAAAATTATCACTTTTTTTAAAGAAAAACGGTTGTTTTTTACTTTGTAATATCAAAATTAGCATTTCAAATTTATTTCTAAAATTTCTTTTTGTATAGTTTATATGTCAGAATAAAATTTACATTTTTATTTCATATTCGTTTATATGGGAATAACACATCTAAAAAAATTACACACAATAAGATCTTGGGAGTTAGGTGTGTAGGCAAACATTGGGGATGTTTTTTGTACTTATTAATTATTTAATTTATTGCAAATAAACGCATTCAACTTGCAAGTTCTTTATTGAAGTTTTTATGAAAAGTCGTTTAGTAATATTTACAAAGGGTTAGAGATAGTTTTGCAAAAGATTTGGTCAAAATGAATAAACAAAAAAATTTGCTTAAAATAAATATGTAAGTCTCATTTATTTTTCCTGATTTATAAACAACTTATAGTTAAGATTATAAGTATAAAAACACATAATCTGTTGTCTTGCAATATAAAAAGTAATATATAAATAGTTCTGATCAACTTATAAATACAGAAAAAAATAATAAAAATGCACATAGAAACGAAGCACACAAACCGACACTAACAAAGACAAGCGATGACGCACTTGCATAATACTTCCACTCACATAGAGAAATCTACTCCACTACTCTAGTCTTAAATCTTCATACGCTCATATTTAAAATCAAATCCTCAAATTGTTTAAAAGTTTAAAGTTATGTTAAATCACCTTCTTATAACTCTTCTTATGCATGCCCCTACCCCACCCCCGCCCACTACCAAAATCCTTCCGTATCTCTGTACTAGGGCCTAACACATTTTTGCATCATGTGCGCAATTCATTTTAGTCTAGATTCCCACAATTTATATCTTCCACATGCACCGCTCTCACTCATCCTCAATCATATAATCTCAATCCGTATCTTATCCAGCTTTATTTGCCCACGCATCCAACATAAAATCCCAAACTCCGCTACATGAAATTGCATATCTATAGGTCTTTTTGATCATCCAACACTCCGTACCTTGAAGTTAGTTAATCCATCAACAAATTCAAAAGACTTTCCTTTCATGCTTTTTTTTATCAACAAGGAGGGGGAGACCCCGAGCTAGTAGCCTCGTGAAGTGGTGGTAGCGTGTCGCGTGGTGACCCTCATCATATCGTCAGTATTCAAGTTTTCCAACTCTGCATCTGCAGTAGGGACCTCAAACGTTCTCCATGAAATATCTTGAAAAGCCCAAAGGTTAGCAAGGCAATCCGCAACCTTATTTTGTTCACGCAAGATGGCTCTAAAGCTGATTTTATGAAATCTGTCTGTCCAACTCTTTATCGCTATAATGGTATCGCTGATGGGTCCCCTCAAACTCGTCGATCTTGTAATCCAATTGACAACTTCTCTAACATCAGACTGCACCTCAAGATCCCTCACTCCTCTACCACATGCCCATTGGATGCCTTTCTCGATGGCTTTAGCCTCGATTTCCTCGATGTTATTTGGTCTAGTTCTGTAGGAAAAACCACCAAGCCATTCTCCACTATTATTACGAATGACTCCGCCGCACCCAGCCCTGTTTGCCATAACTTTATTGCTTCCATCAACATTAAGAGTGAATTCATGATCAACTCCCGGATTCCATTTTAGGAGAGGATCTCTTGTATTCATCAAAGAGGGGGTTGCTACCTGAGTTTTGTCGAATGCCCTTTCAATCTCTGTGATTGATCCCTTAATCCAAGCCACTTTATACTGGGTGTCAAGGTCGTCACCACCGAAGGCAACATTGTTTCGCCACCTCCAGATCCACCAACATGTGACGACAAAAGTGGCAGCCCAGTTATTGTTGTCGTGTCTGCCTTGTTGTCTCCTTAAATTGTCGCCAACCCATCTCCTCATTTCCGTGTGATCTCCATTACAACCTATACCTCCATTGTCAACAAAATTCCAAATTTGTCTTGCTTTTGGGCAAGTTCTAAAGATGTGAGAGGTGGTCTCATGGTCACCGCAAAGTGGGCAATAGCTATCCGAAGTGAGTCCTCTTTTCTTTCGCTCAGCATTTCCCATCACCTTCTCATGGCAGGTAGTCCACAAAAGAAGCTTCATTTTGCTTGGCACTTTAATCTTCCAAATCATAGACCACACTTCTTCTTGCAAATTGTTATCAAATCCCCTAATTAGATTATAAGCCGACTTAATTGAAAACTTACCTGTGGGAGCGTGCTTCCAGTAGAAATCATCAGGGGTGCTTGTGTCCAACTCCATAACTCGGCATTGCATAAAAGAAATAATGTTAGGTAGGAGGTTTGGAATTTTCTCCCAACTCCACCCACGAGAGCCATCCCAAAGTTCAGTAACAGTGGCATACGGATCATGTCCGCTGCCGAAATCTACAGTTTTATGCTTTTCAATATAATATGAAGCCCTTGAATTTTAGGGGATGATGTCACATTTTTAACTTGATACTGAGTTCTTTATGTGTCATCGTTCAATACAAATATCGTCAGCTACCAAATCATATGTACGTACCAATGGTGTCTCCCCCGGACATATATCACAGAGGATATATGAATGGACTAAAGGTCAACGAGCCATAATGTAACTCCAGCTCTACTCGAAAAGAGTCAAAATCATCCTAGACGATCTTCACTATTGTTTTGGCACCGACTTACATATCTTTGACTGCAAAATGGATGCAACTGGTATCCATTTGACTTTTAGACGCATATACAGGATTTACCTCGACACCGTAACATACGCTTTATCAAGATCAATAGACAACATATGTAGGTCCTTCTTAGTCATATAATCATCCATTAAAATCTGTCGTAAGAGGTGAATGATTTTTCATAGATGACCAGCTTTGCATGCAACCAAACCGATTTTTAAAAAAACATATTTTTCTTTCCTAACATATAGCTAGTCTCAATCATATGGTCCAAAACTTCATATATAAGAGAAATGTCAACTTAATTAAAAGATGTTTAATTGATTTAAGATAATAATATAAAGGTATGAACAAATTAATTTAAGATAATAATATAAAGTTATGAACAAGTTACAAAGCTGTTCAATTCTTAAGATCAAATTGAAAATGAACAAGTTTCACCCCTTTTTAAAAAGTGATTTCTTGTTTTGACTTTAAGAATATTAAAAATTAATACAATTTGATAAGAAATGATCTTGTTGAATAATAAAGAATATATATATATATATATATATATATATATATATATGTATGTATTAAAAGAGGGAATTATAATCTAATTAAGTAGGAGAAACTTTATAGAGTTATAGTCACAATACAATGAGAAAATGATATAATAAGAAAAGTATTAAATAATACGGAGTAATACTTTATTTCATAATACATATACTGTTCTTAATAAAATTATTGAATAATTTAAAATGAGTGTTTAGTATTTATTTTAAAAAGAAACATATTTTGTATTATATTTATTACTTAGTAGGCCAGTATTTTCTAAAAAGGAAGAAAAAAATGTTCTGAACAACTAAAATCGGAAATATAATGGCGAGAGCATTTTGTACAAATTTTATATTTTTTTAAAATTTTAAATCCCTTGCATTAAAAAACAATTTTTTATGTAGAAAGGTGTACCCCATTTATCCCCCACCCCTTTATTCACTACTCATTTTTACCACATTTTTATTTATTTATTTATTTTTTATTCTCTTGCTCATTTTCGTGGTAATGGAGGGGGGTGAGGGAGAAACTGGGTACACCCATTTTCGGAAGTAGCATTTTTCTTTTTTAAATCCCTTTACTACATCCGTTCCAGAGTATTTGTCCACTTACATTTTTACACATTATCCAATACACTTCTTTAATCTATTTTATCTTGTAATTTGTATATTAAAAAATTATAAAAATTATATTATTAAAACAAATGACTATATTCCGGCTTTGCATAGGCCTCGCGCAGTCACCCAGCGGCTCCAGTTCCGTTCTTTTTCACCTCCCCGACAGCGCAGCTCAGCCATGGCCGGAATTGTGAAGCCGCCGGGCGCTTTTACGGTGACACCTCACAAGGTCTCCGTTTGTATCCTGGTTAGCATCTACGCTCCGCCGGAACAAGACACTATTCCTTTCCCTTTCACCTCCGTCTCTCAGCACAACGGCCTCGCTCTGTACCTAATCGCGCTAATCAAGGTATTTCAAATCCTATCACAGGTTTCAATCTTTATTTTTTTCTTCGTTTCAGTGATCATTGATCTCGGAAATGGTGATGCGTTTCTTCGATTGATTATGCATCATTTAGTCATGCGAGGACATTTTTGAGCCGAAGCTAGATGAGTTGATTGAGCAGTTGACGGAAATCTCAGGAACATTGCATGAATGGTTGAGTGAGAACTTGAAACAGAGGTTATCATCTATAGATTCCCCGGATGATTTGTTTAACTTCTTTAACGAGTTGCAAGGTGAAGGATGATGTGACATTCACTTAGTGTTTTATGCGCAAATGTTATCTGTTTCCCTCATCAGTGAAGGTTATGCTATTGTTCTGCACAGACATACTAGGGGGTTCTGAGTCTAATGAAATAGACGACGATCAAATCAGTCTGGATCCTAGTAGCAACATTGGAATGTTTGTTCGTCGATGCTTGCTTGCTTTCAATAATTTGTCATTTGAGGTACTACCTTGTCAAAGCATTGCTGTTGATGATTATTGCATACTTTTTTTTAAATGTTTTTTGTATGAGATATAATGTTCACTCCAATGGGAAGATGTAAAGATTTATTGTTTGACATGTAGGCTGTCTGTCACCTTGTGTCAAAGATAAAGATGTACGTCAAGGAGTCACTCTCAACAAGTCCCCCCTATGATTTGCTGAATTTCGATGACACCGATTGCAGTCCAGAAGAACAAATGGCGTATGAGAAGATGGAACTGGAGAGCATTGACAACGAGAGAATTGAAGTGGAAAGAGTTGTTAACAAACAAGTTCCATTTCATAACCATGCCCCTAAATTAATTGTTGGGTTAGTTGAAGGTAATTTGCCAAATAACTCGAAATTAGTTCTTTTAGCATGCATTTCTATGATAATAACATTAATAAATTTTTTTGAGTGAGTGTGATGGATGTATTTTCTTGTTTGGTTGATGCGAAAAATACATAATTATCTGAAATGCTATCTCCTCACACTCACTGGAAACCAAAATCATACTTTCATGGTTGAACCCAAGCGTTCAACACAATCCGGGACTACACAATTTGAATTGCATCTTGTCTGGCATCTTCACTTTTTAGTCTTTACAATAGCTTCCTAATTGTTGGTTCATGCATTACTAATAATTTGGACGACTGTATTTTAAAGTTCACATGCAAACACACACACACAAATATATAAGGATAGAGAGAGAGTGTGTGGAAGGAGTTTGGAGGGCAAAGATTATAGTTCTAGGGTAATTTTATTCGGGGTTTGCATGATTGTTTTACATTTACTAGCTCTCTTTTTTCTTTCGTTATTTGTTTCAACCTGTCTTTATATTGTTTGGAATAAAATCTCTACCTATGTAGGTGGGGGTAACATCTGTGTACATCCACCCTCCCTAGATCCCACTTGTCAGATGCTACAGGATCGTTACAACATACATATATACATTCATACAAAGTTACAAACACCCACATTCATTTGTTCTTGTACTCCCTCCGTCCCTCAAAGATCTTCACTCTTCAAACAACATGCAAAATTCAATCTTTTTAAAATTATTTTGTTTACAAATTGCTATAGAAATAAAAGTACAAATTACATATTACAAAACAACATCAAAAGTTCTATAAATCAAAGCATGGCAAGAATATTTTATTTTATCAAATATTCAATGAGAACACACAAATAAATAAAAGTTATTGAGATACCAGAATAGTAAAAAAGGAGATCTTTCAGGGATGGAGGGAGTATTTTTTAAAGGAAAATAATATATGATGTTTCAGAAACTATTTTTATATGTTTGATCCCTACTTCTTTCAAGTGAGTAAAACTATAAGATATTATGCATTGCAGAATTGAGTGATCAATCATCATGCATTGCAGGAAATGACGTTTACCACGGTACAAAGGCTCAACACATTGGTAAATCTGTGGAATTTGAGCCAAGTGGTTCTGCACCTTGTGGTGCATCAAATGACTCTAATCATTCAGGCGAAGTGTTCCTACGAACAAATTGGCAAATACAAGGATACCTGATGGAACAAGCTGGTCTATTTGAGAAGTTAATATTTTAGCCTTTAACTTCTTTATTGTTTTGCATTTTAAAAAACAGATTATAAAAATAAGATAGTCAAACTTTTGAATAATTTTGATAGGCTCGGAAGCCCCTTCATTTTAGATTCATTTGATTTTGTCTTACAACAGCTCCAGAAACTGGCACCTGAGCTGCATCGCGTGAGTTCTTATGAGAATGATATGGTTAATGAGATCTATGCAGTTTTGAATCTTTCTTTATCTTACTATTGTCTTTGTGCTCACTGAAATGAAGGTTCACTTTTTGCGATACTTAAATAGCCTTTATCACGATGACTATCCTACCGCTTTGCAAAACATCAATCGCTATTTTGATTACAGGTATGCATTACTTGGTTTTAAAATTCCCACATGCTCTTTTGCAGTTGGTGATTTGTGGTTTTGCTTTATGTATCAAGTAACATCTATCAGCAGTACATTCTATCTCAACTTACCAAATACAAAAAAATTATGAGTTGCAATCCTGTTTTAGTGCTTGTTAACATGGAATATAAGTTTTCTGGATATTATTGTAATTATGTTTTGGAGTTTCTGATTATGCCATCCATCTCGATGGTTAAAGCTCATACTTTCCCCATTTATTATCCTCGAGTTATCCACTCTCTTTTCCATCTTTTATTTTGTTTTACTTACATATAGCTCTTGGGCATTGTTACCACCGTGTCTGACAAATCTCAGACATTTTAGTTAGCCTAAGAAAACTGATGCTTAAAGTTTAACCGTTTAAGATTGGCCGCTCTTTGTTGTTGACATCAGGATTAAAGAATTTGATATTTCTGCCTTTGCTCACTGTAAATACGTTGAGGGCTTATTATTTTCTTTCCATGTTGTACATTGTTCTGCATGCCTATGCTCCTTTCTACCCTAAGTATTCTACCCAAACACGAACAATAACAACAATAATAAAGCAAAAGATATATAGTATATTCCATATTTTCTTTTCCACCAAAGAACACAAATTTGCAGTGCAATCATCAATTATTATTATTATTATTATTATTATTTAAGGAGTATTATAATTATTATATTTTTCATTTGTAGTCATTAGTTGCTCAATATGGGTAATCTTGATCATTTTGGAGATAACGTTGATAATTCTAAATTGTCTTTACCAAAGTGCAGGGACTGAAGGATGTGACTATGTAGCTCCGCCTTCTTCTGCAGGTGGTAGCTTTGGGAGATTCCAAGTTGCGTTGTTATGTTTAGGAATGGCACATTTTCATTTTGGCCACCCACAACAAGCTTTGGAGGTGGGCATAAAGAATGAACACAATTCATTTTTTGCTCATTTATATGACAGAAGTTTGTATAGTGCTTTTGTAATTTAATACCCATGCTTTCAATTTCTTGAAGATATTGGTGGCTGGAGATTGTTAAAGTTTCCTCTTATTGAATAACAATCTAACTACTCAATTTTCTTAGGTTTTAAGCGAAGCTGTTCGAGTTTCTCAACTGGTATGCTTTTAGTACTGCATTTTTCTTTCATTTTGTTGGTCCCATTGGCTATACTTATGAAATTATGTTTGTCTTTATTTTTAATATTATTCTTTTTATCGATAAAACTTTTTGAGGTGGGGAATTGACTTTTGTAAAATTGAAAGTACTCATTTTTCTAAGTAGAGATGAACTTTATGACGTGATCACATGATAGCCTTAACGAGATGAACTTGATGACATGATAGACTGCATCAAGTAGTCAAAGAAGCCATGTTTTGTTTGTAACCAATAGCTTATATTACCAAGGGTCCCCCTCCCACACTCTCTCCCCCTCCCTCTATCTGCTCATTCAGCCATCAGAATGTTACATATAATACATAATGTAGTTAATTCAGATCTCATACTATCTAAGTGTTTTTTAACTGATGTCTTAACCAGTATGGTCATTACTTCAGTTCTTACCAACAACAACCACAAACTCAATAAAATCCCAAAAACGTAGGGTCTAAGGCATAGTTGTGAATGGCGAATGGCGAGTGGCGGGCGAGAGGTTCTTTTTTATGGCGAGAAGCGTGGCGAGCGGCGGGCGGTCAAATGGCGAACATTATATATATTTATATACATATATATATAGTTTAAGTCCAAACTTTTAGTCTTAACTTTGTATCAAACATAATTATCAAAGTAAAACATGAGTTATTGCTGAAAAACTATTATACAAAAAAATGAAAAAAATATATCTAAGTGTGAGTGTGACCTGTGAAGTGAGCTGTAAAGAAACAATAACCATTCAAAAAAAAATAAGAAAACAAAAAAAAAGTCTGAATGACCTGCGAAGTGTGGAGTCTTACTTTCGCCGGCTTTGACTCTGCCTCTACCTCTGCGCTGTTTAGACTCGCGAGAGAGAGAGAGAGTTCACTGCGAAGAAGTGCGCTGTTTGGACTCGCGAGAGAGATGAGGCTCTGCGCAGAGTCGGCGAGGAGAATTTCGATCGACGGCTAGAGGGCAGAGGCCAGAGGCAGAGGCTCGGCAGTTGAATCGATGAAGTGTTTCGATCGAGTACTGATATAGGTCAGGTCAGCGCATTTTTTTAAAAAAAAGTCAAGAAAAACCCTTGACCTGCATTAAGCGTAGATAGCGAACGCCTTTCGCCACAGCGTTTGGCGTCCATGGCGACCGCCTATGGCGAGATTGGCGTAAAACGCCTCGCCAGGTTTGAAGATGGCGTCAGATGGTCGCCACAAAGCCATAGGCGCCTTAGGCGAGAATGGCGTGCGCCATTCACAACTATGGTCTAAGGAGGGTGTGTGTAGGCCGACCTTACCCCAACTCGGAAGTAGAGATGCTGTTTTCTAGACTTTAGTTCCTACCACCACTTTATAACAGTTTAACTATGTTTGGATATGTGACTCAGATTTGTATGCTACTTGAATCAAAATGCCAATAGTGTTCAAGTTTGTGAGTGTTCCACTGAGGATGTCGAGTGTTTTGAAGAAAGATGTAGATATAATTTTATGCGTGAACAACAACTCAATTGGAGCCCACAACATTAGGGTCTAGAGAGGGTGTGTGTACGTTGACCTTGCTCCTACTCGAAAGTAGAGAGGATGGTTCCAAATCACCTCAACCTGGCTTCCGTAACTTATCCTCTATAGGTGCCCCTCCTACCCATCCTTGGATAACCTCGTTCAGAATCCTATCCAATCTCGTCTGTCCATTCATCCATCGCAACATCTGCATCTTTGCAGCATGCAGTTGATGAATATGGGTCTTCTTAAATGCCCAACACTAGCTAGGCCGATTACAAACCCATAGAACTTCCCTTTCATCCTAGCTGAAATCATTTTGACACATAGAAGTATAGAACCCCTGCCCCCCCGAGGCCAACTTCAACTTAGCCCAAGCGGCTCCAATACGGTGCACAATGTCCCCGTCAAACTCCCCATCTGCCTAGATGAAGGCATTCAGTAGGAATCAATTCTAACTTTGACCTTTAATTTCGTCACTTGACCACTGAAGCCAGAAGCAACATTTCATGTATTCAATCGCTGTCTTACCAAGTCTAAAACCTTTGGAATTCAAGTGTTATTGTCTTTTAAATATAGTTTTGTGTAACAACCTTAAAGCATTATATATACTTCAGCTTGAGAGAAGCATTGAATGTTAATTGAGATAGATGGTTTGTTGGTGTTAGTTGTATAGTCCGCACTAAATCTATTTCAGTAGCCACATTCACGTTTACAACACACAGCTACAATTATTTTGTCTCTTTTAAAAGATGTTTCCTTCTGTACATGGAAGGATGTTTTGTGTAGTGTGAACACATTGGTTAATAAAAGGTGTATTCATTATTGCCTTGATCTATATTGTCACAACACAAGGTTTGATTAAAGGGGGATTGACTGAGTTTATGATTTGCTTCGATTTCTAGTTAATGCCTAAAATGTTTCTAATTTCTTTTCTTATATTTCTGTCATGCCTAAAGATTTTCTAATTCCTTGTGCAGAACAGTGATGATACATGTCTTGCTTATACATTAACAACTATTTGCAAGCTGTTGTCTAACTATGGTCTTTCAAACACTACTGGTTTTATTGGATCATCATATTCCCCAGTTGCCTATTTAGGCACTTCTATGTCAGTTCAACAGCAGTTATATGTTCTTTTGAAAAGTTCCTTGAAGCGAGCAGAACGTCAAAAGCTGAAACGACTGGTGGCCTCTAATCACCTTGCAATGGCTAAATTTGACCTTACAGTAAGAAGCTTTTCTTTTGATCTGACTGATCTGATTTTATTAAGGTCTGGCCCGATTTGATTCTAGTTAAATTTAAAGCTGTTTCTGATTTGATTCTAGTTAAACTCAAAGCTGTTTTTGATCTGTTCTGATTCCAATAAGATTATTTAATTAGAGTAAGTTGAAGAGAACAGAGCTTAAGAGCATGGATTTCTGCATGCTTGTATATTAATCTCATGCTTTCTGTATTTTTTTTGTTTTGCTTGGCTTCCTAAAGGTTCCATGGTGACTTTTGTTTTGCAAAAGTAATTTAATATAAATTGCCACATGTGATTATAAAATTTGAGATATTGGTTGGCTTGAGATAATCATATGTATACATAAATATGCTTTTGCTGAGCATAGTCTGTTAAAATATAGAGATAGTGACCTTAATTTGCAGGATGTTAAAATTCTTATATATAAATTGGCTTATACTTTGCAGCACATTCAAAGACCATTGCTATTGTTTGGCCCGAAGGCATCCATGAAACTCACATCTTGTCCAATCAATGTCTGCAAGGTTATGTTAGCTCTTGGGTAGTTTAATATTTTAATATTTTTTTCTAATCTTTTTTGGATAATTTTCAACCTATTTATGGTGAATACTGCAGGAGCTGAGGTTAAGTTCTCATCTAATTACCGACTTTGGAGATGAAACTTCAACAATGACCTCAGATGGTGCTTTTTGTACGGCCTGGCTTAATGATTTGAAGAAGCCAAACAGTTGCCATATTTTTCATCAGGAAAATGAGTCGATTAGTAACAACAGGTTCCATTTCTGTGCACAGTCTAGTTCCATCCCTGGATCAGTGTTGCAACTAGTAGGTTCATCATATTTGGTTCGTGCCACTGCATGGGAGGTCTATGGCAGGTGATATGTGAACCTAATTTATTGTACTTCTCTTCACGCAATACCCACATTTTCTTGGTTCTTTTAGAGGTTGGTATATAGTGTATCATTAGCAGCATTTGGACTACTTACATGGCTGTCCAATTTGAAATCATAACAAGAGAGTACTAAGTGCTATTCTATGATGGCAATGGAGAAATTACAAGGGTTATGCAAATATGCAATGCATATATTGTAGTCCAAACTCCAGTTGATACTCAACACCTCCCTTGAATTTAAGTGGCCATCCCTAATTGACTAACATGGAACTATGGAAGACAAGGTTTTCCTCGGAAAAATGGACAGTAGTACATAAGTTTGCAGTGCTCTCTAATGATTGAAAAAAGTCAAATTATGGACCCTAGCACCATAATATCTACTGCATAAGGCATAAGCGTGTCATCACTCTTTGTGAGGAAATTTTGCATAAAGTTTGGCGAATATGTTAATATTATCCTGAACAAGCCTCTTTTATCTCACCCCCTTTCTCTAGGCAAATAATGTCATCAGCATCATCACTTAAACTACAACTTTGTTGGGGTGGTAAATCTGTATTGTGAGTTTATAGTTTTCAACTTCTGTAAAAAATATAGTGAGACAGCAATGAATTGAGATAATTGCTACGGAGTGTTAGTTATGCCCAATTATATGTTAGGAGCAATCCAGATTTTTTTGGATGTCATTCTCTATGTCTGATATCCAGTCTTAGCTCTTGTACTTTAGACATCTGAAGCTTGCAAAGAACTTCCTGGATAGTTACCATTTACTATATTTTCAGTGCCCCTCTTGCCCGAATAAATTCCCTGGTTTTTGCAGCCTGCTTTTCTGACTCATCCAGGTAATTCTGAGATAAGTCTCCCATAGTTTTCATTGTTCTTCATATGATATTTGACAGAAATTCATTAGAAATCTGCTCTTTTACTTATGCCATTGCAGTTCAGAGGATGTTGGATTGGCATATGCCAAACTTATCCAGCATTTGGCAGTATATAAAGGATACAAAGGTCAGTAGAAAATAGAATTGCCTTAGAAAGGATACAAAGGATCATGTTAGAATGCTTTTTCCAAGTTGAGCAAATGTTTTTATGATATACATTTCTAATCAAAGTTGTTAAAAGTGCTTGCCTCGTAGCTTAAGCGACGAAGTAAGTGTGAGTGACATCCACCTGCTTCACTCTTGTGAAGCACATACTTGTGAGAGAGCACCTGTTTTTAATGAATCACTAGTTCGTACTTGGAGTCCTGCTATATTCTTGGATCTTTTACAGCTTTCCGATCTTTTTTTATTTCTGAACCGGGGAGATTTTTTTTCCCACTATATTGATTAGTTTGAAATCCTTTAGATTATAAGACAACTTCTCAAAATAAGAGTCAATGTATTCAAAATATACATGTCTCAGAATTCACATTAAAAGCATGTACTTACAAACTTACATCTTGAATTGCATTTTTCCTACTCCACATTGATTAGTGTGAAAAATGATGTTTTGCAAAGCACTGTCATTTCTGCATGTTTTCACTTTTAAGAACACGTCTCTTCACTCTGACACACATAGATACATTTAAATTTATGATTTTTTTAATATCTGTGTTCCTAATTTTGTAGAGGCATTTGCTGCACTCAAAATAGCAGAGGAGAAGTTTTTATGCCTTTCAAAGTCAAGAGTCCAGCTTGTAAAACTGCAGTTACTCCATGAGCATGCTTTGCATCAGTACGGAAAGTTGTTTTTTGGCTTGATGCCTTACTTAGATACTGTTAAACAATATGAGTATCGTGGTATGAGATTCGTTCATCCTGACATCAAAGTGGTCCGTATTTTGCAGGGGGCACCTAAAACTAGCTCAACGACTATGTGATGAGTTAGGTGCTTATGCTTCTTCTGTAGCTGGAGTGGATATGGAAATAAAGGCTGAAGCAAGCTTCCGCCATGCACGGACATTGCTTGCTGCGAATCAGTTTAGCGAGGTCAGCTTTTACTTTACTGTATGTGCTTTATCGTGCTTTCCATAAGTTCTTGTAAGTGACTAGGACCGCAAGGTACTGCTTTAGAGTAAAATTTAGGCACATGAATTCTTAGATTTCTTATTTAAGTTACTCTGTTTGCTCAGTGCTGAATTTAGTAGGGTTATATTTTGTTAAGGTCTTCCTTTTTATCTCACTAGCCATTACTTCTGAGTTATGCATGGATTGTTTTGTTGATCGTGTAATGGATTGCAATTCCTGCTCTAATCCTTTTTTTAAACTATATATATTACTTGCTCTGTCCTATTTTATAAGTTTCACTAGCCTTTTTAGTCAACAATTATGACTGTTCTTTTTTAAACACCTCTAATATTCTATATTTCTGAATTTACTTTTTTGCATTTGATATGTGGACCTATTTGCACAATGATTTATGACTTCTACCAGGGTAAAAGGGATAAAACTGAAATAAATACTCCATAAATCAAATGTTCACTTAATGCCCATGAAAAAAGGAATTGGAGAATTGGGATTTATAAAATCTAAATGGGATAGAGCCATAGAGGAAGTAATCCCCTTCTTCCTTTTAAAGTAAGTCACAAAACTACGATTCTTTCAACTACTACCTTAAAACAACACATTTCCAACTTTGCTCAATATTTTTATTAGACTATTCAAGTTGCATTTATAACAATGGAGGTAGCAGCGGTTACCATTTTTTATTAGAAACATTTTTGTTACCGAACTGATGGAATGGAACTGTTTGAATCAAGATCATGTACTGCTGCTGAAAAGAGTCATCATTATCTACTCCCTATCTTGTGCCTTGAGTAACCTAGAACCTACTGAATATATGACAATATGTATAGAGTTATAACAACAACAACGAATCCTATCTGTGCAGTTAATATGTACACAACCTTACCCTTGAAAAAAAATAATGGATGATTCTGTTAGTCTCTTGAATCGTGATGCATTGCTGCATTTAGAAAATTATAGTGCTTAAAGCACACGACTGTTTACAACCTTAGAAATTCTTTAAAAAGTTTAAATTAGAAACTACAGGCCTTTCAAAGTTTTGATATCTTTGTTGCAGCTCTTGGATCCATGCATTGTGTTTGAACTTTAGATGCTCAAAAATGTCTCAAGTGATCCCTAGTAGCAAACCAAACCAAACAAACCCATTAGATCCCATTCAATATTATAGTCTGGAAGGTCAAGATGTATGAAGAACTTACCTCTACTTCAAAGAGCAGAGAGATTGTGTTCGAGGAGACAACCCTTTAAATCTATTCTGTAAAGTATAATCAATGTCATGGTGCTTATACTGCTTAATATGTGCTGATTACTATTCATCCAATGTACATTGTTCTTGCAGGCAGCAGCTGTTGCACACACTCTTTTTTGCATGTGCTACAAATTCAGTTTGCAGGTTGAGAATGCTACTACCCTCCTCTTGCTTGCAGAGATACACAAGGTATTTAGAATCCAGCTTTTGGCTTCGGGATTCTAGTTATTGGATTAGATTCTTAGAATAATTTCAAAAAACTGACTAGGAATCGTATTCAATTATCGGCGTAATATGTTTCCCACCATCTATTAGTAATTGAGTTTTAAGCCTCTGTTTTGTAGTCTTATTACACTCATTCTGATTATCATTAGAATTGGCAGAATAAGTAGGCTTGACTTATTTGGGTGAAAGGGATTCTACCAAACACTTATTCCTATAACAAATTTGGTAGGTTCATCCATTTCATCCAAATAACCCCTGTTAGAGTACATCCCACATCGGAAAATCCAAGAGTGAAATAATCGGTATATAAGCTCTAGAGTTGAACTAACTAATCGATTGAATTCAATCTTTTAATGTGGTTCAACCCAAGTGTCTTATTGCCCAATCCAATTATCTCTACCCAATCCTAAATTCTATCATGGTATTAGAGCCAGTTTTAGTCCACCTCGTTTGTCAAGGTGTCCGTCTAGACGTTCATTCCTAGCGGCCCGTTAGTCTTTAGCCCAGTTGTCCGTATGGAGGTTGTACCCAACGGCCTGTGGCCTGTTTAACATGATTGCTCGTCTGGAAGTCCATACCCAGCGGCTCGTGGTCCTTTAGGTGTTGGCGCTCATAAAAAAAGTCAAGGGAATGGGAGTTCATTTGCAAGTGATCAACCGGTTAGATTCAAAATGACCCGGTTGTCCACTTGAGGGGGAGTGTTAGAGTACATCCCACATCAGAAAATCCAAGAGTGAAATAATCGGTATATAAGCTCTAGAGTTGAACTAACTAATCGATTGAATTCAATCTTTTAATGTGGTTCAACCCAAGTGTCTTATTGCCCAATCCAATTATCTCTACCCAATCCTAAATTCTATCACCCCTTACCAAACAGGGTGTAAATGTTTCTGCTATTAAGCTAGCTCATGTTTTTTTTCCTTTTCAGAAATCAGGCAATGCTGTTTTAGGAATTCCATATGCATTAGCGAGCCTTTCCTTTTGCCAGTCTTTTAACTTGGATCTTCTCAAAGCCTCAGCTACACTGACGTTGGCCGAGTTATGGCTCTCACTTGGGTCAACTCATGCAGAGAGGGCTTTGAGTCTCCTACACACCTCTTTTCCTATACTTCTCGGTCATGGTGGTCTTGAGCTTCGTGCTCGAGCCTTCATCGTGGAAGCAAAGTGCTATCTAGCAGACTCGAGCTTTTCAGGTATATTGCATTACACTCTTCTTCATGAGAAACCTTAGACAAGAAAATTTGTTAAATCGGATCTAACCCATCCCTAATGGATCGATCATCTTGATGGGTGCACATATGACACATTCAACCGATCGTATCTCTTCTCAACATGATTATGATCACATATGAATTGTCTACAGTACACGATGAACCAGAGAATGTGCTTCAACCATTAAGGCAAGCTTCTGAAGATTTGGAACGTCTAGAGGTTATTCAATCAATAATACCTTTATTTTTCCACTCTATTCGTTTGGTCAAATAAATTTACCATGGTAACATACATTTTAACAAAGGCGAGCTTCTTCATATGCAGTACCATGAGTTGGCTGCTGAAACTTTTCACCTGATGGCCGTGATCTATGACAAGTTGGGAAGGATAAATGAGAGGGAAGAAGCTGCATCCATGTTTAAAGAACACATCTTGGCTCTAGAGAAACCTTTGGATGATGAAGATCCTCAGGTCAGTTAATTAGTTATTGTACCATGAAGAGAAAAAAGGTGTTAATTAGTTATTGTACCACCAATGCTTTACTGTTGTAAGAGGGTCTTTGAATCCCCCCCCCCCCACCCCCCAAAAAAAAAGGTTCTAAATTGATTAGTTTTAGAGTCCTGACATTGAAGAGTGTCTTCTGGTGTTGTGATACAATTCAGAAACAAAAATGGAGGTAAATAGTGAATGGATTTGGGCACTGTTTGGAGAGAGAAAAAGATTTGGAAAATGCTCTGTGAGGGTGGTTTATGCATACAATACAAGGCTCTGTTTGATACATGAGATTCAAACTATGGAATTGGAGTTAGGGACAATTCCAATTCTGCTGTTTGGTAGTACAAAAACATGTGGATTTGGAATTGGTAATACCAAAAATGAATTGGAATTGGAGGACTCAATTTCATCTAAATCAATTCCATAGAATTTCAACTCTCAATTTAATTTCAATTTCGTCAATTCAATGTACCAAACAAACCTTAATGGTTAATAAAGAAAATGTATGCTGTGGGAAGGTGGTTTATATTTTGTACAATAATAAGTATTTTACTACAATTTAGTTGAGCCTGAATGAATACGTGATGTGTAACTTCGACAATATAATTATGTAAAACAAATGATCACGTTAATTATTATATTCGTTTAGGATAAAAATTTGGGAATAAAAATCAATAAAATGAAAAAGTTTTTTGCTTGATACGGAGTACGGAGTATTTGTTTAGGATTTTCCAAAAATGTCCTACTAACTGTAATATTGTTTTGGAGAGTTGAATATGTTCATTAAATATTCTCTCATCTAAATAAATGATACACACCTTTTATTTTTCTTAAATTTTAAAAAACATCAAATGAGAAAGTTTTTATAGGATGAAATACAACATTCGAATTTCAGAATTTATTATGAAATAATCATCACAAAAGACATCTGCTGAAATTTATTTATTAAAAGAGACAAATAATTTATAAATATTTTTAGTCAAATCATGTGAACATACAAATTTAAAATTCCAATGCAAAATACTATGAAACACTAAAGTGCCATAAATAGCGTTTTAGTTTTCAAAAAAATAAATAAATAGCGGGTTATTATTATTACTATTTATCTGATTATTACTATTAATTTATTATCATTATTATTACACTCATCCCAAAATAATTTGCATATTTCTAATGATGTGAAAAATCTCAATATTTTAAAACTATTTTATTTACAAATAAGTATGGTAATAACAATTACAAATTACTTTCTCTGTTCCATTTCAAATTGTCTGTTTGTCTTTTTTTTCCGTCCCAAAATAAATTACATGTTAGTTGTTATCGTAAACTTTTATGAGTAAAATACCTAAACTACCCCTAAAATAAGTCTCTCTTCTCCACTTTATCTTTTCATTCATCGTCACCCTCCTAAAAAGTAATGACAATTTCAAAAAATCAACTCTATTTTTTATTTTTCTTAAATATGCCCAAAAATTAAAACAGACGATTTAAATTGGGACGAAGGGAGTATATGTTTAAAAATTACATGAATTTTTTTATGAAATAAGATTAGAGATAACAAGAATATTTTATTCTATTAAATAATCAATGAAAACATATAAAAAACAAAAATTGTCGAGATATTGTAATAGTAATAGTGTAAATCATTTTGGGATGGAGAAAATATTATTTGACTTGTTGAGGTTATTGATTAGATGAACAATTTTTCTCAAAAAATATGTTATTTTATCAAATTATGAATACAACTGAACAAAACAAGAAATAAATTAAAACCGAGGATCAAAACAACTGGTTCCAAAAATATAAATTTTTAAAAAATAATTCATCATCCAATTACAAAAAAAAGTCTGACAAACGAGCAACAAGCTACGCCGTAACCCCCTTTTGAATAGCAAACCCAATCTTACTTAGATTAAAATTATAGGCCTTAGAGGTCGAGATACACTATGCACGACTCGTTGGACCATGTTAAAGAATTCTACAATCTCAGGGGCTAGAGAACCATATGCATTAAGAATAAATGAGATAAACACATGTTGATTTTCTAAGCAAGTTTTATTATGTCTAGTTACTTTACCTGATTTCATCTTCAAAATTGCTTAGCGAGCAACAACCCCATTACCTCTGAGCTCAAGAAGAGGGGACACACCTGTAAGGTCCAGACAAACGTGTTTCCTCCCACCCACCAAAACACAAGAATATCGGTTGACCGTAGAGTAAATCTTTCTTTAAGCAGATTCGTCAGAAAGTTTACTGAAACTTTTTTTTAACCGAAATCTATGCCAGCTTTAGAACATTACATAGTACATTCCTCACAAATCATGTCTGTGTTTTAACCAAGTAACTCCTTGCAATGAACCACATACTCATCAAAATATCTAAGGTTCCGTTTGGTACATGGAATTCAAACTATGGAATTGGAATTGGGACCTCAATTCTAACTCTGGTGTTTGGTAGTACAAAAATTATGTGAATTTGGAATTGATAGTGCAAAAAATGAATTAAAATTGACAGAATTCAATTCTAATTCCACCCATTCCTTATACCAAATAGAGCCTAAACAAACTTTGTGGCAAAAATAACAATTTTTCCAAACAAAGCCTTAAGTTTCTTTCTGGTATACAAACATGGCAGGAGAGAATTGAATTGAACTCGAAGCAATCTGGAATTGTCATATACGAATGTCAATGGCAACTTCTTATCTACCCTTGTTTTTGTCTAAAACATGAGATGGATCTATTTTCTATTGATTGCTGAAAGAATCGGAAACTGGAATCGGTAGCAGAGACAAAGAGGATGAGGCTATAAATTTGTTTTCCGCGGCCGAAGAAGAATAAGAAACCGTCTGCAGCGGCGGCGGGGAAGAAATAGGGTGAGGAGATTCACGCGTATCACAGATTCATTTATGCTTTCACACAAATCCGTCGTTGTTTCTGTTTCAATCCAGACCTAATCCTCTCTGATTTCAATTCTTGAGCTTCAAGGTGATTCAAATCTGATTGGAATTCATTTCCAGCCAAAAAAAATGCATAAACCAAGGAACAAAACTATTAAATTCACACCTCCATTAAGTTGAACACTAGATAGATGTTGAATGTGGTGATCAATACGGAGCACATCCAGTTAATCTTTGGTCTCTGGGGTCGAATAAGGGAGCCATCCGTTATAATATAATGATCCCCTTGTGATTCCTAATCATTATTCAATTTTTTAAAATCATGTTTTTGGTTAGGTCCTGTTTTGTTGCCACATTTCAAAGTTCTGTGTGTTACGGAGAATTAATTCATTGCACTCTTTGCCACACCTATTGCTGTTTTGCTTAGACATTTCCTAATGTTTGTGAAAAATGGCGTTTTGATTTTTCTTGACTAATGGGTTGTTCTTATAACATAATAGTGTGATCTTATAACATAATGGCAATTGGAAACTTGGTTGCTGCTGTAAATCTGCTGTAGAGTATTGAAATCCAAAAATTTTATTTAGTCACTACATGGAGATTTCACTCATTGCATTGCAGACTATTGTTAGTGTAATGAGAGTATTCATAAGTTCTTTCGTTGTTCTGTCACATAGGTCCTGTTTGGCATTGCTTATTCAACAAGATGCCGTTGGCTCAAGACCCTTTCTATATCGTGAAGGAGGATATTCAACAATCTGTAAGTTTGTTTTTATATCTTCTAATCATCATTATTCGTTGAATTAAATTCATAGTAACCTTGTACTATAATAAAATCTGTATCTAATAATAATTTAATTGCTTTTCCTATGACATGAATTGAATAAATCACACTTTGAAGAAGCTGCTTAAAATTTCTTTTATTACCGACTGCAAATCTTGAGTGTCAAAGTGTCTCTTTTGCCAGATTGACAAGCTGTTGTCTACATTTCATCAATGGGAGCGCATTCCCGGTAGTAGTGTAGAGTATCAACGTCTCATTAAGGAGCTTCTTGCTGCATGTGAGAGCGTTTCGTGGCAGGTTTGATTACTTTTATGGTGGCATCTTAATGAAAATTCTAAGAAAACTTAAGCCACATATATGATACTCCCTCCATCTCATACTAGTGCCCTATTGACCGGGCTCACCGCACACATTTTAAGAAAAGTGAAAACTGTATGGTTGAAATTTATTCAAGAAAATAGAAACAATATGAACCACATATTGCTTTCCTCAAAAGAAAATAAGTGATTATCTTGGAACGGAAAGAAAAGGAAAGTGAGGTTTATTGAGGGACGTGAGGAGTATTGTTTTTATACACTTTGATCTAACACTTTTGAGAGGTTACTTTCTAGTGTGTCCATGCTAAAAATATGTTTTTGCAATAGTAAGGTGGATGAATTGGACAAGACAATCACAGTTGCCTCAAAAGATCCTGCTTGGTATGGTATTAATGAAACGGAGCTTGAAAAAAGAAGAAGATGGACCAGCACTGCACACAACCAGGTATGAGCTCTGTTTGGTAGAGCTTAATTTATGCTTCGTAGCTATAAAACATTGTAGGTGGAAATAATTGGAGCTTATCTTAAACGATATCATCTATTTGCTATAGTTTTTCACAAAAAACTAACACAGTGTTTTTTGGCGAGTATTAAGTTATAACCTCGCTATTTTTAAAATAATACTCCATTTGTTGCTATTTCAAGTACCTAGTTTGACTTCTGATTTTTTTGACTTACAAGTTTGGCTTTGTGATATCCACTAATATGTTGTTGGGAGTAATTGTTGATGGTAGGTAGGGATATCAAATGAGGATAGTAAAGTACGGATTTTACTTTAACACAATAAGACATTATTTAGGGAGGGACCAAACACAAAAACATTACGGAGTACTTTTTTAGGGAGGGAGGAAGTATGGTTTATCATTATATGCATTGGTAAGTTACACTTTGATTTCATTTTAACGTCTTTAACGTTCAGCTCAATTTAGCTTTCAACTCAAGTACTCAACATGCTGAAATATAGCCATATGGCATATACTGTGACATTATCTAAATATTATAAGTAGTGAATATAAGTTTTGATCTCTTTTTATATTTAGAGTATGTATTTTCTGTTTTAGCGTCAAATATAATTGTTGTGGTCTGTACTAGACTACTAGTGACCTGCAAAATTAAATCTGCTCATGTATGTTTTCTTCCAGATGATCACTCTCATCTTTCATTTATTAGGTGGGGAATGTGAAGAAAGCAGTACTAGCCGGACAAAATTCATATGGTTTGAGTGTTATTGAAATGCGAAAAGAGTTGATGGCACAGCCAAATTCTCATCAGGCAGATAAACTGAACAAGTACACTACCCCAAATAATGATGATTTTATATCATCTGAATCTGATAGACAGTTACTTCTCATAAAGTAATGTCCTCTTTCCCCATTCTAACTTAATCAGTCTCTTTCTTGCTGCATGCTTAAAGAAACTGAAAATCTTCGAGTAGCTTCGGGACTTCTGCTTCTCTGTCTCTTAAAAAAGTTGAAAATCATACCTCCTTAACATTCCAAGCTGATTCTATCCAAAACAAAAGTTGAAAATCATTTTTTAAAAGCACTCACAAATACCCTCTTAGGGTCCTACAGTAACGGCTGAATTGATTGAATCTCTTAAATTTTTTGAAAGGAAAAATATTTTGGCAACATCCATTCCAGCTAGATAAGCAAGTCCAACGGTACGATTATGGCTACTGACGCTTACTAGTTAGAATTAAGGCCACTTTATATGCAGGCAGCAGGATGATGAGCTAGATGAGCTTAGTGCTAGTGTAAGAAGAATTGGCGGTGTTGGGCTGACTATACATGATGAACTTCTTTCACAGGTGACTGCACTACTTGACTCGTCTTTTGTCTCGTTTTCTTGTATATATCAGTTTGGAGCTTATCAAAGGATTTGTTATAAGATGAAAATAAGCTGACATTAAAGTTAATATTTTGCAGGAGAAGCTGATTGATGAACTCGGCGTGGAGATGGATAGCACATCTACTCGTCTTGATTTTGTTCAGGTATTTTTTTCCCTTGGCGCCATAAAAGTCTATAATGAATTACTTTCAATTGTTATATCCAGCCATTGCCAAAAAATGACCTTAGTCCATTTTTAGCCTTCGTTAAGGGAGGCCAATGCCTATGTTAAGGAGATGTCCTACCTATTAATGTCCCTATCAAGTACCAATATACCCAGTAATATAAATTGTCTGTTACCCTTATTTTTAAATGCCGTTTTTCGAAATGAACCTTAAATTGTCTTATTCCCCTTGTTCTTAAACTTTTTTTTCTTTATCTTTTCAGTTTTTTGTCCCAAATCAGTTGTGTTTACTCTTCCAAGATTGCATTTGTCATATATTTACCAATTTTTGCCCTCTTTTACTCAAATAACATGGTCAAAGGGTTCAAATATTCTACATTAAAAAAAGGACTTTTTTTTCATGCAGAAAAGAGTTGCTATGGTAATGAAGAAGGCCAGTGTCAAGGGTCAGATTATGATGATATTGTTCTTGATTGGGCTGTTCATATTTTTATTTTTTCTGGTTTTCCTCACCTAGTTGACAGAGACAATAAGCCCAAATATATATTTTTTTGTAAATTAAATTTTTTTTAATACCCAAATGCTCTCATCATTTTGTGTATTTAATTTACTCGTCACCCAAAATAAAGTATCTCTATAGTTGTTTTTTTTATTTTCTTCATTATAATCTGCAATGGCTGTTCACTCACCGGACATAAGGGGTGAGTTTCCCAATGAGGATTTTATGCATGCGACAGAGACTCGAACTCGAGACCTCCCTTACGCGAGTTCAAGGCGCCTGATTTCATTAGGGCACGGGGTGATGAGCTTTGGAGGGTCAATATGATACGAGTTCTGAAATATCGGACTGGAATTGTTGAAAAGATATAAAATGATGGTTATTGGCCGGGTGACAGTGGGTAGCCGGCCGATGACGGGGTGGTCAGCGGTACGGCGGGTACGTAGTAAGAGGGGTGGGCGGCGGTTAGGAGATATCAACACTTCCATTTGGGAGGGTCAGGATATTGGAGATATTAAATTTGAACCTTGTTTAGGCTTTACCAAACACTCACATGTTATAATTTTAAGTGTATAAGACTCATCGAATATTAAGAATGTGAAAAATAAATCGACAGCCACAAGAGGAATACCTTGAGAGAAAAAAAATATATTTTTTTTAAAAAAAAATACAAAAAATTTTCCTCTTTACAAACACTGAATACCACACTTATGAACAGATCTGTCTACACCCTTTATCTGGAGCTATATTTTTTACAAGTAATTAGATATCATTTTTTGATTCTTCTCTCTACACTCACTCACATAAACTCAAGGATGTCTTGTGTAGAAACTTCTCTCTTCTTTTTTTGCCATGCATTTTTACAACTTCACACACAATATAAAGAAAATGGAATAAGAGAGATGAGAACTAAACAATAAAAAGTTAAATTATATGAATATTCTAGAACAGGAGTAGCTTATATTGAATTTAAAGGACTAAGTACAATACAATTAGATGAGAACTTGCTTTTAATCATACTTGATCTAGAATATCTCGATATTCTTAATCATACTCGATAATTAGCCAATAGTTTACACTAATGTGTTTTTCTAAATTTTTTCTCTTGCTTTTGTAGTTTTGTTGTCAAAGTTGCATCTTATAGAGTTATAGTGTTGTCTTTTGATGTCGGCCTCTTGGGCTATTTTTTATTACTCACTCCGTCCCCAATTTGATTACAAATTGCGGATTACGGAGTAAAATTTGTTACTTTTTGAAATCATTTTATTTACAAATTGGTATATCAATAAGATATAAAGATTACATATTAAAAAACTATATCAAAAGTTCTACAAAACAAGAGGTGACAAGAATACTTTTTTTTATCAAATACTTAATGAAATCGCGTAAATAAACAAAAATTGTCGAGAGGAGAGAGAAAAAAAGATTGTAATCTATTTAGGGACGGAGGGAGTATTATAAAAGTTTGAAGGGATTAAAGAAATAATCTTAGGTCCCATTTGGTACATGGAATTCAAATTATGGAATTGGAACTGGAGACTTCAATTCCAATTCTGGTGTTTAGTAGGACAAAAATTATGTGGATTTGGAATTGATAGTGCAAAAAATGAATTAAAATTGACAGAATTCAATTCTATGGAATTGAATTCCATGGAATTGAATTCCAGTTCCACCAATTCCTTATACCAAACGGACCCTTACACTCATAATCAAATTCATTAATGAGGCAAACTTCCTCTCTTCCTAAAAAGTTGCCACAGTTTGACCTAAAAAGGTCAAACTGTGGCAAAGGACAAACTGTGTCACTCTTTGACCACGAATTAAATATAATTTAAAATAATTAAATATATAAAAAATTGGAATTTTAAAATTATATTTTAAAAGAAATCTAATTTTACTAAATTTACATTATAACTAAATATTTTTTTTCATAATTTACGGTCAAAGAGTGCCACAATTTTTTAGACACGGAGGAAGTATAATAAAAAAAAGTCACAACTTTTGATTTCAATTTCCACTATTTCACTTTGACAATTTTTTAGTCTCATATTCCACTATTTCACCTGTGAGACTAAAAAAATCAGTTAAAATAAACATAGGAAACTGCCCCATCAATTACTCTCTATATCTCCAAAATCCTTCTAAAGTACGGAGTATTTATTATTTTTCAGACTTCATTGAGTTTTTATTATTGTTGTTAGACTAAGGACTCAATTTATCTTATTGGTTCAGATATGATTCGATTAAGTTCTGATTTAATATAATTATAGTTGTATTTGAAGTTATATTTGATATGATCTAATTCTAATAAGAATAACTATATATTCCGTAGGAATTAAGGAGTAGTAAAGTAATACTCCTCTGTCCCAGTGTATAGTATTCGTCCAGTTTGACTTTTTCGTACAATAATTTAAATATTTAGTTGTTCTCAACAAGATAAATATATTGAAATAATTTTTATACCAAAATGCATTATCATTTTTATTTAATTGAGGTCAAAAGTTCGTCTAATTTGATTCGAAAAAATCAAACTGGACGAATACACTGGAATGGAAGTAGTATGCATTAAATAATGCGGTCAAATTAAAGACTCAAAGCTCAGCTCATTTAATGGAATTCGGTACTAAATTAATTAATCGGCATTAATTCATATCTTTATTAGGATTTCCTCATTCCCAAAATATATGTATAAAAACCTCTTTGCTAGCTCATGTACAAAACCATCACTTTCATTAGGAAAAAAAAATATTATGTAATAATACTCCCTAATAATAATAATACAATAATAGAGAAATCCCAAAATTATGGCTGACTATTTCTCATGTTCATTGCTTCTTCTTCTTCTTATACTAATTCCAATCTTCTCTTCTTTTGTTCCACTCTCCCATTCTACACCTTTCATAATTCTCCATGGTAATGAATTGATATAATAATGCAAATCCTCCATTTTTAATTTCTCACACATTTTCTTCATTTTTTTTGTAACAAAATACACACAAACATACGTACGCATACACGACTACACGTACTCATGCAATACTCCATTCATCTCAAAATATTTGTCCAATAGATCGAACATTATTAGTTGTGAATTTTGTTAAAGTTGTTTTGCGTATGTAAAATACGTAGTTCAAAAATTCACCACGTTTACATACGTACATTCCGAGGTACGATATATATAATTTGTAATCTTACGGTTCGGAAGCAAATGGTACGACGATGGTATTGAGTGTGAGGGTATTCCGGTGATTTTCTTTTATAAAATGAAAAGTTTTTTTGGAAATAATGTAATTAAATAACACACATCGTGTCTAAATATTGTTCCAATTAAATAAACATGTCACATATATATATAGAGAGATGATAATCATCTACAAAAATATGTGTATATATATTATATATGATAGGCGTGGGAATGCAATGCAATGATCCAGGAAGCATTTTTTATGTGAGTATGCTTAGCATTTTGTCTGGGGTTCAAGGATCTTGCGTGTAAGTTTATTTCTTTTATTTATTCAATTTTTTTTTTTTAAATCCCTCTTCATTCCATCATTTGATTTTAAAATGTAATTAATCTAATTAAATACATTGGTCATATACAATAATTATTTTTAGGGAAATTGGATTAGGTGCTTCTGATTCATGGACCATGCCTTTAGACCAGCAAGTAAGTGAAAAAATGCCAATATTTTTGTTAAAAAATGACATTTGTTTTTTGTTATTGTGTACAAGTGTTGATAATTTTTTTAATTCAATTATTTGAGTGTAATAATAGTGTTTTTCACTTGCTACATCATTGTAGGTTGAAATTGCTTGTGCTAAGGTACATTATATATGATGAATTCCCCCACAAGTTTTGCATTTGATTTCTTTAATTTCTCATTATTGGTTTAAAAAAAATTGGAAATTTCACAGGTTAGAGGAATGCTACAACTTCAACAAGGTTACAATCTAGTTGGTCTCTCCCAGGTAAAATATAATTACACGTACCATTTAAAATTGTATACGTAACGTAATAGTTTCTAAATAAACTTTACATTTTCTTTTCTTATTATACCAAACTAAATTTCGCACCTCCGATCCCTCTTTTCCCCTATAAACGAATGAAATATGTTTTTCATAATCTTTCTATCTCCTCTGAAATATGTTTTTCTCCTAAATCTTTCTTTCTCAAATCCGTGAATATATATGGATGGTGTCGTGGTGGTTTTAATTTTGTCCATTTTTTCATCAGGGAAACATAATAGGCCGAGGCATGATTGAATTATGTGACAATTTACCTCCGGTAAGAACGTACAACATATCATTATTAGAGTGTTATGTACTCGATTGTAAATAATATGAATTCAAAAGTGATGAATTTTGGACGTTGTTCGCAGCGTGACCATAATGGAAAATCGAGTGCGTGTTTTATAATTATAATGGAAAATGCTGAGTATTTAATAAAGTTTTATTTTTTGTTGGGTGCAAAAAATAAAACAAGTCAAGAATTTCATCTCAATAGCTGGGCCTAATGCTGGAGTTTCTTCACTTCCTCTTTGCACCGTAAGCTCTAATTGCACTTAATTACATATACATGCAAGTTATATAAATACGGAGTACAATACTTATTGTATAATTAAACAAATTAATTAAAGTAAGTACATTCAGAAACATGACAAATGTATGTATAATTTGACCTTAATAATGTCTCACTTTAATAATTTGCAGGTTGGGCCTCGGTGTGGTGCTTTGAGTTACTTGTATAAAATGGGAGTCTACTCCGGACTTGTTCAAGTATAAATTTTTTTACATTCCTAATAATAAGAGTAAAAAATTATGAAAATATAAAAATAGGAGTCCTAAGTCTTTTAAAACCAAAATAAGAGTTCACGCTACTATTGTTACACTGTCACATTCACTACATTGTCACATTACAACTGTCACAATATCATTGTCACACCAGTCTCCCGAGTTTCATTGCGGATCGCCTATAGTTGAGTGGTCACACTGCCATATAACACTGCCATCACTTTTCCATCACAATGCCAATACATATTCTTACATCACATTGTTCTTATACTCATTTTTTTTGTCTTAAAAGACTTAGGACTCTAATTTTAATATTTTAATACTCCATACTTTTTTACTTCTATCTAAGGAGATCTCTTAATAATAAAACGATAGAGTATTGATTTGAACTAAAAGTATCATCAATTCAAATTGATTTTTTAATGTACATATATGATATATATTACTTAAATTGTACGGGGTATCATTTTCGAATCGTAATGTTTGATGATAATTGATAATGGCTTCTTTAATTTCTTGAATATATTGCAGGACCGCTTGGCTCCGAGTGGTTATGTTAGGCTTGCAAATGTAAGCAAGAATATTTTCGAGAATATTCAATCAAAAAATTAAGCTTAAAAATATAAAATAACTCATTCCAAGATTGCTACTTTTTTTATTATTAAAAAAGAAGCACAATTCGTATCATTAATTATATTCGTGGCATTCTTTTTGTTGAAAAATAATATTCATAGGATATTCCGGGATACTTGGAAGGATGCAAGTTTTTGCCAAAGATAAACAATGAAATCCCAAGCTCAAACAATACCCTCCACAAGCAGAGATTCAGCAGCTTGCAAAATCTTGTCCTCATCATGGTTGGTTTGTGCCTCATACAACATATTCAGTAACAAAAAAATCAAACTTGTAATTATCAGTCTAACAAATATTTTTATATTCTAACAATCATATTGAAATGGTGTGCATTAAATTTTCGAATAACTTGCAGTTCGAAAGCGACAGCGTTGTCATCCCGGCATTAAGCTCTTGGTTCGGCTTCTATCAAGACGGAGATTCTACAACAGTGTTGCCTCCGCAACAAGTAATGAATCCAACACCGCAATAGTCTTACAAAGTTTGACATCAAGCTAAGTGTTTTCCTGACATGCACAGACGATAAATGACTGTGCGTGCGTCAAAGACAATAATAGTTGTCCCTCAAAAACACTGGTTGTCAAATTTGGTAAAACTGTATCCTCTTTTCAATAATTAAAAAAGTACCCCACAATTGACTTGTTTTTTGTTAATTAAATTTGTTTTAAATTTTATTTTTCTCTTGGGTTTTTGCAGACAAGATTGTACAAAGAGGATTTATTTGGGTTGAAAACATTGGATGAAGCTGGGAAGGTGAAGTTCATAAGGGTGGGAGGAGCTCACTTGGAAAAAACCATTCCTGAAATGCAACAATATGTTGTTCCATACTTAATTGGTTGATTATATTCTGCTAGCTACCTTAAAATAATTAATCTTAGCTAATATATATGATCACTAAGCTTTGGTGTTTTTTTACACACCATATTGTATTTAGGGGTTCCACAAAGATTAAATAAAAGAAATGAATAGAAAAACATAAATGAAAATGTTAATATTCGTGAACTAAACCAAAAACTTGTTATCCTCTCATTTTTTTTAAAATAAATTTAAAGATACATTTTTTGTAAGAGTACGAGATACTCCCTCTGTTCCACAAAACCCTTCCTCTTTTGTTTTTTTTTGCTTTCCACAAAACACTTTCACTTTCTATTAAAAAACCACTTTTACTCCTACTTTTTCATACCCTACCCATCACATCATACTTTTTTACTAATAATCAAACTATCCCATCATACTTTTTCCCATCACATTAGGGGCAAATTTGAAAATCAACCAAAATTACACTTTTCTTATTTTTCCACAAAGTCAAAACCGGAAGGGTTTTGTGGAACGGAGAGAGTAAAAGTTAATTCTAAAAGTGTAATTAGGTCAAGTTTTGAAAGGTGTGGAAAGTCTAAGTTGACCATAATGATTAATTCTAAAATAATTTGTAAGTCAAAATAGGAGGCAAAGAGATGCATTCAAAATTTTCTAGGTTGGATAATTAACTTAGACAAAACTGTCACAAGGTGTTTTTTAATGTCATAAGCTATGGGGGCAGTCCCATATCATTTTTTTTCAATGTATAGTTACATTTTTTTATGTAGTTGTCATTTCCAACCATTAGTTCATGTTATAATGGGGTGTTTCACTGAGATTAGTACTTATTAATTTATTGTTGATAACCAATTTTTAAATTACAAGTTGTTTATAAACTAAATACTCATTGGTGAAAGTAAGATGAATTAAATGATAGATAAGTTATTTGGAAATGTTAAAAAATGGTGAGAAATAGTTTTGTAAATAATCTGATCAAAAACGAAGAAACAAAAAAATGACTCCAAAATAATTAAGTTAATTAGACCTAATTACTTTTTTTCGTTTATAATCAGCTAATAAGTCAGCTTATTAGCACAAAAAAACATATCATCAACTGACTTAAAAATTTAAAATCGCTTGTAAGCAATATTGACTAGTTTATAAGCACAAAGAAGCGGTCATCACAACATTTGTACTTGTTATCGTATTAATATTATCTTCTCTTCCACCCTCATACCTCACACCTTTTATCATTCTCAATGGTATGGAAATAAGAAATACAAATTACATATTTAAAAACTAGATTAAGAAATCTATAAAAAATTCTACAAAATTAAAGTTGACATAAGTGCATTATTTTATCAAATTGACAATGAAAATAGACCAACAAAGTGAATATAATGTTTAACTTAGTGAATAGTGAACGGGAACATAATTCTTGAACGGATGGAATATGATACTTTTAGAATATTCTCTATATATCTACATATAAATAAAATTATTAATGGTCAAAATGTTACATTAGATATCATACAAAAATCAAATGAGAGTAAGGGTAAGGGCATAAGGCCAAGTTCTCTCCAACTTATTTTTTTACTTATTACTTGTTTTTATTGGAATCCAATCTCAAAATTTAACTCAAAGGGTTGAGACACTCAATCTATTATAAACAACATAGTATTAACCTATTTAGGCGATGTGGAAAGTGGATCACTCAACACGCCCCCTTCACACAAGGCGCAGAATAATGTACGCACTCAACACCAATGACCTAGCTCTGATACCATGTGAAATGATAAGCTTGCCCAATTTAACCTCAAAAATTAACTCAAGAGGTTGAGGCACTTAAGTTATTATAAACACCAGGCCATAATATAATAATATTGGTGTACACGGACGATGTGGGATGAATATAACTCAACAATGTCCCTAAATAGCACAAATCTAATCAATAACCCTAGTTGGTGTTCTTTCTCATCTATGATTATTATGATCAATCAATCAATAATGTATTTTTACCTGAATTGCTCTTTGGATGCAGGTTGAAATTGCTTGTGCCAAGCTGACATGATGAAAAATATTGGTTCTAGCTAGAAAGTTTTCACTTGTATGAGTTTCTATAATAATCCCAATTCACTGGCCACCGCCAAAATTATTATATGTCAGTTAGAATCTGCCAAAGCAAACCATTTTCATAATTCTCAGTGGCCAGTGAATTGGGTTTCTATAATAATCCCAATGAAAAAACCGGCGTTTCTATAATGATCCTAATTTTATAGAAAAAATTTCACTCATATTAGTTTTTAAAATGGTTTGTTGAAAACTGGACCCACAGATTAGAGGAATGCCACAACTACAACAAGGTTACAATCTTGTTGGTCTCTCCCAGGTATATATGTAATATTGTAGCACACCATTTGATCTTGAATATATTTTACATGTTCAAAAATATAGTATATATAAACTTTTAGAACTATAATAACATGTAGATTTTCCATACTGTTTTCAATTTTTTTCCAAGGGAAATGTGGTAGGCCGAGGCGTGATTGAATTATGTGACAATGTACCCCCTGTAAGAATCATTTTTTTCGTTTAGTTTTATGCATTGATTCCATAGATTATAAACCATATTTGATCCATTATTCAAGTGCAAAAAGGGATTCCATGCATTTCATATTAGTCCATTATTATGACTTTCTTAATATATTAAAAAATAAACAAATGTAGACATGATATATGTGTACTTAGATTTATTCAGCTTTTGCTGTTATAAATGGTATATATATGATGAAACAGGTGAAAAATTTTATATCAATAGGAGGTCCTAATGCTGGGGTTGCTTCACTTCCTTCTTGCGCTGTAAGCATTTTTAGTACAAATAAAGTGTGACAAGAACATATATTTGTTGGGGGTGTAAATATAATCATATCCAAAGCTAGAGAGTTAAGAAAAAGGTGCATTGGATATAATTAACTCTATTAGGGTGCAGGGGTGCAATAAGGACTGGCCAGGCTGGGTTATGAATAGATATCGTCAAGTTTACGGACAGGACACATGTTTCCAAAGTCAATTATGACATTAGATTCTAATGTCAATAACACCTTGGTGACTGTATTATTAGTACAGTCTTTAGTAAGTGTTTATAAACAAATGCGTGCGAATTTAGTTTAGCTAAAAAATTCAAAACTGATATGGAATACATTTAAAAATTTGTAACAATATAAATTGATGATAATTTGTCCTCCTTACAATTTTTTTGGTTAAGTCATCCCTGCAAAATATTGTTTTTTGCAGAAACGACTTAATAAAAAGAAATTAGAAGGGCCAAAAGCAAAAAATCATTTATTTTACAGAGATCAAAAAAATATTTAACCCGTTAAAATAATAATGCAGGATAACCCATGGTGTGCTGGTGTTGGAGCCATATCTGAAATGGGTGTCTACTCTGACTATGTTCAAGTACTTAACAATAACTAACCCTTTTTTCCCTTCTAAATTGTCATTAATTAGCTTATTCCATCAGCTTTTTTAATGTGTTTTCTGACCTTATAATTTACATTCTTGAACTGCAGACTCACTTTGCTCCTAGTGGTTATACTAAGCTTCCAAATGTAAGCATGTAAAATGCAAAAGCAGATTGTGATTATCAGCTTTAATATCTACTATATATGAATAAAACCTCTCCAATATAATTATGGATCATAATCTTGACAGTAAAAAATGGCTAAACACATTTTTAAATCTCATAATCCTATATATTTATATTTCGGTAGATTTTGAATCCGTTGGGTGTAAAACTCTTAAACATTTGGTAGGATATCCCGGGATACATGAAAGATTGCAGGTTTCTACCAAAGAAAAACAACGAAACTCCGGGCACGAACAACACCCTTCACATAGCAGAGATTCATTAGCTTGCAAAATCTTGTTCTCATCATGGTTTGTCATCAACAAACAACACAATATATTATATTCTCCCTTTTTTAGTCTCAATTTTTTGATATTTATGATTTCGTGTGTGTCTGACTGTTTTATGTCTCGAAAAATTGCAGTTTGACTGGAGATCACTTGGAATTAACAACTCTTGAAATGCAACAATATGTTGTGCCATACTTAATTGGGTGATTAATTATGTGCCATTGATCAAGAATTTACTGAACCGGTTTCCAAAAAAATGGTAGATGGGTACAAAGTATACATTTTACTACGTTTGTTTAATTTGTCTCGTATTAATATTGACGTACTACACATAAATTTTTTTAGGCACTTCTGTGCAATTTTATAACAATATTATCAACGCTTAAGGATTAACAATATTGGCTTCCTTTTGACAACTGTATTTGTTAAAACAATTTAGACACTACGGTGCTCCGTTACTAAAATTAATGGTTTCCCTCCCACCTGCCCCACCTAAGATGTTATATTTGTAAAATCCAAGAAACTAACAAAAGACATGCTTGCAAGTCAACTCCAAAACAGCAATGTACTCAACGTCTAGATAGCTTTCAAATCGTAGAAAACATGTGATGCATCTATCGTAGAAAACATGTGAAAACATTTGATGAATTTTCATTTTTTTTATTTTTTTTTAAATTTTTCATTTAAATTTTTAAAATTACTTTCTACCTCCACCATCATTTATTTTTCTTTTTTTAAAGATTAGTCTTAGTTTTAAAAATAAAAATAATAGATATAAAAAATGAAAAAATGGAAACTAACTTGAAATTGGTAAAAGTAAAATAAAAATATACGGGTGGGTTTTAATATTTTACGCATTATACAAAGTATTAACATATCACTTCTTATTTTTTAGAAAAAATTATCTACAATAATTCCAACTTTACCAGACGGCTTGTTCTTTTAAAAAATAAGTAGTACATTAAGACTTTGTATAGTGTGTAAAATGTTAAACCCACCACTCCGTATATATTTATTTTATTTCTTACCAGTTTCTGTTTAATTTCTATTGATTACATAATTTATTTGATTATTTTGTATGGTTTTAGTTATTTTTCTCACTTTCATTATTTTTTATATCTATTTTTTTCTAAGGTAAGAATAATCTTTAAAAAAGAAAAAGAAATGGAGGTTGAAAGTAACTCAAAAAATTTAAATAAAAATTTCAAAAAAAATTAAAAAACAAAAATTCATCAAAAATAATCTCAACTTTCATTTTGTTGCCTAAAACGGGCATTTCCGTTAACCCTCCGTTAGAAACTTAACGGCGACCCAAAACTGGCAAATTTCAATAAAGTTGGGATTATTGTGTATCACAGTGAAAGGTGGGATTATTTTTGAAAGACTGGGTAAAGTTGGGATTATTTTGGGTAATTTTTCCTTTTGAATATCATGGGATTTTGCACGTCATTCGAATAGAGAATATCATTTTGCGATAGATGTAGTGTTATATACTTCCTCCGTTCCTTTAAACCCTTCCACTTTTGGCAAAAATAAGGAAAGTGTAATTTTGGTTGACTTTCCAATTTTGTCCCTGATGTAAGATGTGATAGTTTGGTTATTAGAGAAAAAGTATGATGTGATAGGTAGGGTATGAAAAAGTAAGGGTAAAAGTGGTTTTTTAATAGAAAGTGAAAGTGTTTTAGGTAGTGTTTGGAAACTAGCATTTCATTTCAATTCATGCATTTTAATTCCAAAATTTGAAATCTTGAATTTCAAATGACAAGGGGAGGTGCATGTATTTCAAATTAAGCTTTATCATGAATGAGAAGAATTTGACTCAAATCCAAATTCAAAATTTTTAAGTTTCCCAAACATGGAATTTGAGCCAAATCCAGATTTGAAATCCAAATCCATGTTCCCAAACATACCATTAGGGAATTTAAAAAAAAACGAAAGATGAAGGGTTTTTGTGGAACGGAGGGAGCATTAATTTACTTCTCTAATTGTCGAGCCGATGATATTTTCTCCCTCCGTCTTAAAATAACCGTCTTACTTCAAACAACGTGCAAAATCACATCTTTTTATAATTAGATTATAAAATAGAAATAACATATTTCAAAACTACATCAAAAGTTCAATAAAATAAGATGTGACAAGAATATTTTATTTTATAAAATAATTTATAAAAATATAAAAAAACAAACATTATAAAGAGATCAAAACAGTAATTGAGACAACTATTTTAGGTCAGAGAGAGGAATGAAAGGCTTAATGACACAGGTATCACTTGCTTGTACAGGTGAAGAATTTCATATCAGTAGGGGGTCCAAATGCAGGCCATTCTTCAACTTTTGCTTGCGGAGTAAGCAATTATTTTTATCATTTTACAAATTAAAAAAATGATATTTTGTAGTTAAAACTTGTACAGGAGAGATAATTGATGTAAACCAAATGATTTTATTTAAAATTCAAATGAAAAGATGATTTAGAGACATTTAAAAAATAAAAAATGAACATAAAAAAAGATAGAGGGCGTACTTATTTATTACTCCCTCCATAAAAACTCATCTGTGCACAACTATTCCCTCCATAAAAACTCATTTGCGCAAATTTAAATTTTTTCAATCTATAATGCAATACCAATAACTATCATCTTTTTTTTTAGTATATTTGTCTAATTGAATTTTGTTTTAGTCAAATTCGACAATCTTTGATAATCAATTAAATAAAATCATTTTCCATATTGTATATTAATACAATGAAATGATATTAGTTTGCATGTTAACATGTGCAGAAGTTTCCATGGTGTGGTGCAATTGGTAAGTACTATGGCATGGGAGTATATAATGACTTTACCCAGGTAATTATTACTTTGCAAGATATTTTATCCAATCCCACCTTAATCTCGTCTATATTTTTAAGTTTATAAAAGTTATACTCAGTTATATAACGAGATTTTATGGCTTACAAAAAAAGAATATCTATATGAACTGAAAGAAAGAAAACGAGATATAGGGCCGGTTTCTTTCAACTTCATATACCGGTTATTAAGTAGGTGTTTCTCGGGGCCTATAAGCTGGTCAAAACCGCTTATAAGTTGTTTTAATAAGACTTATAAGTCATCCGCTAATGTCTTTCTCGATGCTTATATACTAACTTATAAGTGAAAAATAAGTAGGTCTTACTTACTTATTTTTAAGCTAATTTTTTTCCTCCATTTTGACCAATTTATTTAGAAAACTATTCATCATCTTTTATGAATATCCATCACCAAATGACTTATCTAATTTAAGTCATTTTACTTCTACAAAATAATATTTAACTTATACGCAACTTATACGTTAAAAATTCTTTATCAACAATAGGCATCAAGAATGAGAAATGCCCTCGTAATTTCAGTTTCTGAACTCTGAATTTAATTAAATGTTCTGTATCCGCATTCTAGGCTCCAAACAACAATTGCGAGATTTTAGACAGACTTTAGACTATTTAAAAATATGAAGGAAAAATATGGACATTGTTTGACTAACTTGTTGCATGGCAAATGAAGATATGGATGAAATTAGCATATTTGTTTTGAAATTGGTTTTGCTAGTGGTGGTTGATTAGGTTTTGTTTAGGAAATATGTCTATGATTAAAGTTTTGTATATTTTTTAACGGTACAACTTAGTTTGAAAATATTAAATACCAAAAATAAAATTTTATAAATGCTAAGATTATATCGAAACGGAGGCTCAAAATTAAGAATTGATATACTTGTGCAGTTATGCCACCTTCCTTTTTTTCTCTTATGTTGAAAAAAATACATTAATTTATTCCACAAACTAAAACACTTTTTTTTATATTTCTTGTTATGAAGGTTAGTTATGAGTACCTCACTTTCTTGAAATAATGCATGCAGGATCATCTGGCTCCTAGTGGCTATATCAAGATTCCAACCGTATGTATATTAAACCCTGATATAATTCTTAAACACTAAGTTCAAACTCGTGACTTCCCATTTGGGAGAGGCACACTCATGCCTCTAGCTAGATCATGAGGTCTTTGGCAACTCTAGCTAGTTAAAACAACATTAAGGCATAGAGAAAATATTGTTCATAATTCTTTTTGTTGTTGTTTTACATTTTGAAGGACATCCAGGCTTACTACAAAAAGTGCAAATATCTACCCAGGATAAACAATGAAGTCCCAGACAAAGGCAGTGCATCTCGCAAGAAAAAATTCAGTAGCCTTCATACTCTTGTTCTTGTCTTGGTATGTATGATATATGTAGACATACGCGCACGCATACATGCATGCACACATACTTACATACGCACACCTACGTACGCACGCGCATACATGCATGCACACATACGCACACCTACGTACGCCCCCCCGCGCGCACACACACACAATTGCGCTAGTGTATACATATATACTAAATTTTGTTGAATTAGTTATTCACAAGTTAACAATAGGCTGACTAAATAGTTACTATTTTTGTCTCAAAATATTGTCTAGTTTAATTTCCTTCAGTTAAATTAAGACATTTGACCATCAATTCATTCCGGATACATTGTGCTAAGTGTTTAATTAATTTTATAAAAAGGGAGTTATTGTTTTTGTGATGAAATGTTGCAGTTTCAAATGGATACGATTATTGTGCCGCAAGAAAGTTCCCATTTCGGGTATTTTCCCAACGGGGATTTCTCCAAACCAGTGCCTATGCAACAGGTATATATAATACAATACACTTGAAAATTTTCTGATTTGATCTCTTTTTTTATTATTTTGAATTAGACTTAGTCTTTTCACAAACATTCAATGATTTTTAGGCCGTCGCTCAGTTACTATGATACTTTTGAAATGCTAAAATAACAACATATGCCCCCCTAAGAGTATATTGACAGATTTTTCAAAACAAAAGTTTTAAAATAACATCAACTATGACACCACAAATGACGACAACTCTCAGGAAATTCGTACGTGCACAGGACATAAGTGTATAAGTTTCCAAACGATTAACGTCCGTAGTGTCAAAGTTGGTGTTATTCTAGACTGGCTCTTCCCAAAACAATATCGAGTCCATAACAACGTAACAATAACAACCCACCAGTATATGTGCAACTCCATGGGAAACTATGTCAAGATGTACACAATCTAACTAATGTAAATAGCGGAGAAGTTGTTTGTGTTAGACTATAGAAAGCTCAATTCTCCAAATGTTCATAAAAATTAAGAAGTGTGAAAGTTTAATATGTTATTTTACTTTGTTGCAGACTGATGTCTACCAAAAGGACATGTTTGGACTACAAACTTTGGATAAAGCTAAAAAGATAAAGTTCTATAAAGTTCCTGGTGCTCACCTTGTAATAACCCCTCCTGAAATTCAAAAATATATTCTTCCACACATGAATTAAAGGATTAGGAAGAGTATTAATAATGTTGTTGCAGTACGATTTACTTTATGTTATGTAAATTCATGTAATTGCTAATTTATATGTATTATTATCTAAAATAAACGTGGACTTCTTGCCGTTACTTTTTATATTTATCGTTCCTTTTGGACTTTTTTCTAAATTTAGATTCCAGTGAAGTTAAAATTATAAAAAGTAGATTCATATGTACTCGCCCTGATGTGTGAACATTTTTAAATGAAAAGTAGATGCATATGTATTTACAGCGATTTGTATCAAAATCAATATTGATCTATTCTGAACTAAGATATGTCAAAAAATATATATTATGCTATGATACGGAGTATAAATTTTGAAACGATGTTTTAAAATACTCCGTATCATATTTTTTAATATGTATTTAGATATATAAATAGAAATATTAATGGTGAACGTTAGGGTTGTACAGCGTACACAGGTCCAGAACCAGATTGGAACGGGAAAAATCGGGAAACAAACAGGGAAAACCCTAATTTAGTAGTTGACACAAATAAATTTCACCTCTTAGTCTAAATTATTTTCATAATTTTTACATAAAGAAAATATTAAAGGAAATATAGAAGATTGAACCAGTTAATTCAACATCGATTGAGAATCACCCAAACTGGAAAATAGAAAAGAAAATCGGAAAATAGCAAATAAGAAGTTTCACCTTGCAAACATAGAGAGGGAGAGCGCCGTCGGGGGAGGAGAGAACAATTGAGAAGCGCTGGCCGCCGGGATTCGACCTTCCGTTGCGTCCGCCGATCGTCCGGCATCGGCAATAAGCAGAAACGAAATACGAAGGCGGGAAGGGGAAGGGCCGGAATGCCGGGTCGCTTTTTGTTTTTACTGCGTAGGTTTTACGGAGCATTTGCTTGGCTATTTTGGTGGGTGGACCTATATATATCCATATTCTCCGTGAAAAATAATAATGGGCTCCAAATTTGAATGGGCTAAAACGGGCTAGTTTCGGATTTTACTCGTCTAATCTCATAGAATCCCTGCAAATTTGTTGATTTTATAGCAAAAAAAAATTAACTTAAATTAAATTAAATTTGAAGAGTGTCATTATATTGAAGGAGGTACGAAAGTGGTTTTGGGTCAGGGAGTATTAGGGGAAAGGACTGATTTTACAAAGTAATGCTAAGGTCACAAACAACTTAGACACAAATTACTTAGACTTGTTATTTGTGCATTTTTCTAAGTGAAAAAAATGATTTTAAACAATTCAAAAATAAAAATTTAAATACACAAATGACAAGTTTGTGAAGTTTGTGCTCAAGTTGTTTGTAACTCTAGCATTACTCTTTTACAATTGGGATACCGTAAGGGATTCAATCCGGGCTCATGCCAAAGGATGATATAGGGTTATGTTGTCAAAAGAATCCTTCCGCTTGAGAAAGGAATAAAGCTTACATATACTATGAACCTTTTGCCATATGTAGCCTATGAAAATGACATTCTTTAGACACACAAGATTCATGGTAAATGTTGGAATAATAATATTGATCATTGAATTATAGAGTACATGATAAGGTATATATGAGGGACACCTAACACAACTACAAATAGAGAATGGAAATTCACTAAAATACTCCATCTACCATAAATAGGAATATGAAGTTGACTAATAATCAAGCAGTACCATAACCAATGGTACCATAAGTAATACTATTATTATTGTCTAACATCTCCCTCAAGCTGAACTCTGACTGACGCAAGAGGAAGCTTGGACTCTAATTGGAAACTAAAAACTTTGAGAAGAGAGAAGTCTGGCGTGCGCCGATTCTTTTTCTCAAATGTGAACATTTTTATGACTTTTTTGATGGATTGAGTTGTAGAGGTATTCTTTTCTATTTCTCTATTTTCTTGGTTAGCTTTGCTTTTATTGTTTTGGGTTTTTTGTCTTACAGAAGAGAGAAAAGGAAGATTGATATAGAATGAGTGATTGCAGGGAGAAAAAAGTATGGTTCGGCATGCATTTGAGACAATGGAGATTGATAGTGACGAGCAATTCTTATTGGAATCACAATTGTGAACAATTGAAAGGGGAGAAAAGAATCTGATGTGTGATTATGGCAATCACGAGAGAAGGAAAAATATTATCGGAAGTGGCGGCTAGGGTTTAGGGGCAAAAGGATGAAGAGGTAGTAATGACCGTACAGAAATAGAGTTTATGTATGAGGGACACCTAACACAACTAGAAATAGAGAATAAAAATTCACTAAAATACTACACCTACCGTAAATAGGAATGAGAAGCTGACTAATAATCAAACACTATCATAACCAATGGTTTCATAAGTAATGCTATTATTATTGTATAATGGAATGTATAAAGAATGTTGATATTTGGTGATGTAGTCAAGCTAGCAATGCATGTTATTATTAGAAGAAGTTAGAGCATGATCTCTTCAACTTATTCTTATTATTTATTATTTTCTATTGGAATCGGTACAAATCAGATTAAAAACTTTTAATATAACTATATTCAGATCTGATTAGATCAAATCAGATCCAAACCATTTAAATCAAGTGAAGAAAACATGAGCTATATATTGGCATTGTACTTTTATTTTGAAGATAAAAGCCAGGAAGCTTATATTTTAGTATGTTTTATACTCCCTCCGTCCCTGAAAACCTTTCTCCTTCCTTTTTTCATCCGTCCCAAAAAATACTTCTCATTTCTATTAAAAAGTCACTTTTACCCCTTATTTTTTCATACCCTACCCATCAAATCATATCTTTTTACTAATAATCTATCCATCAAATCATACTTTTACTCATCACATCAAAAGACATTTTTGGAAATTCAATACCAAAATACTTCTCTTAAATCCCTCTTCAAAATCAAAACTCTCATGTTTTTCAAGACGGAGGGAGTATGTTTTACTCATAGTTTACTCATTTTCCAAACTCAAATGAGCTGTGATTGGCTCACGGCTGCATATATGGGTGCTAAAGATAGGCCTAACTGGCGTGGTTTTGTTTGGAACAAGCTCCCCACTGCCAAATTAAACATGGATTAAATATGTGATTGATTTGCAGGGGATGATTCGAACTACGGCCACGGGCCACATTGAGCAGATACAATAATTAATCAACCAACTATGTTAGTGGATACCAAAAGTACGTAGTTGTACACTATGGTTTTTGCATCAACACATCGATGGTTTATCCTGACACACAAATGAAAGTGTGAAATTTTGCAATTACGGTAACATTTTGTGTTAGTATGTGTTATCACAAAAATATCTTTCTAATTATCTAAACAAAAAAAAAGAATAGTTTTCATGTTTTTTTTGAATGTTATTGACTCTATTACAAGGTAATATCTGTTCATACTATTCTCAAGCTAATGACGCACAAAGAGCCAATGCTGTTGTCTTTGCTGGGGCTCGAACCTGGGTGAACTTTCTCATTAATCCTGGGGAGTGGGCTTGCTACCACTCAAGCCAGGGGAGAAGTTCAGTTTTCATGTTATTTATTATCTTTTTCTCTACCAAATTCAATTCCACAAACCAAGTAGAGTGCAAATAAAGTTTCTCTATTCTCAAAATCTCCTCATTTTTTGCATAGCAACAATCATTTCGAATTTGATTAACATGGATGATATTCGTATCCGTTTAATATTTTGATCCCAGGTTTTCTATAATAAGATTTTCATATTTTCTTAAGATGTTTTTCCTCAAAGTTTTTACCTTGAATGACCCTCAATACCATTTCTGTCACCTCTCCGACCCGTTGGGTTACGACTAACTGGGTCTGTGGCATTGCCTCATATACAAAAAAATTAAGTTTCATTGAATTGGCAAGAAAAATGAGTGTTTACAAAAAGAATCAAATTTGATAATGAAGGATACAATTTTGTAATAAGATTTATAGTTTATGATTGATACAATTTAATAATAATTAGTCTTATTGAATAATGAAGATCCCTGTATATAGAGATTACAAAAGAGGATTTTAATCATAGTAACAATAAATAAAAGAAAAACAATAAAATAAAAAATGTAATAAATAATAAGATTATATTTGCTAATACATTTATTATTATAATAATGATAATTAAAAAGAATATTTCAATGATCGATAATTTAGTGATCATGGACACCAAATATGCATTGACATGGATCTATTTTTGACACGAAAGAAAAGATTAACAAACAACTTTTGTCAAACATTTTTATTAATAAACACAAATGTGCATGATGGGTCACAAAACTTTAATTTTGTCCAAAACTTCATAATTTCGAACTAATAAGAAATATTTGACCAAATAAACCATTTAATTTCATAATTTCGATAAGCGTCCTATTCAGTTTCAACAGTTTCAGCATGCATGTAGCATGAGTGTCATCAATCAATTTTTGCATTTTCGTCTAGGAATTGACTAATTAATAATAAAATTTTCAACATTTAATTTTTTTCTCGTTCAAAATATGTTTCATTTCTTAATTATAACTTTACTATATTTGGTATATTATTTATGGGATTTAATTATATTTTATCATACACTTAATTTTTATGTTTTTTAATAAAAAATACGGGATACACTTCACTCTGTAAAACAAACTACTCCCTCCGTCTCATTCTCTTTGTCCACTTACTTTTTGGCACACCATCCAATGCACTTCTTTAATCCATTTTATCTTGTAATTTGTATATTAAAAAATTATAGAAATTATATATTAACAATCTATATGTTAAGACAAATCAAACAAGATCATACATGACTATATTTAGGCTTACACATTGAGAGAATTTAATGAGTCAAAGTGCTTAGATGAACAGTTCCAAAAGTCAAAAGTGGACAAAGAGAGTGAGACGGAGGTAATATGTAATTTTTCATTTTTAACTTTTTTGGACAATCATAGTAAATTTTGTCTTTATTATATACTTCACATTAGTGTACAAAAAGATTTATAGTAAAAAAGTACTCCAAAATAAGAATTTTATGTTTTTATACTCGAAATAAAAGTCAAAATGCATTTACATTATCAACCGTGATCATGTACATTACCAAATAGTATAGTAAACAGTGTCACGTTACCACAGTGCAAACTCTAACTAAGAGAATAAAAATATATAATTCCTATTTGGTATTTTCTTTATGTTTTACTCCGATATATTTAGGGTGATTTCTCAAGAGTCATTACATCATCTTCTGATTGATTCCGCTAGTTGGATCATTACCCTGCATCAGGTTCACACTCGGCACAGGTTTCGAGTAGATAATATATATACCACAGACATTAAAGAGTACTCTATACACAACTACACAAGAGGTTGGATATTTTGTGACACGAGTTCGCGTCCGCTTGACACTGAAAATCATTAATTTTTTTAAAAACTAGGTGGCGATAGCGCACTGCGCGTTTTAAACCTCGTAACATCTCAATTCAATCAACAAGGTATAGATGATATGATCTTCTCATTATTCTCTTTCATTGGTTTAAATAATATACTCCCTCCGTCCACCTAAGTTCTTCCCGTTACGCGTTACGAGGCTTGACCGACTTTATTTTCAATTCAATTTAAATTATTATAGGAATAAAATTTTAAAATAAAATTTATATAGTAATAAACTACATGCAAAGTTCTACAAAACTAGAGGTGACAAGACTATATTATTTTACGAAATGACTAGTAAAAATGAGCAAACAAAGTGAATAAAGTTTGACCCTGTGAATAGTGTCTGGGAAGATCTATGGCAGAGGGAGTACTCCGTAGAATGAAGAAAATGAATAGTCTATATAAACTCATATATAGGATAAGGAAAATCACCTCATAATAAAAATAAAGTTGTTTTGAAGTATAATCATATCTTCTTTAAGTAAGATATCATGGCTCAATTTTTCTCACAATTCTCAATTGCTTTTATGTCTCTTCTTCTTCTTGCAATTTTGTCTTCAGTTCCACTCTCATCTTCAACTGCTTTTATCGTTCTCCATGGTATGTCAATTATGCCCATTACTCAAGAAAAATTTAAATCCCTTAATTATGATCAATTAATTTAAGTCTTTTTGTTTTTTTTGAATGTCTCTTTTTGCTAATTCAAATTAGGTTATACTCCGTCCGTACCTAAATATTCACAACATTTACTTTTTCAGCAGTGTCGGGAACTTTTGTTTATTTAGACGTTTTCATAGATTATTTGATAAAATAAAATATTCTTGACACCTCTTATTTCGAAGAACTTTTCATGTAGTTTTTTTATATGTAAATTTTATTTTTTTATTTCTATACCAATATGTAAATAAAATGAATTGAAAAAACTTGATATTTTGCCTCGGGAATACAAATGTGGCAAATAATTTGGGAGGGAGGGAGTATATATGACAATTCGTTGGGATTGGCAGGCATTTCCATGATGTGCGCGGATGCAGGAAGCATGTATTACACCATGACACTTAGCTCCATGACAAAAGTTAAAGGATCATGCGTGTATGTAATTAATTGCTTAATTACATTATTATTTTTATCACTCTTCTCATATATATCTGCATCTAATTTTTATTCCTTCAGTCCCTAAAAAAATTTTCCCTAAAAAAATTATTCCATCCGTTCCACAAAACCCTTCCTCTTTCGTTTTTTTGCTTTCCACAAAACACTTCCACTTTCTATTAAAAAACCACTTTTACCCCTACTTTTTCATACCCTACCTATCACATCATACTTTTTCACTAATAACCAAACTATCACATCTTACTTTTTTCCATCACATCAGGGGCAAAATTGGAAAGTCAACCAAAATTACACTTTCCTTATTTTTCCCCAAAGTCAAAACCGGAAGGGTTTTGTGGAACGGAGGGAGTAATTTTATAAGAAATATAATTTGATAAATAGTCTAATACATCAAAATAGAAGGCAAACACTTGTCCTTTTTTTAATAGAAAAACTAAGCAAGAGAAAAATATTGAATCTAGTCAAAATATTTTTTAATAAATAAATCAAAATGGAACCTAAGGCAAACACTTGTCAAAATATTATTTTTATATAATAAATATAATTTGTTAAATAGTCTAGAATAGCTATTTAAAAGCATCTACGTTTGCTAAACATTTTTTGTGAACAACATATGCAATCGATCAAAACAATTCACTTAATATTTAATAAACATGGCCATAGTATATGATATTCAATAAAACATTTTGATCGTTAATATATACATTTAAGAAAATAAATTTATAATACTACTCCATTTCAAATTTACATTCCAAGATAAGTCATATTATATATTTTAGTTTCAATAACTAAACAATATTTGTATTTACAATTTCGAATTTCAGGGAAGTTGGAAACGGACTGTTTGATTCTTGGATGATGCCAATGGAAAAGCAAGCAAGTTTTTATTTTTTTGCAAATATAAAGGGTGCCATATATATATATATATATATATATATATATATATATATATATATATATATATATATATATATATATATATATAGTAAATTTCTGACGAAAATTATAAAATCTCTAAAAAAAATTAAAATGTTATCATCACATTATAAATTATTAATTATTAATTAATAATGTGCAGGTTGCAGATGCATGTGGCAAGGTGATCTCCAAGCGTGTGATGATGATCCAATAATACAAATATAATTAATCGTTTTCTATTTTATTTTTTCAATATACTCCTTTCGTTTTTAAAACACTTTCTCTTTCATTTTTTTTCTCCAAAACACTTTTATTTTTTATCAAAAAACCATTTTTACCCTGCCTAGTACTTCATACTTTTTCATTAATAATTTATTCATCACATTAAGGACAAAATTGGAAAATCAACCATAAATATAATATACACTCATTATTTCTCCTAAAAAATAAAACAGGGACTGTTTTATGAAACGAAATGAGTAGTATAAAAAATATCTCAATGTGCGTATGTCATTAATAAGTTGATGGATATATTAGATTACAATATATTGCCATGCAGATTAAGGGGATGGCAGAACTTAAAGATGGTTACCATATGGTTTCTCTCTCCCAGGTCATTATATATATATATCATCCTCTTCTTATCATCATCATTAATATTACCCATAGGGATTTATAAAATTTTAAGTTAGTGGGCTCAAAAGATTAAACATTTCAAATAAAGTCCACAAAAGCAAGTTGGACCTAACGTAGGTCCACCAAAGGATACACCATTGTTATTACAAATTGTTATTACAGGAAATAATTACGCACTCTGTTTTTGAAAAAACTTTGTTCTAATTTTTTGCATATCCCATAAAAGAATTTATTCTATCTAAAATGTCTAAAATACTTCTAAAATAGTTTATACCCGCAATAAACTACATGATGAGAGGTATTTCAGACATTTTAGGTGGAATTAAAAAATATAGTATGTGAGGTCATTGTGCAAATCCCTCTTAAAGAAGTTTGAAATGCGCAAAAAATTAGAGCAGAAATATTTTTCAGAACGGAGGGAGGCAGTATAAGTAACTCAGTATTGATCAAAACTTTACAAACAGGGAAACATGGTAGGAAGAGGAGTGATTGAGTTATGTGATGGCCCACCAGTAAGAAACTACTCCTAATAATTTATTGAGTATCAAAATTAATTAATTAAATTATATTTTCATCCAAAATTAACTTTCTATATGTGTACATATTTATATATAATAATAAAATGAAATTAAAAAAATCAGGTCAAGAATTTTATCTCAGTTGGAGGACCAAATGCAGGGCACTCGTCAACTATCCCTTGTGGAGTAAGCATTTATTATTTGACATTTTAAAAAAAAACATAAATATTATGAAGTCGAGAGTTTATTATTTTAATTAAATTGAAGAACAAATAATACAACTAGCACATATTGTGACACTTTAATTTTTTTTCTTTCTCTGCAGCCTTTTCCCTGGTGTGGTGTAGTAGGGCAATTTTATGGAATGGGAGTATACACCCCTTATGTTCAAGTAATAGTTACACTACATTTTAAATTTTATATATATGTGGTTGGTTCATGTGAAAATATTCTTATTCTGCAAATATGAGAATGATGAATTTTCATATTGTCTTGATAACATCTTACACTTCTAGTAGTGCATTTTTAGAAAGTTTAATTTATTTACAAAATTGCCACTGTGATTTTTTTCAATTTTGTCAGAATCTTTTATTTTTAAGAGTTTTTAAATCTTAAATCTAATGGATCATATACATTCTTAATTCTTTCACTATGCATCATTCTCATTTGATCTAAAATCTCTTTTTATATATAATTTCCCCAATAACTTTACACTATTTTATTTATTTCTTGAATTAAAACAAATGCAGGATCACTTGGCTCCAAGTGGCTATATCAAGCTCCCAAATGTAAGTTATTGAGGAATGTATTCATATACTTCATATATCTTCATCTGTGTAAAGGAATGTCTCTCTCGTGTTTATTGCTAATAAAAAGTGTTAACTAACTTATAAGTTACTTACAAGTTAAATATTCTTTCAAAAAATTGTATGACTTAAATGATAGATAAGTCACTTAGGGGACATTCATCATTTGTGAAAGATAGCTATAGATAAGTTAAAAGAAAAAGAATTAATTTTTGAATGAACTGTTTAGTAGGAAAGAAATGAAGAACAAATTCTTCAATTTCATTTTTTTAAAAATAATTTTCTATATAGGATATACCGGCATACTTGAAAGAGTGCAGATTTCTTCCCAAGATCAACAATGAAGTGGAAGACAATGAGAGTCCACTCCGGAAAAAACGATTCAGCAGTCTTAGCCAACTCGTTCTCATCTTGGTATACTTTACGCCAAACACAATCTTAGAAAAAGCTCTTACCATGCATATAATCTTTATGTATTTAATTATACAATCTAATTAATAAATTTATTATTTGATTACAGTTCATGGCGGACACAATTATAATGCCACAAGAAAGTTCCCATTTCGGATATTACCGGAACGGGGACTTCACCAAACCCGTGCCTATGCAAGAGGTATACAACTTCTTACGACACGTCCTTTAGTAACACGGAGAAATAACTCGAGGCATAGCTTAATTAGTTGGTCAAAATGGGTATAAAAAGGGTAATGTCTGGATTCGACTCCTAGCAACAATGATAAAAGATAATCATGCATAACATGGGATTCTTGTGTGTTTCGGGGAAAATGCAACATTTTAATAACAAACCTTAAGATTGTATAGCCAAAAATAAGTAGCTAAATATGAATTGTGTTATTGCAGACTGATGTTTACCAGAAGGACATGTTTGGGTTGCAAACTTTGGATAAAGCTAAAAAGATAAAGTTCTTCAAGGTGCCTGGTGCTCACCTTGTCATAACAGTACCTGAAATACAGAAGAATATTCTCCCATACATGACCTAATTCATGTCCCAATTCAACTAATGTCTACATATAAACACGATTAATACCTCAAATACAATAACAGTTTCCTTTTGGTGTTACATAAAACTTGCCATTACATATAATATCAGTGATTATCACCGATATAATAATAGTGGCCTTTTAATGTTACATAAAGTTTGTCATTGCATACAACATTGAGTAAATTTCATAAATGATCTCTTATAACAAACGTTCTTCAATATTTAATTCCTAATTCTAAAATACTCCACATGAGATTCATGACCCTCATTTTTTAAAAATTATTCCATAATATTAGTTATCATCTCAAATATTAGTTATCTCAAAAAACTCCCTCAGTCGCAAAATATTTTAGACTTGACGCAAAGGAGAAACTAAGAGAATAACCCACTTTCAACTCGTCATCAAAAAGACCTTACAAATAGTCACAAGGGCAAAGGGGGGAAAAATCAGATCTAATAATAAAATATCATAAGAGTACAATTGGTGGGATGGTATACACTCCCTCTGTCCCCCATATATCTTCTTATATATAGTCAGACACACAAACCTTACCCCTACACAGGGTAAGACTATTTCTAAGAGACCCCAACTAAAACACATGTACATACTACGGAGTATTAACAAAGAAAATACAATAGCACAAAGTAAGAATACAAATTCAAAGCACACATAGACCCACATTACAAAAAGCACAAACTAGAAAGTAATGCAAAAAACACACTTATACAAACCAAAGGCTCAAAAATCTACCCAATTATTCCAACCCTAGATCTTCAAATGCTTCTATATCATGAAGTCACATGTCCTATCTAATCACCTCACTTATATGCAAACTAAAGGCTCAATGTGCACTTCTTATATGCCCAAACCACCTCAGTATATTACACCAAAAACAGGCTCTAAGAAAAGTAATTTCGAGAGAAACCGACTAGTAGTTACCCAACTCTTTGAGCAAATCCTAAACTGAAATGATTAAAAAAAACTCTGAAGTTTCTTAACAAAGCATATAAATATTCAAAAGAAGATTAAGAAGAAAGCCAACAAGACTCCACACAAAGTTATGACAACGTCCATGCACCGCAGGGTCCAGCCACATTTGCTACAAACATTAATGTATTTTTTAATAAAAATTATTACGGCATATAGCGAAATTACCCAGGTCACACCAAATCAAGAAGTTCACACACATTCTTCTAACCACAAGAAACACTGCAACTTTTCTGAGACAGCAAAGCCAGCCTTCATGAAAGATTGGCACATTTCATGTTGTTTGCGTTCGGATCAATCTCTACTAGAGTCAGGCGAACCGTCCCCATCATAAGAAACCAAGCCGCCGCCGCCACCCTTCGCAGGGGGGCTACTAGAGAGTGAAGCGGATTTTTCCTTGCTTCTCTGCCGAGGAGGGGTGGGTGACCTGCTAGATGCAGCTGACCTGGATCCTCCTGATGGTGACCTGGTCCGCTGTCTCTCAGCGCGTGGGGAAGGCCGGTACCTGCCCTGGGGAGAGCGGCTGCGAACTGGACTTCGGCTATGACGCCTTCCACGGTAACGTATTGGGCTGCGTGACACGCTACGGGACCTGCTTCGTCCATTTCTGTACCTGTGGTGATGAAGAAAATAAGAGCCATAAATCCCATAATGTTCCCCCTTCCTATCTCAAAAAAGGGCTCTCAATTGCTTTTAGTACGCATATTAGGTAAACAAAATATGAAGTGAATACTAATGTTTTCCAAATATTACCCTGCAAAGGGGTAAATGGTGGGTAAATAACTTTCATTTTTTAAAAAAATAGGGTAAACAGTTTAAAATGTCAAATGAAATTATGTAAAGGTTTCAAAAGAAAGAGGGCATATTGGTTGACAAAAAAATATGACTAGTACAACGGAGCAAAGGGAGAGCTATTCTCAACTAGTACATGGTTTTCAATTTGAATGGGTATTGTCATTTAAAATCTAAATGTAAAAGGATTTCCCCCACACAGGTGGTTTCCTTAGGAAAAGATGGTTCTTTCACAATGAAGAAGTCATATGTGGCACCATTTGGTTTTCCCATCATCCACTATGCATTAGAGTTCTACTCCCTTCGTCCCGGAATTATCTTCTTTCTTCACTATTCAGAAACTTTTTGTTTATTTGTGCGATTTCATTGATTATTTGATAATAAAAAAATGTTCTTGTCACCACTAGTTTTGTAGAAATTTTGGCATAGTTTTTAAATACGTAAGTTTTATTTTTTATTTATATACCAATCTTTAAATAAAATAAATTGAAAAACATAAAAAATTTTACTTTGTGTTGCTTAAGTGAAGATAACTGGGTGTAAAACTCTAGGACCAGCCAATTTGTTCAAAACTAAACAGTGCCACATAGAAAGTTTACTCGATGTGGAAGAGACTGGGACAGCAGTCCTTTGCCAAGGGTCTGTTTGGATGGAGGATTTTAGAGAGCTTGGATAGAAAGTTTTAGAGGGCTTTTAGTCACACTTGATGGAAAAGGCATGGTTGGTCACTATATAGAGACACCATGCTTTGCACAAAAGGGAAAAAACAAGCGAATGCAGAATATCATACTGACCTAGGAGGTGTTCTTCCTCTTGGGCTCCTGTAGCGTCTAGGTGACCTCCTATAACTTGTATATCTACAGGCATTAGTATTCACACAACAGCAGAGAGTTATAAAGCATACATTAACAAAAGGCTTAAAAAATAATGCAAGCTCCAAACCTGTCACGGTCATTGCGACCGTAGCGGTATGATGATCTCACAGGAGACCGACTCCTGTATCTACGAACATAGGAATATTGCTCACTGAATCCTCTTCCCCTTCTAATGCGCTTAGAAGATCCATCCACAGATGGGCTCCTAGATGAGCTCCTACCACGACCAGATCTTGGTGATCTTTCCCTGCGCCCTGCACTTGGAGGGCTCCTTGAATAGCTGCGAAGATTCTTTCTGTGAGGTCCTCTGACTGGACTTCGACTGGAACCTCGCCTAGAAGGAACCCTTGCTGGACTTCTGCTAAGGCTCCTTCGAGAAGTCTTAATAGGGCTCATGCTAGGACTCTTAGTATATCTAACTGGACTTGGACTCCGTGACTTCAATGATTTCTTATAGGAGGTTCTTGGTGGACTGCGGGAAAGCCGTATAGGTGTGGGACTTCGGTTTCTTCCCCTTCGAGGATTTGTTATAATCGGAGAAGGGCTCTTGCTCACACTTCTTCCTCTTTTGGCTGGAGGGCTTCTACTGACACTTCTTGTCGGGCTCCTGTTTCCACGTTTTGCCGGGCTTGTACTACGATCCGAGAGGTGGCGCGAACTTGTTCTGATACTTCGACTCCTGCTGATACTGCGCCTTGGGCTTTCACTTGGGTTCCTGCTAGAACTCCTCCTCGGGCTAATGCTCATGCTCTTACTCAATTCTCTTTTAGGACTCGGGCTTCTGCTCCTGCTCATCAACTTTAAATGAAATACCCGTTTTGCAGAAGTTAACTGGAACCAATAAAATAAGAGAGGTTCAAGAATGGAAGTAAAAACCTAGATTTGCTTGGGCTATTGTCTACTGCATCAGAATTTCTTTCTGGAGTTTTATCAGGTCTATCGTGTGTTATAACATTGCTTTTATGGCCACCATTTTCTTTAGGAAATTCTTCACCTTTCCTCTCAAATGGGGCGGCAGTTTCTCCTTTCTTCTGGTGACCAGATGCAGCTTGCCCATCTTCAACAGAATGAGATTGACTTCCATCTGCAGATGTCAACCAAGAAACTCCCATCTCAAAACAAATGTGCATAAAATTACTCCCTCTAGTCTTTAACATAAGGCACTTGTGATGACTTACACACAACTATAGAAGTAATTGAAGATTCTTAAGTCTCCCAACTAGTCTTCCATAAAGAGCAAATAGTGAAAAAATATAGAATGCATCATTGGCATGAAAATGGAGAATAAGGACCACTAACACCTTATATATTGGGATTACATGTAGCATAGACTAATAACGAGCAGGAGTAGAATACAATTAGAAAATTAAGAGTACTGCAAAGGTATTTATCAAGTTAAGCACACATTCAAGACATTACAGTAAGGAATCAAAGCTATATTGTTTCTGCATCATGAGTTAAGAGATGATACGTTTCATATACACAAAATATCACTTTTTAAAAATGATGTACAAAAATGGAGCATTCCACATGAATAAAAGTAATAGTTTTCTAAATAGTAACTTTCTGTTGATATCTACAACATATTAAAAACATCACCTAAAAGTAAGAAAGTGTGAATACCAGGTTTCATCCCTGTGTTCTTAAACTCTCCATCCAACCCACCAGCACCAGCATCCCCTTCAGAATTACTTTTGCTCTCATCTTCAGAAAGGCTGTCGGAGCAACTGGGATAGGCAAAGAATAGCTTCAGTTTCTTGAGGAGTGAAATATTAGATGAAGATTAAACTAAATCTAATATAGCAAGGGTTTAACATGAAGAACTATGATGCAATATGCTACAGGTGTTATGTGCAGCATCTTTAACTGTTATATAACCTTTTAAGTTTGCGTTTTAGCTTCTTTTCACGCTTCTTACGCATTTTCTCCCGATGTTTCTCCCTTCTCTTCTCACGTCTATGTTTCTCTCTCTTAGATCTCTTCCTCTTCCTGCGCTTGACATCACTGGATGAACTGGTGTCAGTTGATGAGGAGATGTATGAATCAGAATCACTATCTGAATCGGAAGACTCTGTATCAGAATCCGTAGAACTATCTGATTCTGAGGTTTCATATCTTCTTCTTTTCTTCCTTCTTTCTTTCGAAGATTTTTTGTGCTTTCCTTTGCGCCGGCCTTCATGACAAACAGAATATTAAACTTTGAACTATATCTTTTAACTTTTCATTACACGGACATATCTTAACCTAGCCAAGGCGCAACCAAATTAAAAAAAAACTATTCTAATAATGCATGTCAATAAAAGCCCAAAAGGAATGAATCTTACTCCCATGAAATTCACCAGAATTTACTATTTTAACTGTCACATCTGGCTTCCCTGTGTCACTCCCTGCGTTCTCAATCTTCTTAAGGACTTCATGGCCATAAACAAGCTTGCCAAATACAACAAATTTCCTATAAAGAGTTTTGAGTAACTTGCTTCAAGAACCACAATAGCAGAATATATATGCCGTTGAGCTACTAGATCAAACAAAATAATACAACCTCAATCCCAAAATTTTAACAAGGCACAACTCTCATATTTCAGTAAAGTGCAGCTGTACAACTACTAAAAATCATTAGTACTATCTATGGAGTGTTTCTCTATATTGGTGATTATTGACTTATCGTTAAAATATTCTTTCTTGAAAGTAAAATGACATAAATGATAGATAAGTCATTTGGGGATATTCAAAAAAGATGAGGGATAGTTTTGTAAATAATCTGTTCAAAACGGAGAAACAAAAAATCTGGCTTAAAAATAAGTAGGCAAGACCTGCTTATTTGTTATGACTTGTACGCAGCTTTTAAGTCATGAACTGACTTATAGGTTGAAAGCAGCTTATGAGCAGTTTTGACCAACGTGAAAGCAAAGAGAAACACCCACTATATTTTCAAAACTATTTGTTGGTCTAATTGAATTTCACATACTTATGTTAGAGCACTTATTTTTGAAAAATACATCAAATATACTAGTACAAAAAAATATTCTATGGGTTAGATAAACTCCTGGGGCCAAAAAGATTTTCGAGTACACTTTTTTGGGACATAGAGAGTAAGAGTTCCCAGCTAGCTTGCTCGAGCATGTAGACAGCTATGATAACCTGTCAAGATGATGAGCCTCATTTAAAGTGATTGTGAATAGAGAACCCCGTGTATCACGATCAGCAATAGCCATAGATAGAAGACCAGGGCTATCATGTTTCAGCTTTGGTGACTCATCTGAAAAAATATCAAAAATTTCATCAGTCACAATTCTAATCAGTAAAGATGTTCTCCTCCTAATTTGATGTATTTGTTGTGGGACTAATAAAATTCATACAGATATAAAAATGATTAACAGTAGAGGAAGAACTTGTGGGTTTTTCCTGCAATAAATGCTAAACAAATTGCAAAAGGAATTAGATTTCTCTGACTGGGAGCTTGTAATATAACAAAAGTCTTGGAAGGAAACTAAAAATGAGAATTAGATATACCTAGACTGATCAGCATGCTACGATTGGGTTTCCATATTTTAAGTAAACAATATCTTAATTAAGAAAGAGAGAATAATTTAGCTTCTGTGTACTAGCATAATACTCTCCAGCATCTAAAAAGTAGTGCAACTAATCACAGCAAGAGCCAAACATAGCAACCAAAATAAGCCAAAAATAGGTCACATAATTCTTAGAAAACACAGATTGCAAAATCCTGCAATCACACATGGAACTCCAGCAAATCTATTTTGAATCAATAACTATTAGTCACATGTAGACAGGCATGCATAGCAGCATTCATGTCCCTACCATTATAAGAGAGGAAACAAATGTCCAATAGCATTGAAGCTCCCATGCTTGAGAATAAGATCAAATCAGCCTCAACCTTCATAGCCAATGCAAAAGGAAACCCATTTGATCTTTAAAATTTTGATTTCTTGCCAAAAGTAACGTCTTTTATTGGATCAAGTTTAACTACTAATATCAGAATAGGATTTCTAGTGAATGATTTATCAAGTAATTTCCATTTACACAAGACATTGTCACACCATATTTCAAGACAAATTGACTATAAGACCAGAACAGATTTCTCACCTGGAAACTTCGAGCCATATATACTTTCTCCATAGTTACCTGGGAAAAGAAAATATATATCTTAGTTACTAGAATAATAAATTTTCTTTCAAAAAGATGCTTAAGTAATCACACAGAAGTTAAAGGTAAATTTCACAAAAGAGCATTAGTATAGTTAACTACACCCTCCTTCCTAAAAAAGTCTTATTTATTATACAGGGTCAGACTATATTTATTTCTTAACACATTTTCATTGATCATTTAAATACGGAGCATATAATTTTTTATGTAGTTCCTGAATACGGAGTATAATTTTTATTTTTAAAATTCTACATGAAAGTTTAGATGTATAGAATTAAAGATAACTTTATTAAAGCATCGCAAACCAAAACAAGCCACTTTTTTACATGCATGCATCCATGCATCCATGCATCCATCCATCCATCCATCCATCCATGGTTTTAAAAGGCGACCGAGGCGGTCCGCCTCGAGGCGGTGAGGCGGTAAGGCGGTTGCATTTCGCCTCTGAGGCTTAAGCCTCAGTAGGGACACCTGAGGCGTACGCCTCACAATGTTGAGGCGGTCCGAGGCGGTCTGAGGCGGTAAGGCGTAACCGAGGCGTAAGCCTCACTTTTAATAAGAATTTCAGCAATTATAAGGGTTACTTTTAAAAGGCTATTGGGCCTCTTTTACAAAAACTCTTTTGGGCCAATGCATTATAAAGTTTCTTAAGAAAAACTTAATAAACCTAGTAGATAATTATCACTTCTTTCCCAGACTTTTAGCGTCACCTTTCGTCTCTCCATCTTCAACCATACTTCTCTCCATCTTCAGACTTCAATGGCACAACTTCACTCTTGTGGTAACCGCTAAGGCAATTACTTCATATTTAATAGCTTATCTTCTATTTCTTTCATCTTCTTCTTTCAGCTTTTAATTTTTCCGGTTCCTTCTTTTCCAACATCCCTCTCCCTCTTTTAAATTCGGTTCAAACTTCAAAGAATGATGTAACTTTTTTTGCGTGAACTTTTGTCCATATTTAATATTTATAAGGTTTGGAGATNACACAGACACACAGACACACAGACACACAGACACACACATACACACATACACACATACACACATACACACATACACACACACATACATACATACATACATACATACATACATACATACATACATACGTTTTTGGACGGAGGGAGTAGTAAACTATGATCAAGCCATTGTTTACACGTTTTAACTTTTCTTAATCTCCGTGTCAAGTCAGCCCGGGAAAGAAATTTTTGGACGGAGGGAGTAGTAAACTATGATCAAGCTAAATAGAGATACTCTATCACTACAAACATTTAAACAGACACAGAATACATACCATCTTTCCTGAGCAAGTCTCCAGCCTGGAGAGAAAGGAGAAGAAAAGATGTGTTAATTATTAAGTGTAAAATAAAATGCATATTCAAATTTGGCATGTTTATGCTGAAATTCATAATTTCCAACGATGGGCAACCCAATAAGTACAACCTTAAAACTACATCACAAGAAAAGCAGATGTGATCATCATCCCTGCATCCTACAGCATAAACAAGGACAGCTGACTAAAAAGAAAAGGCCACTTCTAAACCATGCTAAACAATGATGAAATACATGCAGCTGGATATATCAAAGTAATCAAACTAGCACAAAAGAAAATTGCATAGATTTAGTACATGCATGCATATAAACCATACCTGAGCCACAGATCCCTTCACAATATTGTGGAAAAAGGTTCCTTTGTAGTGCCATGTTGCTCCAGTCCTGGGGTTGGTTCCTTTCTCTCCTGAAAACCAACTTCTTGAATGATAAAAATGGCCTTGTACATAATTGATTGAGTAAACCAGAATACATTCAGAAGTACATCTAAAATCATAAAATCATTGAGAAAGACATGCAGCTTTTTGATCACCAATAATTGATAAGAATAGTCTATGTCCAGAATGTAAAATAGCATGAAATATTATAGTGTCAACCCACCCGTACAAAGTGCACGGAAATTTTCTGCAGTCTTCGGAGCAACATCAGTTAACAACTGTGAGGAGCAACAAGATGGTAATTGGTCATGTCATTCATCCCAAACATTTTACTAACTTTTAAAATAATGTTAGTCTTAAAAATAACAAATAACAAAGCCATATGCCTTACTGCGCCACATACCTCAAATACCATCTTTTCTGATGGATCACCATCGATACATATATCCAAGAACACCAGCACTTTCTTCTTACTCATTTTACACATTCAGCTCACCACTAAAAAGCATAAGAATAAATCCACAATCACTACCATTAGATGTGTTCAGAATTAAGTGAGATGCTGTAACACTCCAACCACACTAATAGCTAAACTGAATTTATCAGTTTGAACATGTTAGTGGGGCTAAAAATTTAAAAACTCCAGTATAAATTACCAAAACATTGAATTATATCAATAATCTTACCTAACTTCTAGTGCATATGTTTCACTGCACCAAACCCTAGATTCTGTAAATTATTTTCATTCCTGATCAATATTGGTTTTTCATGTCCCCAAACTCCTTATGGTCAACAATCTTTGTTTTTTTTTGTGAAAACTAACCATACAAATCATCAAACAACAATAAAAAAACAAGATTGAAGTTTATAAGGCAAAGGTTAAACAGTACAGAGCGGCAAGAGAAATCGTCCGCTGCAAATCGAGTCTCGACGGGGATTAGAGTACTGAGATCATATATACAGATACCGGTTAGAAGAACCTCACACGGAGGTGAAATCGAAGATACTCTTGAAGCGAAACGAAAATTATAGATATGTAAATTACTAGATTTCTATGAATGATGGGTTTAGAGAGAGGGAGAGAGAGAGAACCTGAGAATGAACGGCGAAGAACAGAATGAGCTGAGAGCCGATAGCGGCGAAGACGATGAGGAGTTTACTGAGTGAAAAAAGTAAGACTAGGGTTTCGATATTTTCGATTTTCCTGTTCTGCCCATCAGTATCACATCACATGAAAATTTTGTTATTTAAAAAACAAAATAGAGGGTTTTATTTTGCTAATGGCACACCCGAATTATTTTTAGGGTCCGTTTGGTATGCGGAATTGACGAAATTGGAATTGAAATTCTATGGAATTCAATTCTATAGAATTGAATTTTGTCAATTCTAATTCATTTTTTGCACTATCAATTCCAAATCCACATAATTTTTGTGCTATCAAACACCGGAATTGGAATTGAGATCCTCAATTCCAATTCCATAGTTTGAATTCCATATACCAAACGGAGCCTTAATGGAATTTACTTTTAAATTCTCAAATATATTTTTAAATTTTAACTTCATAAAATCTTAAATCAAATTAAATTTAATATTTTGTGCTTTAAAAAATTTAGATATACTATCCATTACATAGTTAAAACGCCTAAATATGAAGTCTGAATTATCAGAGTAAAGCAACTATGAATTCGAGATGTTTCTCTGTGTTGGTGTTTATTGGCTTATCGCTAATAAAAAGTTTTCATGAAAATAAATTGACTTAAATGATACTCAGTAGATAAGTCACTAGAAACATTAATACTTGGTGAAGAACAGTCGTATAAATAATCTGGTTAAAATGTGGAAACAAAAAAAATGGTTTAGAAATAAGTAGCTAAAACCTACTAATTTTTTTGGCTTAAAAACAGCTTATAAGGACATAGAAATAAGTCATCAGGTGATTTATAAGTTAAAAACTGTTTATAAGCAGTTTGACTGACTTATAAGTACAGAGAAACACCACTTTGTTCAGAGTGCGTTCTAAAGATTCAAGACATCATCGTTGTGTTCAACTTATTTTTTCTATTTATTACTTATTCTTATTATAATCAGATCAGACCAGATTAGATCGGATCTTCAAAAAATCAGATCAGGCAAACGAAACACAACCTAGCCCCAATGATTTAAATTATACTCCTGAATACAAACTAATTTTATTTAATCGACAATTAACATTATATTAATAAGTATAACAAAATTATAGTATTATACTCCGGAGTAATTACACATCGTATTACTTTTTTTCTTTATCTTCTTGACGATTTCGTTTTTGATTTCTTGTAGTCCTTGTATCTACACTTATTTTATAAACCTCAATATATAAATACCATGAAAGATTTGTATATTTTGCAAAAAGTTAAATTATTTTATGATCTTAAGATCCACACTCATTTAATGACTTTGGTATATAAAAATTATGGATGAATTGAGCTCTTTGAAAAAAATATTTATATCGCCCCATGAAAAATTTGAGAAGGTTCACATTTCACATATGGACGTTAGGATCATAGAAGCATAACTCTTGCAAAAAAATAAAAGATCCACTTGTTAGACTATAAAAAATGCGAGAAAATTTACATTTCATATATAGAGTTTAGATCAACAACACAATAAAATTCAAGACATTTTAATTACTTATTAAATACAGAGTATGAAATATCATTAACAAAGAAAGTATTTGGTAGAAGTACATTAAAATTTAAAAAGAAAAATATATTACCATTACCATTTTTATGAGTACAACTTTTCTTTTAAATTAAATCTTTCATATCTTCTTTGATCAAATATATTGACAAGTTTAAGCTTAACATGCTCTTTACTTATATTACTCTCAACATGACTTTAGGTCTCTTCAAAATGGTTGTGCTCTAATTTCACGTGTTTCAGCTTTTCAACTTCTTCTCGCTCTCCCACCTTTTCTAGTTCTATTTCCTTTTTAACATGTTTTTCAACTGCAAGTTTGTACCTAAACTTATACATTTTTTTTAATTTTTATTTTCTCTTCTTACGTCTTAACTACCAAATATGTGCTTAGGAGGCGTAACTAGTGAACTATGGCTAAAATCAAATTCAAAAATAAATAGTTAAAATTTGTTAGTCTCATGCCATCCGATTTCCAAACTATCAACAAAGCACCATTCAACCACTAAAAATGAGACAATAATATTCCATAAAATAAATAACATTTTCATGTTTTATAAAACTCTTGATATATTTTTTGATATATAAAATTTACACTATTTCTTTATTAATTTGTAAATACAATAATTTTAAAAGATGTAATTTTACATTTTGTTCGAAGTGAGAAGATTTTTGGGAGGCAAGGAGCATTCAACTCCTAGATTGATCTTATATATAAATAAACCTGATCTTAATGGATCTAATTTGATCAAATCTGATATGTAATCTTATTTTAATAAAAATAATTAATGCTCCATAAGTAAAAAATGAGTTGAATGAAATGCAACTTGAGCTTAAGCTTTATTGGAACCAATATATTTGGATTCTCAAACATATAATTTGAATTGTGTCTAAATTTGAAATATAAATTCCCAATTAGTCCATACAATAAAACCAAATACCATAAATAAAAATCATGTTCTTCAAAAATGAATAGGGATAAAAGTATTTAAAATCCATAGTTGTATGTTTAGGAACATGGATTTGGATTTCAAATCCAGATTTAGTTCAAATTCCATGTTTGGAAAACTTAAAATTTTGAATTTTGATTTGAATCAAATTTTTCTCATTCATAACAAAAAATAATTTGAAATCCATGCACTCCTCTTGTCATTTTAGTTGTCAAACACTATCTAAATAAACAAAGAAAAAAGAGTAAATTCCATAATTGGTCCTTTATAACAGAAGGATATCCATATTTAGTCCTTCATTATCAAATATTACCCCCATAGTCCTTTTTTAAGGATATCTTTCCACAAATGATCTTTTTTTATCTTCTTCCATGTTGGTATAATTTAAAAGCTAAAAGTATAATTTGACATTAACATTATGTCTAGTAACGTGTTCTGATATTGGTTAAGCAAATAATATAAAAATAATGACTATAATTGTGGGCTAGAATTCTGACTAAAAGCCACATTTGTAGACTATGGTTGTAGTAGAAAGGTACTGTAATTCACAAACGATGGAAACGGAACAGCCGTTGGAATTGTGTGTGACAAAAAAGATATATTATCATTGCGAAATTGCACTTTTGGCCCTCAAATTAACACCAACATGATAAAAGATCAAAAAAGGACTATTTGTGGAAAGATACCCATAAAAGGACCACTGAAGTAATATTTGATAATAGAGGACTAAATAGGGAAACTACCATGTTATAAAGGACCAATTATAGAATTTACTCAAGAAAAAAACAAACAATCCAAGTTTGTATTACTCCATGAAGCACTCCGTAATGAGAGCATAAAGTTGTGCCAAATTGCTATGAGTGAAGTTACCAAAATGCCCCAAACCAAAAGCACCAACAATCACAGCCAATTATCCTGCAAGCCCCAAACCAAAAGCATCATCATCTCTAATTGCAGGAATCTTCTTCTCTTTTGATACTGTTTCTGTTCTTTTTTTTTGTCTCGTTTTCTCCAAAAGCCTATTTCCAGTTTCATAATTTGAACTGCGACTCCATCCCACCCAACTTTCTTTTGGAGTTGATTAATCATGTTTGAGTTGTTGCCCTAAAAAACTTGTGAAGTCAGCAGACAAGTGGGTTTTCATACACATATCCTTGTGATGTCAAAAGAAGATTTGGTTACAACAATGTGCAGCTCAAATGTCTGGGTGAACATACCTGAAATCTCAGGCTCGAAAGTCAAAAACCCATTCCATGATCCGATTACGTACTTGAAGATTCTTAACCTGGAGTATCATCATAGAAAGATCATATACCATATATATGTTGGCTGGACAACTCTTGGCATCTCAGCAACAAAGCAATAGATACAATGATTGAAAAGATACCTCAGCTATCAATCTGATACAAGAATCTCAGTGTTGCAGCTGACAAAGCCACCTAACAAAATACTCCGCTCACCACAGTTTCCGGAGGGCAATTGATATAGGCACTCAAAGTGTTGCTATTGGCGCACCTCTCTAAGAACACCAAGAACAACAATTCGAGTGCCTGTATGAATTCCCTTTTTGTGGATTACATTGTGTACATTTGCAGCAAAGAATCATACTTGTTACATACAGGGAAATTTGAAAATTGCACTTGTGTTAATCTCAGTATTTGATTTTATAATCCATGCACTTGTACAAGTCTAACAAAAAGTTTGGTATTTGCACTCATATTAACCAAACATTTGATTTTTCACGCCAATTGTGATGCAAAGCCAAATTAGATAATTGTGTGCGCATAAGCAATTGTATACTCTTACACATGACTTTTAGACCTTGTTTCTTTATAGGAATTAATTTTCCTGAAAAAACTTTTCTAGTTGTTGTGTTTGGCACATTAACTTTTCATTTTGCAAAAGAAAGCTGTCTTTAAGACCAGATATGATTCCAGTTCGCTACAATATATTGTAAAATACAAATGCTTGTGACAAGGGAGGTACGTTCCTTAAAAATCTGATTTTTTCCTTTCTAACAAACAGAGCCTTAACGTCAACAGAAAATCCAGGTTCTTGCATGATAATCTGAGACAGAATGACGCAAGAATGCAATGTTACCACTACTTGAAACCTCTGGTTTCATCCAGTAGTAGAATAACATGGTGCAAATCCACCTGCAGCCTGATATACAAACAGATTAAAACAAGGTGATACCAGGGATTGGCCATGTGTGGGGAATTGGACGCATGAATCATCCATTTGCATATTCCACTAGAATGGCTTAAACCCCGGCATCATCTTTGATCAGTCTGGTAGCAAAGGAACCATGCCTCTACCTGTAAATGCAGGGAACTGTCATATTAAGCTCCTTCATAAAAAAGTATATTCCATATGCTGCCAATTGTATAGACACTGACCTCCATAAATGCATAACAAAAATTCTATTGCCCCAATTCGATGGGTTTATATACATTTTCAAAGCTTTCATACGAAACATAATCATAATGAGACATGCACTGAAGAAGAAACACATTCATTTCTTTGCAATGTTTTATACACTTTGGAGTAAGGAAAAATACATAATCTGGTAGCTAGAAAGAATGCCTATTGAATGAAAAATTCACAGGAATTTATTACCAAGATAGAAGATACAGAGTTAAAGTGAAACCCTGACTTTTACAAATGTGAAATCGCATAAAACTATTATCTGGTGTAATAATTGCAGGATTTAGCAGAAATCAGATTCTTTAACTCCATCAAGTGTTCATCATTTGAAATATGAAGTGTGATGCGAAGGTTTGTTAACATTGTTTCCTGTTCCCAAGTTAAGGGCCCAGAAGCAAACAATGCCTCCAGAGTGCAATGATAAGCGTGCAACTCTAACCTATGAATACTTTCTGCCAAATCCTCTTCTGGAGGATGAGGGTGAGAAGAACTCTCCTCCTCATCTCCAGAAGAACAAACTGACTCAGCATCGCTACAAATCAAATCTGGTACACGATGACAAGGAGACTTTGCTGCACCTTCACTAGTAACACTACAACTACCAACAGAGCAAGAATCATCACCGTCAGAGTCATCCAACTCTGAGCTTCTCAAGGGTGAAAAGCAACAACTCTCCATTTTGTTATATCTAGTCAACCTAATGTTAAATGAAGCATATCCAATTTTTTTACCCAATGTTTCTCTTGGGTAAGAAGCAACAGCTTCTACCTTTTCCAGTATTTCTTGCCTCTGACCATCTGTTTCCAGAGTTCTTTGTTTTTTAAAGAGAGTATGTGATTCAGTTGTTGACGAGCAGTGCACATATGCCCGTTTCAGAGATCTTGAAGATGGCACATGAAATTCCTCTAACCTATCCACGGAATCAGGTCGCCACAACTGGTATCCTGTGTCTCTGTAGCAAATTTGATTTGACAGTTTGTGAGATTTGAGCTTCCTGTATTCTGCAGTTCCCTGTGGAATGAAACAAAACAAGTTAATAACATTGTACCATTCGATTAAAAAAATTACACATCAAATTCAAATTGAAATGCGATTTCAATATATCACTTTAAACTTTGTATTAAGAGAAACAATTTCAGAAAATTTCTATAAGAAGACTAAGAGAACTGGATGGAAAAACTTGAATTAAAAAAGAAAAACTATGATGCAAAATCCAATCACCATATATATAGCCTTTAAGCATAGAAACATATAATGCCGGGAAAGAAGAGAAAAGTACCTTAGACAGCCAATCCCATCTGCCATCTTGCCATGCTAGTCGCCTTCTCATAGATGATATATGAATGCAAAATTCATGAGAGGATCCAATGAGTCGCACAAAATAATAATCTTCATTTACAGCATGGACAACAATGGCAACTTTCCATGAGAAATCATCAAATACCTCCAAAATGTCCCCAGGTAACCAATTCTCGGTATGTTGCATCAGGGGAGGAGAGGGTCTAATCAAGCTCTTATATACCCTTTCCACCACTGATTCGCTTTCCCCTAAAGAATCAAATCTCAATATGTACCAATGTCCATCCTCAGAAAGTATCTGAGCAGCACGCCATGAGATTGGCACTTCAGCTTGGTTCATGACCTCCACTTTAACCCCCCTTTTAAACTTCATTTTGGCTGATGTTTGTAAATGGAATCAGAATCTGATCATAGAGGAAAAAAGAGAGAAACAGGTTGGTAAAGACATAGGAATAAAAACTTAACACAATAGAAACCAACACAAATCAAACTAATCCAGGTTCCTTTAAAGATTGATCATACAGGAAAACAAATGTTTTTTTTTAAAAAAAGTGCAAATAGAATGAGATAATTTCAAATAAAATCCAACAATAAACCACAGAATAATATATTGCAAACATTATGGGCATTAATTACAAAGATCCTCTTGCACGATAATAAACAAAATAATTAGAACAGAACAATTAATTACTTAAAAATTCCTAGATTAAAATAAAAAAAGAACTGATCAATTTGTTAATTCAAAAACAATATAAATTGACGTTTACTAAAATCAAAATAATTAGAACAGAACAATTAGTTACGAAGAAAAGATCAGAATCAACTCAATTGATAGTTCATCACTAAACTAATCCGTACAACTCAAATAATCACACACAAAATCTCAGCAAAAAAAACAGATTATTTGCAAGGAAAAATAAAGCTGATGCTAATTATACCAATAAATTAACTCCATAAATTCGAAATATAAAAGAAATCGATCTACAACGACAATTAAAAAATTATAAAACGCCCAAGAATGCAACGCAAAATGCCGAAGATCACACACCTATTCCTCAAAATTCGACAAATTCCTCCAACAAAGCAACTATTTCTTGAAGTTCTTGATCGGTTCCGAATGCTCAGAGCCTGAATCCCAGAAGTCTAATTCTGAGTTCTAGGGTTTGATGGAAGAATTTGGGAGGATATAAAAAAATGGGGAAGACGAGTAAATCGGTGAATAAATATGAGAGGCGAGGGTAATTTGGGAATATCAGGGGAAATAGTTCGGTTTGATGAATATCTTATTTATTTATTTATTTAATCATTATTTATTTCAGACAATAAACAGAAAAAAAATGGGGGCTGCGTAATGCACGCCTCCTTTGCTTTGTTTGGAAACCACCTAATTCGTGTTGGAGTGAGATTAATGGACTCCACCACGCTCCTCTATGGGCGCGTGTCGTTCACTCCCTCTTCATTTGAAATTCTTGAGTCAAAAAAGGATTATTCCCCTAATTCAAAAAACAAAAAAAGGTTAAAATTTGATTTTAGAAGTCAAAGTTCATCAAATTTTGTCTTTAATTACTTATACTCGGTAGTCGGTACATTTAATAAAGTTTACAATATGAAATTAATTTTGATAAAAAAAAATGGAATTGATTTTGATAAAATTTTATTACATCAACGTTTAATGATTAGGTTTTATATTGCAAAATATTACTCGTATTATATATAATTATATAAATCATTAGCGGTCAATTTAATTAAGTTTACATCTAAAAGGTAAACTATCATTTTTAAATTCAACTTTTAATTTCAAACAAATGAAATAAATTGTTTTTTACTTGAGGAAAATGAACGATGGAATGATTTAATGAATGTTTGGAACATCGAGAGAATATTGAAAAGGAGTATCCACTAAGAGAAAAATGAAAGATTGGTTTGACTTCAATAAATTTTGTAAATTGTTATGGTCAATATATTATTTTCTAAATGTTAATTCTATCAAGAAGATCAGACCCTGAAATAATTGGAACACCACATTCCCTTCCATCTCACTCGAGAATGACTAGGCGTCGGGCGAGGTGTAGAAGGTTGAGAAATTATTAGATGGATAAAAATCACTCCAATATTATGAACGAAGAATCTAGATATTCAAAGTAACGCTATGACATAGATTCCAATATTAATGGAATCTTGCCATATTGAAAAATATGAACAAGAAATCTTGGTTTTAATTTGTGAAATCAATTTCTAAAGTTTAATTTGGACGAGAGTGAGTAAAATTTAGCATGGAATTATTAAATACAAGGGAGAGAACATCTGATGTCCTTACTCTTTCTTGCGAGTATAGTATTGGTTGTATTGCCTCCCTCAATAAAATTCCATAATTGTTATACTCCCTTCATCCCAATTTAAATTGTCTGTCTCGATTTATGATGTTTGATTGAAGTTATTTTTAAATCATTTGATATGATAAATGATGCATTATTAAAAAAAATAAAAATTAGATATTCAAAAACTATATCAAAAGATCTACAAAACTAATGATGATATGACTTTATTATTTTATCAAATGACTGATGAAAATATAAAAAATAAAATAAACAAAAATTGACCATGTAAATAGTGAGCCAACAATTTAATTTGGGACAGAGAGAGTACAATATTAAATTTTGTGTGCAGAGAATGAAAAACTAATAAACTACTCACTTCGTCCCAAATTATAATGCATGTTCACTATTCACATGGTCAAATTTTATTTACTTTCTTTCTCTATTTTCGTTAGCAATTTGATAAAATAAAGTACTATTGTCACTACTAATTTTGTAGATCTTTTGATGTAGTATTTTAATATGTAGTTTTTATTTTTTAACTATATACCATATATCATATAAAATGATTTAAAAATAATTTCAGTCAAACATCGTACACCGAAACATGCGTTATAAAATGGGACGGAGGGAGTATATAATTATTTATTTTAAAAGAGTGAATTTTTTTAGATAAACAAAAAAATTATGAAACTTTTTTTTAAGATTGAGGGAGCATTAGTTTTTGTTAGATTATTGAGGACTTAAAACCACAAGTTTGAACTTTTAGTTGAATTAATTACCTGACATGAGATCATAGCCTTATTGAGTTTAATAAAAAACTAGTTATTTGCGTGCAAGACTCAAACAAAAATATATCTTGTTTGCACATAGAGTTAACATGTTATAGTATAAAACAAATTTTGAACTTACAACCACAAACTTAGACTTTTGGTCGAATCGTTCCTTTTACAATTTTACATTTTGGAAAAACAATAAGATAGTAGCCTTTAACTTTTGTAATTGTAAAACTAATACGAATCGAAGATTAATCCAATAGATTGGGTACTGGTTTAATTGTTTTTATTGCCTTACTTCATTAAAAAATCGTGTCATATTCGGGATTTTTTTGTTTGATCGAACAAACATAGAGTTACTTTGTACTCCGTATGTAGTTAAAATTATTCTTAGCAATTTAAAATAGTTATACTTTGACCACTTACCACGGTGAGTTTTTTCGTGTCGTAAAATGTTAACTCCTCAATTGTGAGTTCTCACGCTTTCCCATGTGAGACTTTTTTTAATGATATTAGGACGACCCATACACGCCCATTCACCATGACAGAGTTCACTTGGCAGGGCGGGGCCCTTTATGCGTGAGGGCCATCCAGCCATTGCCCCCAACTTTTCTTTTCCTTCTAATTTTAATCAATCAAAATTTTATACAAATTCTTACTACATCACATTCCTTCACACTGACCATAACACATATTTTTCATCACTCCACATCATACATCTTTACACCCTGGCAAGTCCCCCCATAACACATGGCCTTAGAAGATACCAAATCTGAACCGTGTTTAAGCTTCACCAAACCCTAAAAAAGATATTTGTAAACGCTCTCACAAAAAGAGCCCCTATGGTTACATGATCACAATAACTCCAATGTCATGTCCAAACAGAAGAAATGTTCATTATTTCAAAACTTATAGGAAAGAATCAATTTCATTAACTGGTGGGATTTAGGGGGGGAAAAACTAGGGAAAAAAGGGGCACATGATGCTTGTACATTGAACATTTGAAAGTTCAGCAGAAAACCCACAAAGAAGCATGAGCTTAATAAATGTTTGACGTCTATTACTCAAAACAAGGAGTCCAAGTGTTTGGCAGTACACTCTTGAAATGGAGATGTGTAGATACCACAGTTATTCTTTTGTAGAACATATGTTTGCTTATTTGCATCCATTGGCAACAATACAAAAGACAGAAATAACCTCAAGGAAGCGTGCGCTGATAGAGCGGTAGAGCCCCCAGAGCCTGGCGTTCTGCACTCTCCCTTTTCACCTATGAGGAAAAAATTGACATAATCATGAGCGAATGGGACACAATCCAAAAAAGTCATTAATCAATGACGGCATAACTAAGTCAAGTCTTATATCCAAATAACTGAGAGCCCGGTTGATGAGTGCGGAGATATTCAACTTCAATTTAATATACTTTGGTTTCAAAAACAAATTAAGGCATACAGCATCATTTAGCAAGTCTGAGGTGGAAGCATCTTCTTTATGGCTCTATTAAAGCCTTAAAGCACTACTGAATAGAGTCTTCTCAAAGAGACCAAAACTGAGTAAATAACCAGCCAATTGGAGCCCTCATTTCTTAAAAAAAAATTACGGTTTTTTTTCTCCAAAAAAAATCCCTTGTAAAAAAAAAGAAGTGAAAAATTCATGTTTCAAAAACTTTTTGTCCCATAAAAGAGCCCGGTTCTAAACAAAACTTCATTTTAAAGTAAAAGTCCTGTAAAGCCAAACATCAAGTGATTTTAGTCAAGCACTCCAAAATGCAGTTTTAGCCAACTACTTCATTAGCGCCTGTTCCTTTCAACTTTATATTCTAGTTATCCAAATCCCAGTCTCGACCAAACGCTAGATACCAGTATCCAGATTTTAATTAAAACTACAAATGCATGAAACTCCACACACCACATAAAATCAAGGGAAAAAACAAGCACTTGGTGACCTTTCATAACTTGGAAAAGCATGTACTTTGATTAAGTTGATTATAACTAAAAGTTGCACCTTACTTAAACATGACTCTTTTTTTGGGAGGGGGTAGAATGAATATCAAAAGACACTCCGTATAATACTCCGGTGCAGCTATGTCTTGGATACATTGTGGAGTTGGGGGGGGGGGGGTTGGGTGTTACTTCTTAAGCATTCATTGTTATTGTAATATTGCGAACCATATATTATTCTCCAAATTAGGAAAAAGCCTCCCACTTTTTAAACCCTTCAAAACACAGCACCCAAACGCACCCTTAGAGATCATGGTATCAAAAACTTGAGATGTCAAAAAACCAAAAATACACATTGAAAATTGTAACAAGAGCATCCTATAAGACAGTTGAGCAAATTTGCAGTTACCATTCAAATCCAATGAGTGATTTTCTTAAATTGTCCATTGTGCACACACAATATAGCCCCAAAATTTAATAACTGAGGATTTTCTTACAAATGGGAACGGGATAGTGACAAACTGAGCATGGAATGATTGGAAGAGACTTTATGCAACTTATGTTGCACCAACTCAGTTTTTATTTTTAATTTATAATTTAAACAATCTCATTTATAACATATGGAGTGCCACACAATCATTAACATACACACTGACATGGATCTCATGTGGTTTGCCTAAGGAATAAATCCAGATGAAGTCAATGAAAGCACAAGTCTGGGGCTACACATGCTTATGGAAATAGGGATTACTTACAAGAGCCAACATTTCCTGAAGATAGCTTCTGAAAGGTGTCTGCATTGCCTGCAAGAAAGTAAACCAGAATATTAACCAATGCCTTGCATTGCATAGCCTCTTCATCTCTTCTACCAACAAAGCAAGCTACATGTGAAATACTATGTACTTATTAATTATGCCCTCTATCTAATAAAGTCCTATTTGGGGTTTTATTTTTGACCCCTAAAGAGAGTCTTATTTGTATTAAAAAAATAAAGCATTTTTCATTTTATATCTAATGGTTTTAATTACAAACATGTCTCAAACAAGTTAAATGTGTTGAATTTTGTTAGACCAGAAAATAAAGGTATATAGGAAGATTTTAATAGTTGTACCTTACCAAAATTTATATGTTCTACCTTACTGAAAAGGGATTCTTTTTATGAGAAGGAATATACTCCGTATTAATGAAAAAAAAACATAAAGGGTTATTGGTTAAAACAAGAAAAAGAATTGAAAAAAATATACTACTCCGTATAATGAACTGCCAGTCTGCCAGTGCAATTTGACAAAGATGAAATCCTGTGTTCTTCTAATGCACGTGCCATTTTTTTTACTAGAAGCTGAGATCTGAGATCATTTGTACCTTTGGAGATCATTCATGAAGGCTATGTTTCAATAATAATCACTAAATTCATACTCCGTATAAGCCAATACCACAGCCATAGACATATTCTACCCGAATTAGAAAGGACACACATTTTCCACACACAAAAAAAACAATATCATTCTAATCATTTCCAAAATCTGAACATAGAAAAGCTACCTGAAGATCATCGGGGAGATACTGATGCTTCATGGAGAGGTCCATGGCGCGTTTGAGGCGCTGGTTCCGGGCATCAACAATTTCCCTTGGCAGCCTATTCATGGCTTCCTTGATGTCCAGATCGTACATCGGATCGTACAAATCATCGTATCTCAACCCTTCAAAACAAAAAAAAAATCCATCAAATTTTCATATGAATCTATACAAAAACAAAAAAAAAAACTCTTCATTGAATTGGATACGATCGCGTATGCGTACCGTATTTCCGGAGGCGAGAATCGAGAGATTTCCTGTGCATGGCAGCCAGAGGGTTCTTCTTCGGGTCTACGATCCACCGGGCAAAAGACATCGCCATTTCTAGGGTTCTTCTGTACCTCACAGACTTGTGTTTTTCTTTCTCTCCCACGGAGGTCCTCTAGAAACTACCCAAATACAGCACTTGTGATTTGCGATAGTCTACGAACGATGTCGTTTAAGAAAGTCTACCCAAATTCCTTCAGTTGCCTTGGTCCACTTTGATTTGGAAAAATCAAATAGTTTGATTTGAAAAAAAAAACAAACTAGATGAATTTGGTAATCTAACACATACAAACTGCTAACCCATGTTTATACAATGAAATATTTTTTAAAAAAAAATTGTAATAAATTTAATGAAATACGGATTAATTTTTATACTACTCAATTCATCCTAATATTTTCTTCCCAGTTTGGTTTACGAGATTTGTCTGAAATTTATTTTTAATTTAATTTATTTGATTATAAGTGTAAAATAAAAAATGATATATTTAAAAATTACATCAAAAGCTTTACAAAACAAGAGGAGACATAAATATATTATTTGATCAAATAACTAGCAAAAATTGATAAAAGAAGTGATTAGAGTTTGACAATATGAATAATGATTGGAAAGAAAAATTTAGAACGTAGGGAGTAATACGCAATATAATTATAATTTAATTGATGATGTAAAATCGTTCACTTCAATGCAAAAAGTTAAACTAAACAAATACTTATGAAGGATGACTCCACATAACCAATGGGACCACAATGACGGGACACAAAAAGGGCTTAGACGAAGCTACGTGCTGACGAGATGATTCATTGTTTGAGTCAGCAATATGAAAATACCGAGCTAATCATATAGGGCTGGTAGTCTTATCCATCGAGCCACACACTTTGGTCAGTGTGACTTAATGTCGATCCATTACCTCATGGAGGTTTCACGAACGACACACATTGAGACAAAGTCACGGACGACACGCCTTGAAAGAGAACCCGAACATTAAACGACAGATGAACGCATAGGGCATCAGAAAGTATGTTGAATATGTTAGACAAAGTAAAGTCAAACGCTTCATGATAGCCACTAAACATCAAAAACTTATCGTGCAATGTCTTCTAACCGTTGTAATTCGATTATTATAAATAGTCGTTCCCTTTTGTGTAAAGGATCTTAAATTCAGGCTAACAATATTCTCTTGTGCTCTTTCTCTCACTCTACTTACATTCTTTTCACTCTCACTCCACATTCTACATACCCGACTCCTAAATTAGCTTACTCGGTGGTTGTCTGTCTAGTGGACACAATATAACAACATAGGTATACGTTATGCATATGATTTATTCTTTTACCTCGAAGTATTATTTTACGTAAAAAAGTTGCACAATTTTTGATAGATTCAACTTGAAGGCACTCTAAAAATTGTAAAAATATTCTACATTTCATGTCTCTTTATCAGAATATGACTCCCTATATATGTGTATATATTTATATACAAACAAGATAAAAGGAATAAGCAACATGATTTTTCTCACAGAACACACAAATATCTAGACCTAAATATTTATCCGTATTAATTTTTTTAATGTAATGTTATAAGATTTTTTTAAATGAAAATGTTACTTCATCTGTAACATATCTTTCTTTTTATTTGATTTTTTTATGGTATCTAATGTAATACTTTGATCACTGTTATTATTAATTACTCCCTCTGTCAACCATAGATCTTCCCAGACACTATTCACATGGTTAAACTTAATTCGCATTGTTGGTTTATTTTTACTACAGTGTTGTCACCTCTACTAAATAAAGTATTTCAAAAATACATTTCAAAGTAAATTTATTAATATTAAATCTATGCTTTAATTTCATGTATTTTTTGATAATTTGTGAAAAAGTTTTATAAGATGGGGGGAAGTTTATTTTTATTAGGGAGTATAAAAAGTGGTACAACCAACTAGGGGGGGAAAGACGAGGCGAAGAGCTTCCCTTCATGCAACTCCCAAATTATGGAACAAAAATGGAGAATGAAATGAATGAACCAATCCATAAAAATCAATGGACTGTGACTTCTCCATAGCCACACAATCCCAATCAACAATTTCTTCTGATTCGAGGCAACGGAGAAAAAACGCGCCTAATTCGATCGATCGTTCGTCTCCATCAGCCAACGAGAGGGAATTATCAATCCTGTTCCGGCGGTACACGGCGCCGGCCGGCTGTTCCGGTGGCCGAGCCGCGGCGGCACCGAATTCGAACACGCGTTGTGCGCTGATCGATACAAACGTCGTCCCTTGTGCGCGCGTGCGTGTCTGTATGTTTGCGCGTCGCGGAGAGAATGTCCGGTGAAGAGGCTTCGATGAAGAAGGTGTCGTGGAAGGGGAAGCTGATGTGCGGGATGAGAGAAATCGACGGCGAGATTGAGAGGCTCTCCGGAAGGGATGATATGAGCTCTCACTATAGCTTCAACGACAGCATTCTTCCTTCTCTCGGAGCTCTCAGCAATCGCAAAGCCAGTCTCCGCGCCTCCATCATCTCCCCCTTCGATCCCCATTATCGGTACACCATTCCCCAAGCTTTAGTGGATATACATTATGTTTTTCACTTACATTCTGGATATGTGAGGCATGAATTCTGTTTAATTTTTTTATTTTTGAAGGATTAGGGTTCTAGGAGATTGTGGATGTATTTTAGTGTTTGTTAGAGTAGATTTTTATTCTGTTTTAAAATCATTCCCCTGTTGATTTGATGATTGACGTAGAATCTATGATGAACTTTGTTTTTTGCTTTAATAAAACTCGAATGTATAATAGTGTCCTTTATTTGATATGGAGTATATTACTTTCCATGTCAAAGATTGAGATTAGGTTATTTTCTGAATTGAACAAATGCAGGAATTGGGAGACATTTCTAGTACTACTTGTCTTCTACACAGCATGGGTATCTCCCTTTGAGTTTGGCTTCCTGGAAACACCAAGTGGACCTCTCGCCATCTCCGACAATGTTGTGAATGCATTTTTTGGTATAGATATTATATTGACATTCTTTGTTGCCTACCTTGATAGAACAACTTATCTTCTCATTGATGACCCCAAGAAGATTGCTTGGAGATACATAAAAAGCTGGTTGGTTTTGGATGTGATATCCACAATCCCTTCTGAACTTGTGAGGAAAATTTGGCCCCACTCCCTTCGTCCATATGGCTACTTTAGCATGCTCCGCCTCTGGCGTCTTAGGAGGGTCAGTGCCATGTTTGCCAGGTAAGGTTCCATTTCATAACCAGTAGCATTAAACTTGCTTGTTTCTTGGCAGTCATTGCTCGTCATTTAAAGTTTGATTGAAATTTCCACCACAAATAAACAGTTTTTAGATCACAATATGAGAAGCAGGAGGTTTGCTGGATCTTGAAATAGCTAGTATGCAGTTATGCACACACGCTTTTGCTCATTATTTTTCTCATTGGTGTTCAAAAAAAATGGAAGGCATTGAGAAATGTGAGGACTTCTCATATATCTTGCTTCAAGCAAGGAGTGCTCTCAGATATTTGATTTGGACTTGTAATTTCATGATCAATTATTGCAGGTTGGAGAAAGATAAGAACTTCAGTTATTTTTGGATTCGGGTTGCAAAGCTTATAAGTGTGAGTCTCTTATCAAAGATCATAGTTTCGGTGTAATGTTGGAAAACACTATATTAGTGATTTGACATATAAAGCGTGCATTGATTTTTGCAGGTTACTTTGTTTACAGTTCACTGTGCAGGCTGTTTATACTATCATATTGCTGTGCAGAACCCCGACCCTAAACAAACATGGCTTTCGTTAACCATGAATGATATTGAGAAGCAAAGCATTTGGGCTCATTATGTGACATCAATATACTGGTCCATTACAACACTTACAACAACTGGTTATGGGGATTTGCATCCTGTGACCATATCAGAAAAGATATTTGTCATGTTGTACATGCTGTTTGACCTTGGGTTGACAGCTTATCTCATTGGAAACATGACCAACTTGGTTGTTCATGTGACCAGTAGAACCAGGAAATTTGTAAGTATGGAGTACATGTTATTATTGCTTGGTTGCCTGTATATGTTATTCTTGGTTTGCCTGGCATGAGTTAGAAGTTGACTATGGAGAACATACACTTCTAAAAAGGCAAAGTGTGTGTGTTAAACATGCCATAGGCACGTACCTCTCCACGAAGACGACGGGTGGGAATGATACAAAACAATGTTGTGTAAAATATATTTTTAAAAACTCTGAAATAATGGACCAAAAGTGCTTAAACTTTATCACCATTATTCATTCATTTATTTAAAAGATGCTGTGTCCCCAGTGTACCATTTCTGATTTCTCATAGGAAAGTTTTACTCCACACTTTTTCCTCAGTTGCATCAGTCTCTTTATGTATGCTCACCTTGTTAATGTCATTCGACATGTCATCATCCTATATACCATACTTACCATAGGCGTTGGTTTTGCTTAGTTTGGTACTTTTTGTTCTTTTGGTCTCAGCTTATATTGAGCATGCCTGACATTCCTTATGGTCTGGCAGAGGGATACCATTCAAGCTGCTACAAGCTTTGCTCAAAGAAACCAATTGCCAGTTCGCCTACAGGATCAGATGCTAGCCCATTTGAGTTTGAGGTATAGGACAGATGCTGAAGGCTTGCAGCAGCAAGAAACTCTTGAAGCACTGCCAAAAGCCATTAGATCCAGTGTTTCACATTACCTTTTCTATTCGCTAGTTGATAAGGTGTATTTGTTCCATGGAGTTTCTGACGACTTGCTCTTCCAATTGGTATTATATCCTTTGGTGTTTACTTTTTTTCTTATAATTTTCTGAAGATCTAGTTTGAAATATCTTTTATTCTTTAGAGTTGCCCTGTTCCCATTTATCATTAGAAGTCGTTTTTTATGAGCACCGTCTTCAGACTTTTTCTACAACATATTTATGTTATTTCTCAGTACGGTTTGAACTTTGAAGGTATCTGAGATGAAGGCAGAATATTTTCCTCCAAGAGAAGATGTCATATTGCAAAATGAAGCACCAACAGATTTATACATACTAGTAACTGGGTCACTGGTGAGCACTGATGCTAGTTCGGAAAGTACTGGAAATAATGCATTTACCGTAAAATTTTCATCAATTGCATATTTACTTTAATCTGTAACTACATTTAATTTTAGAGTAAAAATGGTTTAACAAGAACTGATAAAGTGGCATCAGCATAAGTGGTACATCTGTGAACTGTCACAAGTCCCAACAATAGAGTCATGTTTGTAATAATCACTATTAAAGTTCCATTAATGCTCACATCTTTGTGCAGGAAGTCATATCTCAAAGGAATGGAGTACAGCAGGTGATCTTTCGCTTACAAGCTATATCACACTCTTTACATATGTACATAATTACTAACATTGTTATAATGACAATAATGAGAATGGCCCACTTATTAGGAGGTTGGAGAGTTGAAGGCAGGTGATATTTGTGGAGAAATTGGTGTTCTCTGTTATCGGCCACAACTTTTTACCATTAGGACGAAAAGACTGAGCCAGCTCCTCCGCTTGGATCGCACATCATTTTTTAACATTGTTAAAGCAAATGTAGGGGATGGCACAATTATAATGAACAATCTCCTTCAGGTAAATAATTTTTCTCTTGGTACTGTACCTCTATCAATTGTATCTAATAATTTTCAAAGGTGCATTTTTTATTCGAAAATTCTCTCTCACGCACTTGGATAGTAAAATATGTGAAGGCTCAGGCTTAACTTACCTAAATGGATCGTCAAGATTTAAGGATTACAATGAGCTTGAAAAACGAAGGGGGAAAAATGACCCTATCAAACTGACCCCCAAATAGACCTCCTCAACCCATCGAGTGGGTTGGTGCCCGCCAAAAAGTGGGGTTTAACTTCAATGTATAAACTAGACCCAAACCTTGTAGACAACCAAACTGCGATGCCCAATTGATAACATCTTATTTTCTTTGTATAGAAAAAAGGGGATACATAATGCACTACTATACTTTTTGGGGATATGATGCAGCATTTGAAAGGCAGAAGAGACCCCATGATGGAATCAATCTTGGCAGATACTGAGCACATGCTGGCTCAGGGAAGAATGGATATGCCTCTCAGTTTATGTTTTGCGGCGAATAGAGGAGATGACCTATTGTTGAACCAAATGTTGAAACGTGGCATGGATCCAGACGAGTTCGATGGCAATGGACGTACAGCTCTGGTAGGAACCTTTTTCCCACTTACACATTAGGCACAAAATCATGATTAAAGATTTGATTATTATTCGTGTTTTATGTTATGTTCCAGCACATTGCAGCATCAAGTGGAAGTCTGGAATGCGTACTTCTACTTTTGGATTATGGAGCAGATCCCAATAAAATAGGTAATGGAGGACCCCCACCAATTATAATACGGAGTATATATTTCTAGAGCAAAACTATGGTGACATCACGAATGACACCGAGCTTGACACCACCAGTCTCACAAACAAGCACGAACAATAATCGTTTATGCAATGCATGTCACTAAGTGGTGTCAAACTTGATGTCATCATTTGTGTCAAAGTAGCACTTTCCATATTTATAGCCCTCTCTCAAAGTGTGTTTTCACGCTCCGCCATTACGTCTTGTGCTTTTTAGAACAATGACCTTAATGCATGTTAAGATATATTTGGAAGCAGATTCGGAGGGCAATGTCCCACTATGGGAAGCCATAATGGGAAAACACAAAGCTGTTATAAAACTACTACTCGACAACGGTGCAACCTTATCCTCAGGCGACGTAGGCCAGTTTGCTTGCTCCGCGGTGGAGCAAGGCGACTTAGACCTAATGAAGGACATCATTAAGTATGGAGGGGATGTCACACTCCTCAACAGTTTAGGAACCACGGCGCTGCACATGGCAGTTTCAGAAGAGAATGTCGAAATGGTTAAGTTTCTTTTGGAGCAGGGAGCCGATATGGAGAAACCAGATGTGCATGGGTGGTCAGCAAGGGCACTTGCAGAGTATCAGGGGCATGAAGAGATAAAAGAAGTGTTTAGGTCCAAGGAAGAGTATAATGGGAGACATATTCAGGTGCCCGAACCAAAGGCACCTTACCTGAAGAAGTACCGGAGTGAGTCAGCAATTGCCCCGCCGCCATTACACTCGTCCGAGATACCATCATCATCAGGACCAATTCGTGGGCCCGTGTTACTACCAGGACATATCAGGGGCAGCAGCTTGTCAAGCAATACGAAATGGAGGACGAGGGCTTCTCACTATCGCAAATCACTGATTGGCTTCATGTCAGCCCAGTCTGGTCCTAAAGAAGGTTAGCATAATAATAGAAGCTCCATGGAAATATTTTTGCTTCCACGATCACCTTTCAAAAAGTATGCAATTGAGTTGTCCTTTATGCCTTATTATTTTTGTTATATCAACACAAGTTAAGGTAGTTAGAGAACTCAATTCTTAAATGAGGTCACCCTAAATTTCAAACATGGATATAAATATATAAAAAACAAATCAACACATATCACCTACTTATGATCCAAAGACAATCTAGACTCTAGTTTTAAGTCTAGAAATTAGGAAGGATGCGGTCTAGCGCTCGGGTAAGCCGTGTCAACCTTTGTGTCACCTTAACCCAGTGACACGGGCTCTCCCCTAGCACGAGATATCTACCGCCTCCCAATTTTTCATAGGCCTCAATCATTCTCAGTTTAGATGGCCTTTAGATCATAAATGTGTGATATGTGTGCACGTGTTTTCTATATTTATTTCCATATTACCATATCAGAAATATAGGATGCAGAATTGAGTTTCTAACTAGCCTAAGTGCTGATGTAATTAAAATAATAAGGCATGAATGTCGGCACAACGACAGGCTTTTTGAAAGGTGTGATTAATCTATATATTGTCCAAAAATGTAAAAGGTCGGATGGATAACTTAAATTGTGTTAAAATTATAAAAACAAAAGCCTTAGCCTTATTTGAGTTAATTAATAACATTTGGAATGCTTTTGATGTATATGTTCATCAGAACGGTTTGAAGCGGGTAAGGGTGGCACATTCAGCTTCAGAGGACAGCAAAGTCCTCCAGCGAGGGTAACCATTATTACTACAACATGCCCACCACCGCCACCGCCACCGCCATCATCAGAGGGAAGGATGACGACGACAATGATGGTGGCATTGCCTCAGTCCATGAAGGAGTTGCTTGAGATTGGTGCCCAGAAATTTGGGTTCACTCCCTCCGCGGTTTTCTGCGGAGGAGCTCTTGTTGACGATTTTGCCCTCATCAGGGACGGTGACGTCCTCGTTCTTTCTTCTTCTGATCATATTGCTACTGACAAATGAAAATAGTTCTCTCTTTTCTTTTTCCTTTTTTTTTTAAAAAAATGTTTTTTCCATCCCCTCATTTTTCCCCGTTTGCATCTGGTAAATCCTAAATTTTTATCACAGTGACACGGTATGTATGTACGTGTGTATGTATGCATCATGCAAGTGTATTTACACATACAAGCCCTGGCATGTATAGAAATACTCTGTAATACTATACTGATAATTGAGTGAGTTGTATTGCTTTCAAAATGAAGCTCATCATCTATTCATATCTCCAATGCATGGACACTTCACCCACCAAACAAGAGTATGTAGACACTGGCAAACGGTGCTACTGCGTTTTTGGCCTTGATTTATTTAAAAATTATTGGCAAGATTTCAAAAAAAAGAAAAAAAAGAAAAAATTACTTGTAATATTTAAAAATTATACAATACCAATAGTTGCATAATAAGAGATGACTTGACTAATTTATTTAATTAAATGATCGATGAAATATGTAAAGAAAGAAAGTATAATTGACCTCATCAAGAAAAATGCGAGGTTGTAAACTTCAATTTGGGATGAAGTAGTGAGAAGGAAATGGATACAAGTAAATTGGACACCAGTGTCAAACACACTTCATCTGGTGTACTTTTTGATGGCTTGAAGCCATGTTTGTATCCTTATTTTTTTTACAAAATTGGCATGTCTTGTGTGTATAAGATGATCAAATTTCATTAATTTTGAGTACATTGAGGTCCCGTTTGGTACACGGAATTCAAATTGTGGAATTGGAATTGAGGACTTCAATTCCAATTCTCGTGTTTGGTAGCACAAAAATTATGTGGATTTGGAATTAGTAGTGCAAAAAATGAATTGAAATTGGTGAATTCAATTCTATAGAATTGAATCCCATGGAATTTTAATTCCAATTCAATTCCGATTCCATCAATTCCATGTACCAAACGGACACTGATGGCAAACCACTCCATTACAAGACTTTTGGTTCTAAAAGTGTTGAACTTTGGCCGGGGTAGATGAATAGAGAGGATAATCACAAAATGCTAGGGAATTTTAAAGACAAACTTTCTTAATTTAAGGAAAGTTGTCCAAAGATGTTTATCCAAGTCAAAAGTGATCAAAATCATGTACTCTTTCTCCCTTTTAGAAAGAATAAACTTCCCACTTTGACTTTTTCTCATTTTTAGTGGGTACTGAGTATGGCATTAAAATGTCCAAAATACCCCCTAGCTTTGCCCCCATCTGTCTATCCTACAGACACCCCAAACCCCACCCACTGACCACTGCTGCCCACCGCCGCCCGCTGCTGCACCAGCCCCACCGCTGTCCACCGCTTCCCCAGCCCCCAACCGCACCATCTCCACCAACACCGGTGTCGCCGCCAGCCCCAACCACAATCACCAGTCTTTGTATCGCTGCCATCCCCCACCATCGCGGAACTGGAAGAAAGAGAAGACAGATGAGGAAGGGAAGAAGAAGAAGAAGAAGCACAGAGGGCGATTGAGACACGAATTTGTTTAGATCTATAAGAAAGGAATGAGAAGAAGAAAAAGAAGATGGGGGGCAGATCGGGGAAAGAGGAAAAGGAGAAAAGAAGAAGAAGAAAAAGGTGGATAGATTGGGAAAGAAAAAAGAAGACAGATTAATGGCCTCTTTAGGAATAACGTTAGAGATTAGCGTTAGCATTTTCAAAAGGCTATCTACGGGCAGCGTTTAGCGTTAGCGTTTTCAAATTAATCTGCACCGTTAAAATTTTATCCAAAACGCTAACGCTAATCTCTAACGCTATATCCAAACAGGCCCTAAGAAGAAAAAGATAAGAAGAGAGAGAAAGATGTAGACATTGGGGGATATGGAGAATGAGATGAGAGAAGAAGAAGTAGATAAGAGATGAGTGGCCGAAGAGTTGGGAAACAAAGAAAGGGAGAAGAGGGTATTTTTGGAAGAATTGGGAAAAAAAGTAGAATGGAGAGATTATTTATGGACAGAAAAAAGAGTAGAATTGGAAGATTATTTTCGGATGGAGGAAGTATAAATTTTGTGACTTGTGAGAAAAGTTATATGGGTGCTGACTTTATATTATGATTAAAATGAATATAGAAAATAAACGGTGAGGAAAACACTGGTACACAAAAGTCAAATTGAAATATTTTGTGATGCTTTTTCTACTATTATTTTGTGTATGGATTTTGGCTAATGATTTATGGGATATAAAGTCAATATTTGTGTTAAAAGAGGTGCGAAATTCGGTCATCATAGGTGAAAAACAAAGGTATCACACAAAATTTGCTTTTGTCACAAACACAAAGAAAGTAGGGGTTTTCACCTATCATTTCCTTATTATTTTGTTCAAGACTTCTAAGGGGTTAAAAGACAAGTATTCTAAGGTCAATATAAGGAGAGAATTTGTGGATAAGTGTGAGGAATGGTCACAAATTTTCTAGATGTGCTTCTTTCTTTTTAATTTTGACCAACGACATATGAAATTTAAGAAAAGACTTTTATTTTACTTAAATACAGAGTAATAAAAAGCAGTGAATGTATTGGATGTTTTAGGTCGGGTTGGACTTGGAAGGGATGAATCAGGAATCATTTAGATCAAAAGGATGATTGTTTGGTCTTTCAGATTTTGCGGGTAAGTGAATTCAACATAAAAATGTCATAGGGCTTAAGCGTATGTCCCTTGACTCTCTTCATGGTGTGTGGCGTGGGAGAGTACATCACAAATTCATGGGTAAAATGTACTCAACTTCTTTTTGAGAGTATGTTGTGTCGTTTGTGATTTTTTTAATGCCATGTTGTGCCTATGTCAACATTCGGAGTCCACACAACATTCAAATAGCATTGGGTAGAAATCAACAAAATTTTAGAAGTTTAATTATGTTTTTTTGGTCTTAATTTTAACTACAATCTAAAGTCTGGAATCTAGAACCTAAATTTGGTAACTGAAACAAAGAGTTTTGGCGCAATAATAATTTTAAACAAACAAATTGAAAATTACAACATGACAATGGGCCGGGTTCGGGTCGGATAGTACTATACCCAAATCCGACCCGCCTTTAAAAACCAAACCCGAACCCGACCCGAAACCCGATTTTAAACCCAAAAACCCGGCCTGAATTTGACATTTAAACCCGAAACCGAATCCGTAGTTTAACCATTATAATCAATTTGACGAACCCCAATAATTTTAAAAAGATTAAATCTAATTTTTTATTTTGTGTCTAATTTTTTATTAGGAAATTATAAAAATAATTATAAAAGGCACACTTGATATATTAACACCTTATCAAGAGATTATATTGAGTGCTCATTATATCCATAGATAGACTTTTATGTTATAAAAAATTCAGGTTTGAGTCGGGTTGGGTGCGGGTTTGGTTCAAGTCGGGTAAAATTATAAACCCACACCCGACCCGATGTTGGGATCGGGTAAAAAATTTCGGGTCGGGTTCGAATTATTTTATTCTCGGTTCGGGTTTGGATATTTTAGTGGTCGATCGGGTCAGTTAAGATCAGGTTCGGGTTGAATTGTCATCCATAACTAAAACCAAACGAACCATTGCAACAAAAAAACGAAAGAAAGAAAGATACCAATTCTTGATGAGCCACAAACACTTGCTTAGATGGTTTTTACGAATTTACTGAAGCTGCTATATTATACCACTGTATCAGGCATTCATGGCAAACCATTTCATTAAGATCCCGTTTTGGTACACGAAATTCAAACTATAGAATTGAAATTGAGGACTTCAATTCCAATTCTGGTGTTTGGTATCACAAAAATTATGTTGATTTGGAATTGATAGTGCAAAAAATGAATTCAAATTGATGATTTCAATTCTATAGAATTGAATCCTATGGAATTTCAATTCCAATTCAATTCTAATTCCATCAATTCTGTATACCTAACACACCCTAAAAATACTCCGTATCAATATAGCTCTTCTATAGGAGAACATTGACTCTTTGTTCTTTAGTAGGTTAAAAAAATATACACAAAGTCTATTAACAAATACAAGTACATTATAGAATAAGGTAATAAAAAAATTTGGTTATAAATATGACATTATAAACACTTAGGGTCCGTTTGGTATAAGGATTGGTGAAATTGAAATTGAAATTCCATAGGATTCAATTCCATAGAATTGAATTCTGTCAATTTCAATTTATTTTTTGCACTATCAATTCCAAATCCACATAATTTTTGTACTACCAAACACCAGAATTGGAATTAAAGTCTTCAATTCTAATTCCATAGTTTGAATTCCATGTACCAAACGGGACCTTAGAAATTCATTGGTAGAAATTCATTGATAAAGATAAACTGTACTCAAAATAACTTATGGTATGTTTGAAAACATAGATTTAGATTTCAAATCTGAACTTGGCTCAAATTCCTTGTTTGGAAAACTTAAAAAGTTTAGTTTTGGATTTGATTAAAAATCTTATAATTCATAACAAAACTCAATTTGAAATTTACATAATTCCTCTTGTCATTTGAAATTCAAGAATTCAAATTTAGAATTAAAATACATGAATTGATATGAAGAATGCTTGTTCGTGCACCTTGAGTGCATATCATTTTTGTAAATCTTATCACATAAATTTTTTTTATTTTAAAAAAACAAATGCTTATTTTGCTCGTACGTAAGTCCATGGTGGACCTTAGGTCATGTCACATTTAGCTTTGTAGAGCTTTTCATGTAGTAGTTTTTAAATATGTAATTTTTATTTTTTTAATTCTATACGATATTTCATATAAAATAATTTAAAATAACTCCAGTCAAACATCATAACGCACAACAAAAACTTTATTTATGCCTTTATAGACAGAGCGAGTATTATTTTCGTATAAAATGTGTCAAATCAAATTTTAAAGAATAAAGAGTACTCGTAGTTGAGTAAGAGACAAAAGGGAGTAATTCACTTCTTGCATCCCATAAAGTTGGACAAAATGATTATGGTCCTAGAAAACATATCTTTGTGGGCATTTTTAGCAACATCCAAACTACACTAGACCTTTAAACCTGTCATCC